GAAATTGGAGACATTAAATTCATCTTTATATTTTTCAAATGACAGGTAATAAAAATTACCAATTGGGGCCTTTTTGTGTTTTCCTCAGTTTCTCTGTTTTGCAATGGCTCTGTGAAACTTAGTAAGCATCATGAGACTCCTGAAATATTCCCTAAAAAAGCTCAGTCAACACTGAACTTCACTGCCTCTCGTAAAAAAAGGAGGAAACAGAAGTTTCTGATGTTGGTATTTTTTTTGACCACTCACCACTTTCACTGCCAATGTTGCCAAATAATCATTAAGTCAGGGAAGAAAGTTGTTGTTACTTCTTTTCTTTATTCAGTGAGCTAAGACATTTCTTATTAATACTCAATGCTGTAGTTACACCAAGCAATGTGACTTTTAAAAACTTGCAGAGAAATGATTGAACACATTAATAATAAACACAGACAGAAATTTAACAGTGACATTCTCATTTACTTTTCCATATCTGACTTATGAAACATACACTTAGAAGAGGAAGCTGGAAATTATTTGACTTAAAAATGAATCAAGGCCACTTAGACATTAAGTAAGTGTTCCTAAAAATATCCACTCCTGACATGCCTGTTAAGGGAGAAAACTTGAAGCAAGAAAAACTTTTATCAGGGTTCTTTTACCGTGTGCCTTACTCACTTCTGCCTGAGTCATATTTGAAACCACAAGATCATCTTTGAAACAGAGAGAGAGAGAGAGAGAGAGAGAACAGGTGGGAGGAAAGAAAAGAAACTCCTGCTATTGTAAAACTGAAAGCATAACATGAGAGTTATATAAAGTGTAAGTGAGCCTCACTAAAGCATGAAGCTCCCTTGCTAAGAGTTCACTGCTCCTCTAAGGTAAGAGCATCTCAAATTAAGAAGCTTTTTACACACGAGCCTGGTGGTTGAAGAATGTTAGCCTAAAGAGGGAAACTTAGGGACTGAATTTTAATTTATGGCTTTGTATACAAATGTTTTTTAAATTTTATTTTAGAGTAAGTTACTTGCGGAGAAACAGACAGTCGCAGAGTACAGTCTTATTATAGTGGTGAATAAACATGACATATTTACTGGACACATTATATTTGGATTTCTTGTTAGCACTGCTTTTGTGTTACTGTTGTGTTGTGTGGTGAAGCAAAATCTGTCATCTGTGGTGGAGTGACTTAAGACATTGCCCAGATATTTTACAGGGAAACACTGCAAAGTCAAAGAAAGGATACTTGTATATATAGAGGCTTATATCTCAACGCATGTGCCAAACTGTTTCTGAAAGAGAGCATGCATGGGGATGCCGTCTGGAGAACTTTCTTCCAGAAGTATTCATAGATTTTCTGTAAGATGATGATGAGATGGTTGAGTTTCAATAAGATCCCATGAAATGATTATCTTCTCTCTTGTCTCAGATGGCTCTTTGGTATCAAGCTCTCCTCCTCCTGTGTTGCACGTTGAATCTGGTGGAGTCCTCTGCTCCACCTCCTGTCCTCCAGCAGCAGAACATATACAGCAACTCTTTCCACCTCACTGTGACCGTCCGGACTGCAGTCCAGCAGCTGCAGAAGAGATATGTGAGTGCTCCAGACAACCCCCTGTTCTCCTACATCTGTGCACCTCCAGCACTATCTTTAATAGGTCATATTTATTGTTTATTTTCATAGAAAGAGGAGCAGTGGTGGAACAAGCATTTTGAGGACAGAAACCGGCAGTTGAAGGGCCTGCCATTACTTTCTACAGATTTCCACAGCTGGCTCAATCTGACGGTTAGTTCCTGCATGACTGTTTCATAACAATGTCAAAGAAAATCACAAAAACTTTTCATAGAATTTCAAGCCTTGGTTTCAGTCTCCTCTTCCCATTGTGATATGGATAAATAGAAACATGATGACATCTACAGAAAGTTAGCTCTTGCAGAATGCACTGTAAATCTTGTAAAAATTTGAGTGGATTTCCCCTTTTTGAACCTTGAGCTCTTGCGGAGAATTGTGCAACTTCTTTGGTCATGTAATCATGTGGCTACTGTCTCGTGTGTTTAGGACTGGGATCGACTGCATGCATCTTTCAGGGACCTGCGTACCTACTGGTCGATGCTGGAGGGAAAGAGAAAACAGCTGGAGAAGGAGGAAAAAGAGAGGCTGGTGGGGCGGATGACCCACAACACTTTGCCTAAGAGAATTGGATACATTCAGCTGGACCTGAGAGACCTGATGCTCCATGTCAGCAGTCAGGTAACCACTAAATTCGTTCTGTCTGTTTGGTCCCCTTTTAGCCCATAAAAAGACTCCACAGGAAGTGACTCTTCTATCTGATTAAAAACTGTTTTGCTTTCTTCATCAGATGAGTAACATAAGCAGCTCTTGGAGGAACTCCACCTCTTCCTCTCATGTAGACCCAGAGACCAACTTCAGCACTGAGTGGGACAGCCGAGTGGAGGGTTACATCATTCTGAGGGATCTCGACCTCTACCTCACCAAGCTGGCAAGAAACTTCCTCCTGCTGGCTTCAAAAACCCACTGATGACTCAGCACAGAGATCTTAAGATCTTGACAGCACACACACACACACACACACTCACAAATACAGGAGAGAGAGAGCTAAAGTGAAGAAAACTGGAGTAACTGTGATAACTTTAGTCATTTTTTCAGTGCTGTTGGTAACTCTTAAGATGGAGTGACAGTTTAAGCTTTTTTAAGATGTTTGTATGTTTCAGGGCTTTCTTGGGTATTTCCCAGAGTTTCTGTCTTACCTCTAACTGTAAGTTAGCAATAAGCTCCCAGAGCAGACAGAACACTTCCCAACATGTGGTTATTCCCCCACACCCTTATCTACAGGACTTTCCCAATATGTATTTGCTATTTATTAATATTTATTAACTTCTATTTATTTTAAAGTGGTTTGTTTTATTTCTCTCACAACACAGAGATTAAGTGGTTTACATTTGAATCTTTTTATATTTGATATATTGAAACATATTTGTATGACTGACAATAAAGACTTGAAGCATCAAAAAGGGTGGCGACTTCATGTTGTGATTTTCAGATCCTTACAAAAGTAGCAGGAATTAATGCAGCACAGAATGTGTTATTGTTAGAGAGAGAATAAACAGGAATCGAAAAGGGATCCTCCTTCTGTTGGGTATTTTGATTGTGCTCAGGATGTCGTCCATTTACTGTTCGTCTGGTAGCAGTTTTCTGTTTCTTCATGTGTCGTTGATGCGGGGAGCCGTCTGCAGAGTGAATTCACATGTAATTAAGTCAGCTGCCCGGATGTTTTTAATCAGAAAAAATTCCCCTTCCTCCCTTCAGGCACCACACATGACATCAGACCAGGCTCTGACTCTGACTCACCACTAGCAGATGTCCCCGCTTGCCTTTAGTCACCTTGAGCTCTGATCCGCGAACAAAATCAATGATGCCCTCTTTGCCTCGAGAAACTGCAAACTTAATACTGTACGCAACAGAAAGGGTAACAAAGACAGACAAACTAAAGATGAGTCCTGTTTGGTCGGTATGTAATGCTCACAACAGAAGAGTGCTGTAACACGCCTCACCTGCCCGGGTTGACGTTGACATAGTTGACCTTGCTGGCCATCATGGAGAGTTTGGTCACCAGTTCGATCACGTGGTTACAGTGCAGCACCAGATCACCCTGAGAGACACACTGCTTCTTTTAGAGGAGTCACACCATCAGGCACCAATTTAAAGTCATAACTGTTTCATGCAACCATACCTTCTGCTTATTGTCCTCATTGGGCATGTGGATAACGAACATCCCATCACTCAGAGAGCTCACAGAGATTCCTGTTTGAAGAGAATAACAGCTAAGAGTATGCCTGCCAGAAATGAAAACAGTCACCATGACCAGTGAATAAAAACTATGATTTAGTAATTTCAGCTTTCAGTTCAGCACAACATCACCCTCTCCTGTCAGAAAAAAAAGTTTCCCTTTTTGAGAAGCTAGTGAAAAGTATGTAAAGCAAATAAAACCAGGTTACTGAGGATATTCCTGCAGAAGTACATGAAGAGGGCACAGAGTAATCTAAGTATTCTGAATTTGCAGGTCAAAATAAAACAACAAAAGTTGCATTTCCTTGCAGAAAATGCATGGAAATGCTGAAAGCCGAAAAATCCATGAAAACCTGCTTGAAAAGGAGAAAAGTATGAATTTAAAAGCCGTTGAAGAGGTGGAGTAGAAGAAGACTACGTTGTATGACTGTAGAAACTGTGGAAAAAAATGAAGAAGAGGAAGCTGTATGAATGTAGAAAGTGTGAAAAACTGAGGAAAATATCTGAACATAGAAAGTGTGAAAAAACTATATAAATAGCTGAAAATGAGTTGAAATATGAAAAAAAAACTATAGAAGACATAAAACATATTAATACAACATTGATGGTTGAAAGATTGTGGACATTTAAAGCAAAAGAGAGTTTGCAGGTAAAATTATTCTGAGGGTATAAGAGTTTTCCCCATTTGGTTTCAATGGTAAAAAGTTTTTTTTTTTTAAGTGAAAATTGCAAAAAAGTATGAAGAAAAAAAATGTCCTAAAGGAGTGAAATAGTAAAAAGGTTTACTGGTTGAATACAAGCACATAAAACATTAAATGTTGAAGGACTTGAAACCAGACAAGAATTGATATAATAATAATAATAAAAAACTAGATAACAATGAGTGGAAATATTCTCAGTATTTGCACTTTATGAAGGTATTTGAAAACTGAAAAGCCTCTGCAAGTTTTCCTTCTTTGCAATAAAAGTAACAATCATGAAATAGCCCTGAAGCAGTCGTATAGTGAGGGAAATCATCTGATAACTTAATTAAGACTCTAAAACTTCTCCATACAACACTAATTTTTACCTCTCAGAGCTGAATAGTCGATCTTCTGTTTGATCTTGGTCCTGTCCACCAGCACAGCATAGGTGTTTGTGAGGAGCAGCTGGCGAGGGTGTGGCTTGTAGCCCCTCCTGTCATGTTTGATGACTGAAACACCGTACTGACAAGACAGAAATGTTACTGTGAGGCAGCTGAACGGTTTTCAAGCATCTTGTTTTCAATATCACATTAAAAAAAATAAACCTGTCCCACCTGCACTTTGTCATTGCCGAGGGTCTGGATGACTTTCAGGTTGATCTGCTCTCGTTCTGTGTCAGATAAAAAGAAAATCTCTGTAAATTTTTTATGTTTAGCTATATCTTCTGTCGGGTTTTAGGAATGTACAGATGTAATGAATGCGTGCGTCGACATGTACCCAGCCTGGAGTCCAAAAACAGCCTTCCGACACTTTCAGGGTAGCTGTCTTTCTGATCCTTGAAGATCTCACTTGCTATAACTTTCTGCGTCATCTAAAGTAAAGGAGGAATATTGAGCAAAATTAAAACACATTAGCATATTCATTCATATTTAAAAGAGGAATCAAAGCCATGTTTTCTGTTGTCAACTTACCTGCTTCTTCCATTCAGGCTGGACCCTCCTGCAGTACTTCATGACCATGTTCCTCATGTGCAGCATACGCAGGTGCTCAGAAGCCTGAAACAGACAAAGCCGACTTTGTATCAGTAAATCTACAGCTTGAGATTTGAAGAATTCACTCTTTTGGATTATGTCTGCACAGTATCAGTCAGGATCTGTGTTTATAGGTTGTACTGTACATGCCTCGGTGAGTAGAGGAGGAGGTGTTGGCCAGCTTTTGTCCAACACACTTTCAGGCAGGTTGTTACGTAGGTTTTTGAGGAATGAGTAGCGTATATGATCCAGGAAATAGTCATTCTCTGGACCGTACTCCTCGTGTCGGTGGATGAAGCCTTTGATGAACCTGAACAAAAAATACAAATTTACATGATGTACAAATACTTTATAGTGAACAACATAGCTGAGAAATGCAGGCGAATAGTTTCTAACTTCACCTGCGGATTCTCTCAGCAGCCTCTCGCCGCCTCCTGGCCCTCCTGCGTGCTTTCATCCCTCGCCACGCAGACTGGATCACTATCACTGTACATACAAAATACATGCATATATGTCAACACAGAGAGATCTTTTGTGCTCAGAAAAAAGAACATCCCAAGGTTTAGTACACGATGAAACAGATAGTTTAAGACTAGACAAATGAGCATGGAAAATAATAACAAAGGAAGCTCAACCTGAAAAAAACCCGTCATTGATGTTCGTTTAAAAAAGCAGAATTCAAATACACAATGATATGAAATCTACAAACAAACTGCGAGGGAGTCATCGGTGGGAGTTGCTCTGACCTGCATTCCTGATGCGCTGGTACTTTGCTCTCTCCCTGTAGCCTCTCCATGATGTTTGCAGGGTCAAAGCTGGAACATGCAGAAAGAAACTTCAGGTGGATTTATGCTTTAGCAAATTAATTTGTGCGTGGGTACAAATGATTTGTACAACATCAGTGATATACGATTTGGGGTCTCATTTGTTTTATGTTTCGTCATTTTGAGTTCAAAGTAAAAACGCACACTAACATACAGTCATTAAATTATATATACATTTTTGGCAACATTTTTTCTAGATTAATATAATAAATCATAATAGTCGAAGAACATGCCAGCACTTTTTTTTGACTGTCTGCACTTCATCTGTCTCATGACATAGATGTACAAAATACAAAAAAAAAAAAAAAACCACTATCGCTGCTCACCTATGTCCGGCTTTTTTGCTTCAAGTGCATCTTCAGTGGTGAAGAGAGTTTTGGGGAAGCGGATGAAGATTTTCGACCTGTAAACATCAGGCACAGAAATTTGTGGTCAAGACTGTTGTTCATTTCCTTATGATGAGAATGTCATGATCAACTTTTTTTCATACTGAGCTGTCCACAGGGCACCACTACCAAACTCTCCATACATTCACACACTCTCCAACAGCACATCACCTGCCCAGTTTGTACTCCTCTTCCTTGTAGCCCAGGTGGTTGACCAGTGTTGAGACACCATCAGCTAGTCTGCCGTGCCAATTAGGCCACGTCTCAGGACACAGAGGTTTGTACCTAAGGTTATTTGTGCATAATTATAATGAGAGAAGACGAAACAAAGAACAGAGAATACATAGTGATTGAGGCTTGAACGCGTTCATCGGAAAGGTGAGTCACCTCTGCAAGAAGGCCTCAAAGCGACGCCGATAGGCAAAGCCAGCTCTTCTGACTCTCAGGTTTTCCATCAGGCCCAGATACTTCACCTGGTGTCTGACCAGGACTTCATCAAACCTATCTGCAGAAAGAGATCAAATCCACTGGCGATCAGCAAAACTCATATGGTGGGAACTAAACCATAATAGAAACAGTAAAACGGTTAGTAATACTTTATGCAACGGTCCTGAATACCAATCATGGTGTACACAACTTTTAAAATTGAATTAGATGTTTATCTTTCTTGCTAAGTCTTCAGGTCATTATGCTTTTACAAACCCTTATTAATACTTCAGGATGATTAAAAACATCATAACAGATCTTGTAGGTGGCTTATCAACAAGCTATTTGTGCTTATTAAAAGGACCTTAACATCAAGTATTGCCAAATGTTTACAGATAAAAGACAAGTCACCAATCCAAATCTTTGAGTGGCATGACCAGCAGTGTGTGAATGTGTGTGACTGGTTTGGAAAGCACCAAGCCCTTTATTAGTACAGTCTAATTACCACTGAAATGCTCCCAAGACAGTTATTGTCACTTTCAGTCAAACTGCAGAGCATTTTTAATAGAGCAGATCAAAATCATTCATATCATGAAACAGGTGGTGACCAAATACTGACAATATCATAACAATTTACGTATTATATTATTATACTTATTGATCAGGAGGTTATTTTCTTTTACCATGTAGGCATTAAAGCATAGATATCTATGTTTCAATCCATATTTCAACACTTTTTAATTGAAACTACCAACATCAAAATAAACAACCATGTACATCTCATGATGTTTTCATGTACCTGGCTGCTTCGCATCATTAGGTTTGATACAGCGGACATAGGACGGCTCTTTGGACATAAGAATTTCCTTAAGTTTCATCAGGCTGGTTTTAAACTGAGTGGCAGCCTAGAAAAAACACGGGGAAAGAAACATAACACTGTGGGACACTGTGGGAAATCCTCTGAAATTTGTGTGCTTGCAAAGAGGGAGAGTAAAAATGGGAGCGAGAGAGAGCTCTCACCGTCACTGGGCGTTTCTGGTCTATCACTTCCTTTCTGCGGAAGCAGTGCCGCAGTATCGGGTTTTCTGACTGACACATGACCTGACAGAGACCAAACCACATTACCACATGTCAACATCACACGCCCTCGCCCTCCTTAAAGGTAAAGGCAGACATCACAAGGTTTACAAAGGTGGTTATGAGGTCCTATTTTCATAATTTCAGAGTTCTCACCTCTTTTGGGTTCCTGTTCAGCCATTTGTTGTTCTTGTCCAGGAAGCCTGAGTCAGAGAATAAAAACAGGATATTTTGTCATCAAGAAATCAGTATGTTGTAGGCCACTCTTTGATGAGCCAGCTAGAAGGGAATAAATGCACATATTTAAAAGCAATCTGACTGATTTATTCATGAAATATTGGTTACCAGTGACATTGTAGTTGACCTCTCCAGCATAATGCAGCAGTCTGAATTCTTCCCTGCTCAGGACCCTGCGAGTTTTTCCATTTGCCAACTTGTGACTGAAAACAAAAACACATGGAGATGTAAGAAGATAAAACTTAAAGAGTCCACTGTACTGTAAGTTGAAAAAAGTGATATCAAATGGCTCATACGTGACAAAATGGGGATGGCCACCCAGTGTATCCTCCAGTTTCTCCAAAAAGGAGACATCGCAGGTTTCTCCAGGTCTAAGACACTCCTCATCCTGAGAGAAAAGTCGCACTGGTTCACTTCACTCACAGTAACAAGGTGTAAGACAACATGTCATGTCATGGAGTTGTCATGCGTACCAGGATAGAGATGATGCCTTTGTGCTTCTCTTCTATCAGGTCACAAATGATCTTGTTGTCAAAGTATTGCACCGGCTCCCACTGGAAAAAGAGGGGAACATTTGAAGAACTATGTCCTGTTAGAGGTGACATACGCCTATCAATATGTAATTGATCTCACGGATTTGAATCTCAACCAGAAAGTGACTCACTGCAATTCCCTCTGTCTCATACTCCTCCTGCTCAGACCTCAGAGTGAGTTCAATGAACAGCTGCTGGAGCTTCTCGTTGCAGTAGTTGATACAGAATTGCTCAAAACTTACAACACAAGAGGGAGAGAACTGAAGTCAGTCCAGTTCCCTGCACTACAGATACTGATGAAGTGCAAAGAAAGATCTAAAATTAAGAGGAAAAATCAATCAAATTTATACCTGTTGTGTTGAAGAACCTCAAAGCCGTAGATGTCCAGAAGCCCAATGACTGAGGAGCCTTTGTTGCTGTGGTAGATTTCATCCTGCAGACATTAAGACAGTATTAAAACACAGCAGAAATAAAGACCGTAATGAAATTTTCTGTAACAATGCTGCTGCACCTTTGGAGCCAGTGATTGGTTGATCTTCTGCACCAGCCAAGAGAAGGTCCGTCCATACATGGACTTGGCCAAGGCATCACGGGCAGACACTGCCTGCTCAAAATTTAGAGGGCTGATCATCTGTAGTGCAAACAAACAAGCAGGCATAAAGTCATTTCATGTCTTCTTACACAACAAACAACATAATGCATGAGGAACAGGGACACTGAGGCCATCACCTCCTCTCCTTTGGCAGTGAGTTTCTTGTGAGTGAGTGCCTCCCCGAGGGCTGAGCTATCAATACCAAGCAGCTGCAAAACAACGACACATCTGTGCTCAGATTTGCTTGTTTTTGCGGATATCTAAACATCCAAATATACTATTGGGATTGTTCTGACCTCTGCAAGATGGTTCAAGCGAGTCTCAGTGGTGATATAAGCTTCTCCGTCTTCCCCTTCCCCGAACTGAATGTTGCCCAAGTGGAGAACACCAGCAATGATGTTCAGCAATATCTGTGGATGGACAGAGGAAACACAGATCACAACTACATTGATAAACTAATGGTTTGTTGTAACTAAATAGCATAATCAAGAAAGCCACAGAAATATACTTGTGAACACAGAATGAGAACTAAAGGGAAAACTCATTTCAGTTCTATAACACTGAACATAAACAACAAAATACAATAATGCTTGTATCCTGAGGGAAAGAAAACAGAACTTATAATATGCCGTGTTACTGACCTGCACTTCCTCCTCTGTGAAGCCGAAGACAGACAGGGCCTTCATCACTGTTTTCCAATTGTTCTTGTCACTGACAGAGCTGAGTCTGGGGCAGTTGCCCTATTAAAAAGATAATTTTAATGCTCAACAAGCTATATTATTAACAGTTCAAAGATCAATATTTCATTAAAACTTGAACCCCACACAGACCTTGACCAGATAGTCGTAGTTCTGAGGGTTTCTGTCCAGGTCGAGTCTTCTGAGCAGGTCGTCGTCTCCTCCGTCCAGGAGCTGATAAAAGATGTGGAAGTTTCTCTCACCTTGGTTCTGGTACACGACTCGTGTTTTCTCCAGCAGGAAGTTCATGATGTGACTGCCCACTGGTGTCCCCTAGGAGAGGTATTAGAAAAACAACAAGGGCAGAAGCACAGTGAAAAGCAGGTTCAACACTGTGTTGGTTTGAATGTTTCAGCTTCAATATACAGAACTTTAAAAAATGTTTACCCTAAAGTCAAACTGGATGTCCATGTATTTCCCAAAGCGGCTGGAGTTGTCATTCTTCAGTGTTTTTGCGTTACCAAATGCCTTAACAAAGCAGGAAAAACAGTGTCAGTAAGTTGGCAGGGGAATCAGGATGAACAAGTAAAAAAAGAATGCAAGAGTTGAATATATTTACTGTGCTTTTATTGGGACAATAACTATTAACTTTAAAAGGCATATGGTTGAATACCTCCAGAACTGGGTTGGACTGCAGTAGGTGGTCACCAAGAGCAGCCATGCGGTCATTGGTCGGACAGGTAACAGCGTAGTAGAGGAGGATCTTCTTGGAGGCCTCTGTCTTACCTGCTCCACTCTCACCCGATATAAGAATACACTGGTCCTTCCTCTCTGTGCGCATGGCTCGATAAGTGTTGTCTGACAGTGCATAGCTAAAGAACAACACAAAAGCCACACACACTGAAAAATAGTGGCTCAAAACATCATTAAAACGCAACAGAAACTGTGCTTTGATTTGCAGTAATAGCTGATCTATTAAACTGGTAACAGGTTTCTCATATTTTTTATGATGCAATAAATCAATCATTGAAGTCAATTACCTTATTTCATAACCACCTCATAAATTATGTAAGACAAATAATGGAGGTGAAAGCAGTAAATCTGGAAAATATACAATACTGATATATTTTCTTTCCCAAATGAAATTGGAGGATAAATTGATACTAATCTTTGGTAACACTTAATTTGACGCCTATCTCTATAATGCATTAAAAATATATTTATAATGCAATTTATAATGCATCATAATCATGGTACAGCACTGTATAACTATAGTTCTAAACACTCATAAATGATCATAATGTTTTATAGCAATAATCATAACACATTATGAAGCATTTTATCATGACTTACAAGGTCAGGTATTATAATGTGTTATGATTTCTGCTATAAAGCATTAAGATCATTTATGAGTGTTTATAACTATAGTTACACAGTGATATAACATGATTATAACGCATTATACATATATTTATAATGCGTTATAGAGATAGGTGTCGAATAAAGTGTTACCTAATCTTTTTGTTATGTATCCTTATTTATGCATTGTTTTTCCACACATATATTGAGCTGTGCAACACTCCAGATGAAATTTAAGATTAAACATTACAAAAACTGATGTTTTCTTTCAACTGCCCTCACTAGTTTTAACAGACAACATCACATCGCGCCTATCCCTGCTTCCTCCCACTGACCCCCTGTGTGATTTAGAATCGATTTTAAGAGTTTACTGGTCGCTCAATTGCCCAGCCATTAAGCAAATTCCCTGTGATCAAATAGAATTTAAGAGTTATCCTCTTATAAACTGGTTACACATAATATTAAATGCTCTCAATGAAATGTATATATGAATGTATTAAAAAAATGTAACATAAAGTGACTCACATGTGAGGTGATATCTCGTAAAAGCTGACCCCTCTGTAGCGCTCCATCTGCGTCTTGGAGTAAATCTCCAGATCTTTGTAAGGGTTCACCGACACCAACACTGAGCCAATGTATGTCTGAGCCAAACACATTAGAACACATTGAAATATGTTTCACCACACCAGCTGAGATGTTTTTCGAGTGTGTGAATAAAAACTGGCAGTCTTACATAAATGAGGTTTTCTCTGAAACGCCTCCTCAGGTTCTCAATAAAGGTTGCCTCACTGTTGTAGTTTTCAAGCAAGACAAAGTCCTGCACCCCCACCCTGTCCCGCGCAGTCAGGGCGCTCTCCATCACCAGGCGCACCCTTCCCTCAATGTCCACCTCCTGTGGGGAGAGAGCCAGAGAAATGTTACAGAAATACAGAATAACAGCACCTGCTTCTCTCAATAACACTAAACTGACATTTTATATAATTACAATCATACCAGCAGGGGGCACTATAGGCCCTTTTCCCCATTCATACGTGATTAAGTCACCCACTTCTGAAAAAGTGAACATCTGGTTTTTTGGTGTCACAATAACTGCCACTAAAATTTCATAACAGAGAATTAATTTATGAAAAGAAAACTAGTGCCTCAAGACTTAATAACCACATCACCAAAACAACACTATGTAAATATACGGAGGAGGAAAGTTACACCAGAGCCAAGACTAAACAGTGAAGACATTTCAGGAATCTCAATCATAAACAGACCGGATAGACTCCTTTATAACCCAGCAGAGAGACAGAGTATCATGATGTATGAACAGTACACACAGCTCTTTATCGTCAGCCGGGATCAACCAGCGTTACTAGGAAAGTGTGTGCACATGTAAACCTGAGTGTGACTGCAGACTTGAAGGTGCAGACAGGAAATAATTAACAGTGTGCTGAGTGAAATACTCAGATATGCCCTAAAGTCAGATTGTACTCACATAACCTAAATCACAGTGTGCAACAAGATGATAAAATATCAGGATACTGATACAGCGCATCAACGATGCTGACAACACATGCCAAAGCAGCTGCTCTTTATCATCAATACCACAGATTCATTTATGACAGAAGCCCTGTTGTCTTTTTTGTCTAAAAAAAACAAGCAGAAAGTGGAACAATTGGGCTAGCCTTCTACAGAACTTCTGTTGTTCTTGAAGGCGAACCTCTCGAGGGACTCATTTGGCTGTTTAATACCGGTAAAAGGTCATTATCTCTGAAGCAGGAAAATGCTTAAAAAAACAAGGGGACAACAGTGGAAGACAGCCAAGAAGCTGGAGCAAAGGAAAGTCAGAGGACGCTTCCACTACTGCCCCTCCTCTCTGCTTCACCTTGGTGTATTGTTCTCCCACTCCTGCAGGTGGGTTTCCCTCGGATAGTAATTACAGTCCACAGTCAGATTTTCCAAAGGATACAGCTCAGGAATGCCGGGGTCAGGCTTGGGACGGGATATCAGCAGAAACTACTGAATGCCTCTATGCTTTTTTGCTGTGCATGTTTTGACATAAAACACAGAGAGTATGTTCTCTTTTTTGCACAACAAGTTATCAAGAATTCTTCCATTTTTGACACCTTGCAGGAAGAGGTGCAAAACTAGAAAGTAGGTAAGTCAGGTGATATTTTACGTACTAGATAAAATGTGGATCATACACAGACCAGCTGTGACATTATGACCTCTGACACATGAAGTAAACAACTCTGATTTTCTGTCTGTGGTGGCACCCGTCAGTGGGTTGATGCGCTGTAAGTAGCAAAAATGGACAAGCATAAGGATAAGTCTCTTTGACAAGATCCAAACTCTGACGGTGGGACAACTGGAACAAAAAAATCTCCAAAACTGCATCTCTTGTGGGGTGTCCTCAGAAGAAACTGGCAACAGGGTCCGAAAAAAAAGAGCTACTGGAGGTCAAGTGACTGGTGTTACAAAAACACACATTGTGTCACAGTTATTGCACACTGGTCATAGTGTCCATACTGACCCTGGTCTACCACCGACAGCTCCTTCAATGGTTTCATCACAACTGGACTGAAGCAATGAAAGAGTAGCACAACCATGAGTCCAAGTTGTGCACTCAAGGTGTCTTGATGCTGTGTTCGAGTTACCTCGGAAGTCAGATGTTGGAGCTGAAAATGACGTCACACCCAAGTTCCCAGCGTTTCAGTTACCAAGTTGGAAAAAAGCAAAATCGAAGGCCTGAAACAAGATGGCTACATCTACGAAAGTTATTTTAGCGCTTGCCTTATGTTCGGACAAGATCTTCTTCTATCTGTGGGATGTGCTGGACTGCCATGTCTTTCCATAGAGTCCCCATCTCACATCTTCCAAGACTTAAAGGACCTGCTATTATTGTACTAGTGCTGGATACCACAGCACACTTTCATAGGCCAGTGTGGAGTCCATATTTTATCAGGTCAGGGCTGTTTTGGTCCTGACCGGAACGGAGGGTGGATCTAAACAAGCAGGTGTCATAGTGTCATGGCAGATCAGTGTATGGAGAAAGGATACAGATTAATTTCTTGCTAAATCCAAATACTTAAATAACACAAAGACATCCAGAAAACATGGCCATGTGTGCAGCATACACATCAACTTTTCGTAGCTGCAGACCCTGACCTACAATACCAAGCTTTGACTTTATTGGCATGAGGATATCATTTTGTCTTTGACTGATTCTAGACCTTCTGTGTTTATCTGTGCTGTGCTGTGTGGTTACAGAGATGTGAAGCAGCTGCCATGGTAACAATAAAAACACAAACTTGTTTCGTAGTCTTGCCGTGCTGACTTGTTTCTTCCTTTTTACCCTAACAGAGCCAGCATTTAATGTGTCCTCTTAAGGAACCAAAAACAACTTTGAAACACTGCAGACACTGTTTTCATTGTCTTCAGCGGTCACATGTTGCATTTTTCATAACCTTAGGAGTTTTATTACCATAACATGTGGAGAGGAATCACTTTCCTTCAAAAAGAAACTCTCAAAACTTGGAAACAGTGTGTTCGAGGAAATCTTCAAGGATGTGCTCCACCTTTGTGGAGACCCTGGTAGTGGAGGTAGCTCTGGGGCTCCATGTTTTGGATAGATTCAGTATAATCCTTGCAGCTTTGTTTTTAGAGGACTGACCTGAGGCTTGGTTCTCAGAGAAGTGAGAGTCTGATTTAACAGACAGGCTCTACAGAGTCCTTCAGTGCTTAATGGGGAATTTGACCCTGGGTGTGTGGCAGCTTCACTAATAACTGCAGGTTTTTTAGGTGTAGCAGCAGTGACACCCAGTGAGGACTCTAACCACAAAGTGGGACTTGGCTCCAGGCCCCATGACTAAGCTGTGCTGGGCCGACTACATTGGGATTGTCTTCCTTATAAGGCATGCCCCACCACTCTGTCCCAGGGCGAGCTGCTCTGGTACCACAGCTGGCTCTTTACCATTGATGTGCCAGTAATGGATGTGGTGGAAAATACCAAGTTTACACTCTAAGGGCTTCTAGGGTGAAAGCCTCTACAAACCCCAAAATACACAGTGACTCATACAGAGGCATGAACAAAACTCAAGTGACTCATTGTTCTGCTTCGCTTTTCTCCGTTACAGCAGAATGAATCTCACGTCTAACTGTGAAGTAGCTGTAAATGTACACATGATTAAATCTGATGTAGTGTGTGTACTTCACATATATGCACAGAGAGCATCATGGATCTTACCCTGCCTTGGTACCTCATCCTGTGTTGTTGTTGCTGGTATAGAAAAAAAGCAAAACTGATGGTCCCCCCAGGCTGCTGCTCCTCCTCCCGTGTCAGGCAGACTTTTTTAACTTGTCATCCACCTTTGCCTCCAGGCCGCAGATTTAGGAAATCTCCTCTCTTCTCTTCCCCCTCTTTTCAGTCACTTTCTCACTCTGTCTTAGCTTCAGTCTCTTTCTCCAGGTCCTTCCTCCTCCTCTCCTGTGAGGACAAAGCATAAGCGCTTAGGCCCAAACACCAACAGTCCCTCTTGTTTATACCTTCAATTCATCCTCCCCATGACCGCTCAGCTCAAGTCAACGTACGCCTCTCAGTGAGTCCCCTCTCTTTTCCTCTTAACTGTACTGCACAAAACAAGGGCAGGAACCTCGCGCAGACGTCATTCAGAAAGAAAAAAAAAGTAGGGGAAAGTAAGCTGTTGGATCCTGAAAAAAAGAGAAGGAGAAACAGAGAGCTAAGAGGGCTTGGAAAAAATTGCTAAGAGCTCTAGTCTACAAACATGTAATCAGTGTGCAGTGATATAAAAAGAGAAAAAAAGAAATCACATGATGAGAACTCAGTACATTCTTTCTTTTCTACCCTCCCTGTTTAGTTTACTCCCTCCCTTTTCTCCCGCAAGCTGAGACAGATTCACATGGGATGTGAGTTATGGAAGTGTTTCACCAGAAAGGCAGCCCGTCTCCTTGTGGCTCACCTCCACTGTGGATGAAATAGACTTCACCACCATCACTATATCACTCAGTAGATATTTTAAACTTAGACACAGTGATAATTTCACATAGAAAAGTGCTTTGTTCATTTAAAAACAGATCCCTCTCCTTTTTTGCCCCCTCCCATGTAGAAATATTTTGGGAGTGCTGTCAGGGACACACCGTCTGGGAGAACAGCGCCCTCCTCTGGTTATACCGCCAGTCCTCTCACCCTATTTCCCCTCCCTCTGAATCCCCGCCTCACCCTTTCTCCCTTGCCAGCATCATCAAATATCTAACACTGTGGAATCTGAATAATGTTACCCAGATGGAGAAAACCTCTGACTTTTTTTCTCTGTCTGTGGAGCTCTCAGGGTTTTAAATGATGAAGAGAAAGTCTCCATAACTGCTACTCTCACCACTGTAGCCCATTGTTGGCATAGTGGAAGTTACACTGCCAGTGGCAATTGGCGCCATTCACCTTTAATTAAAAAAGAAAACGGTATGCAGTCTTGTCATGCCCGCCTAAAAGTCTCTTGAACTTTTCTATCACTTTATTTCCTCACAAATGATTTCTAATCAGTTCCCCTCCAGTTGTAAGTTCCCCATTCACAACACTATATCCTGATATAATCTATCACCAGCAGTTGTGTTGAGCACAAAAACCAAATAAACAAGCACAATGAGATGAAAGTTGGTCATTTAGTTTAGCAGATTAACGCGTATTTTGTACTTCCTCATCAAAGCCAAACAATACATAGCGGAAATATTCTGGACAAAAGCTTATTTGTTCTGACTTCATCAAGGTGCGCTCCATTTTTGGTTTCAGACAACTTTGAGGTAAATGCGTTGCAAATGCATAAAGTCATTGTGTAAAAACTGTGCCATCTGTTTAGGTTAGTCTTGGTCTTTTTAAAACAAAATTTGATGAATAAACTAAATTTTCTTGATGGAATTGATGTTGAAAGACGCTGAGTGTGTCCACGCCCAGCCTTCAGACCAGAAGCTAGCTCCTGAAACGGCTTCTGGATCAATAGGATCAATTTTAAATATACTGTATATTAAATCTCTGTGTGGCATTGTAAGTAAGTCTCAGTTTTTGCTAAGTGGAAACATTCAGAAAAGTTGCAGTACCTCGAGTGTCCACTTGTGACAGGCTCTAGAAGCCAAGGAACCCCCACTGACACTCATGTCAAAGTGCCTATTTTTACCGCAGAATTTAACATGCTCACAGCCCAGCATGATCTACAGTTTTGGTTAAGGTCTTTTCAATCGAGAACATGTCTATGTTTTTTACTTTCAACTGACGCTAATTCAAAATGGCCACACCACTTAAAATCAACATGCACAAACAGATACAAATAACACTCTTTCTTTCTAAAGCTTATTTGCCAACTCATGAAAAATCTACAGAAGCAGATACTTTTACAAATCATCTGAAGTGATTTAAGGGCTTTAACATTATCCAGGATGCAGCTGATGTGAGTGACAGGTAGGTGCTGCTAGGACTCTGAAGGTTAACACCAAAGATAATTCAAGTCCCTAAACTTGACCTACAGGGAGGCTGACCTCCCTTTAAAATCATGTTGGTCATGTTTGGCTCCATTAAACCAAGATTATGAAGACACAAATTCAAGCGACATCAATGCAGACTACCAGTGGTTGATTCAGCTGTTAAAAAATTTCTCTCAGAATATATTTTCTGATCAAATGTTCAGGGTGGTATATTTTAGCATTTTTCGTTATTTAATTGTGGACTTTTAACTCTTTTAGAGTCCTCTGGAAAAGCGGCTCCATAGACAGAATATATGGCAGATAGTTTGCTGGCAGCACTTTCTGATTTACTTTTGAAGGGCATCCAAGGCATAGCATGTGTAACCACATGCATGTGGAAACCTGAGGGTACTCTGCTTACACATCTGGTTTCTCTACTCTGCACATATCACACATTTCACCATCTGGAAACCCCACTGCTGATAAAATCATGATAGATAGATAGAAACTACAGTTTTACTGTAGAGTTCATCTCCATCACCTCAGCTGGTGAAATATCTTCTTGTGATATTTTCCTGCTGAGATTTTTTTCCAATAAGTGTTCCTATCTTTGTTTAGCAGTTCCTGTAAGAAGGATTTCCTTCCTAGCTGTTTCCTGATGTTCAGCGTCATTTGAGGTTTACTCTTGTGTGAACTAATACTTTCTTAAGCACATTTCCATTTAGTGCACCTTCACCAGCTTTAAACAGTTGGTTTTAAAAGTGGAGAAAAGATCATCTGTGTTGGCAGTGATAAATCTAATTTCTTAACACTGTGTTTTTTTTTTTTTAGGACGGAGCTGTTTGATCTAAACTACCCTCCTTTCATGAGTACACTCACTACTCACTACCTCATCGGGCACCACATCCACTTCAGCAAAACATTTCAGACTGAAAAATGATCTTTTCCAGCAGACACAACATTCTGCCTGACTTCAATTTCATATAATTTCATTACGACTCAAAACTAATTCTGAACATCTGACATATGAAGTCAGAAATTGAAGTAATCCTTGCATAACCTTCTTAGGTGAATGTGCAGTGTTTTGTCACATCATTCCTCCTCATTTATTCTCGTGAGGTTTTCCAATTAAAATAACAATAACTCACAGAGGAATGAGGACTTCTAAGAGCAGAGTGAAGAGGAAAATAGTTTGATTCGTTCGACTTTTTCTTACAATTTTTCCTTCCTCCTTTTGTCTGTATGTCTCTCACACACAGGGAGAAATCTATTTAATGGAATAAATGACACTGTGGATAGTTGATGTCATCTGAGGTACTAAGTTTCTCACCTCACCATGTTTGCCTTCATGGCATTAGTTCAACGTTTACTCTATTTCCTGTTTTTGCAAACTTAACTCACCCATATTGCTAAATGTTTCTATAATATAGCGCTATTACAAAGTACTTAAAAATCTAGGGATGTGTTTCCTGTTTTATTTGGGGAACATGGCTTAACTTCCTTAGTAGTCATTATATCCTTGGTACAGACGCCATTTTGCACCTACTGACCATCTGTGCTGAGCCATTTCAGCACCCATCTGTTGCCCCTTTCACCCTGATCTCACCTCTGCTGCCTCTCAACCCCAGATCCTTGTTACACCACAAGGGCTACTTTAGAAATTGATAAAGGTGTAAAACAAAACCCAGTGAATCAGCAAGCAGTGAAAACACATAGGATTTTCTAGAACTGAAGCTGCTCTCTGTGAAAGGGGGGTATTCCATTATTCATTATGTTTTCTCTGATTATAATTAGGACAGTCTGGATGAAGATGAGGTTTCACGCCAATAGTTGACCTCAAAAGTATAATCACTGAGGGAAAAACGAAAGTGAGTATCACGAGATCAACTTCAGTGAAGGCTGTATGAAAGCTTAGAGCTCAGCCTAGTGGTGATACTATCAATTACACTCTGCTGGTTTATATGCATCTGTTAATGTGAAAGGGAGAACTGCAATTAACTTTTCACATCATGTCTACATATGAATTTGGCTGCATGAGTCTTCATCCAGTCGCAAACCAATTTAGTTTAACACTGTTAAATACAATAAAAAATTGACAGAAATTTTCTCTGTATGTTAAATTTTCCTCTGAGTTTTGTGTGCTCTGTCTCATCTTACAGAATGTTTTGCTCTATCACTTAAGCCTAATTGAAATGATGCACATACATTACAAAAAAATTTATGCACCTTACAAAATATAAAAGTAGAATATGCAAACACAGAGAAAAAAAATGACATACATTATATTTAGCAAAAAGTAAAAAAGCATGCAAAGATACAGTTTGCACAACCACTCCTACCTGGTCTTCCTTCACTTAGGTTTAACAGAGGGACTTTTAACCATCTCCTTCTCTGATAGCAGTCTGTTGATGGCTGCAATTCCAGTTACTTGTACAGCTAGAGGTGAAGCTTGAAGACTGAGCTATTCATCACCAGGCTGACTGTCTTTTCCCAGCAGCAGCACAGACGAAATGAACTCCCACAGGGAACCCGCTCAATCCAGATGGATATAATTACAGCACAGTAGAAGCACTCTAAAGGAAAAAAACATGAAGATTTTAGTGAAAGTGAAAACTGTTATTGTTATAAGCCTTCTTGAAAAGCTGATAGAAAATTTCAGGGGGTTTATAGCCTATAAATCCGCCAGGAGGCGGCAAGTCTGAAGTTAATGGTCTGCGCAAAGTAATCAGATATGATGCTGGTGACGGATGCCAGCCTCTGTCAAAGGTGGAAGAGCTGAGCGCTATAGACAGCACTGTGAAAATATACAGGTTAACTGATGGGCTGCTAGGAATGAAAACAGTTTTAAATACAATTTCTATTGTAGTGAAATTACTCTGTTTGTGCTTCGGGCCCTATTTGTCATAATCCTTTTTCATGCTGTAATCTCATTTACTTCTGTTTGTCTGATTGTTAAAAGGGATTTTTCATGGGCTTCACCGGCAGACCAATAATAATAATAATAATAATAATAATAATCAAACAATACGTTTATCCAAACTGTTTATTATAATATTCTAAGTTACATAAACTTGAGAGTCAAATTTTATCCCTTGATCATATATTTTTCAATAGATGATTAAATTCCACCCAAGAGGGTGTCATTTTCTACTTTAAAGTTGAACATCCAAGGGATAAAAGCCATGGGACCAAGACCAAAAAGGTAAATACTATTTAAGTATCAGACATGCTTTTTTTTTTTCGCTCCCAATGATCCAGTCAAGACCCTTCAAATTTATCACAACCAAAGAGTCCCAGATTCTTTTTGAAACTGAAAATGACACTAACTATTGACACTAACAGTTCTATGTTTTGTTTTGATGCTACTACTAAATGTAGGTGATAATATTAATTTCCTGTGATGGTATTTGATTTGAGAACATAGCTACTCTTTTGAATTCTTATCAGTTTTTATTTGCTTGATATAATATTCAGTGTATATTCTTCTTAGAAACTAGTGGGAACTTTTTATTGTTTCAATCAAAAATGCCCATAAGCTTGCTTCATATTGATTCAGAGGCCTTAGGCTACAGCTAGCAGTTTGTTAAAATAATTAACACATAGCCTTTGACAAGTGAATTTGTGTGGGAAACATATACTCTATGTAAGAGGAAAAACGTGTATAAGAAAAACATTTACAGATGCATTATAGTAAAGTCTGTTTACCCTGAATGGTATCAAATGTTTTAAGAAATGAGAATAATTTAAATTACAAATAGCTGTAATGATCCATGTTTTGCCTCCTTTAATTTCATGCTAAGCTAGGTGATGATAGTACCTAGCTGCTAGTTCATTGCTGTCTGACAAACTTGATGGAAACTATTAGGAGAGAAACAAACACTGGATGACATTTAGACGTCTGTTTTCAGGCTAGTTGTTATTACAACTACAAAAAGGCCTGATGAGGCTTGTTAGCTTAAACAGTAGAGTTAGCATTAATTTTTTTGAACATTTTTAGTAAAAGTCGTTAGGGAAACAACCTCAGTTTGTAAATAAATTATCAACAAATTTCTGTTGTCAGACAGACAGGTTTTGGGGTAAAAGTGTTGAAAGAATTTAAGTTTTGCAATAAGTGAGGGTATGACCGGAGAGAATCGATCACTTTGGAGAAATGACTCTCCCGCAATGGCAGCAGTATCGTGGTGGTGGTGAGCTCAGCAGCAGAGAGGGAGAGAGAGAGGGAGAGAGAGAGCAGACCTGCTGCTGCTGCTGCTGCTGCAGTTGTGTGAGGGCGCCGCTGGGTGAGTCCCTCTCTCCGCTGCCTCTGTCTCCACAGCTCCTTTTTCCCAAAGAAAAGAAGAGGAGAACTAGGTCCGGGGAGGAGGGCCGCCGCCATTATCGGAAAGCTGGCAGAATAACCACTTCCACACACGCAATCTGCTCCTAAATTGATCAGGACATGAACAATTTCTGTTGCAGTAGAAGCATATTTGAGACGAAACACCACGGCGATTGCAACAAACTCACCGTTGTCTCGTGTGCGCCACCGGCCCAGCATTATGTGGGCACAACAATGGACAGAATAATTATTGAAAAAGCAACGTGGTGAACCGAGAAGAAGACGGCAAAGCAGATTTAAAACGCCTGAATTTCACATGAAGACAGACTCTCTTAAGAACAAAAACCGGATTGTTGTGTCATTCGGGATATTTATTTTCTCAAACCGCGTGTTTAATTGCGAAGAAGAACAGTGATGCCGAACAAGTGAAACCAGGCATGGGAGACGGATATTTAAAATAATTTACCTCACCGCACATGTTGTTGTTTTATCAGTATTATCAGTGAATTGGGACGACTGTGATCTGCGGCTGTATGCTATTGCACATCAGAAGGCGAGGGCTGCGGCAAGAGCTGGCCTGACAGATGCAAGAGGAGAAAGGGAGAAATGCGATGGTATGTACCCTGTATGCTCTATCCTGGTCTTTATGAGCTATTACCTCGAGTGCTACACCCTAGACAGCTGAGTAAATAAAATCCGTCTAAACATTCTTTGTCGGCGTGGAGGAGGAGGTAGGCTATCCAAGATTTCGGCTCTGCGATTTCATTATGTAGACAGCAGGCCTGGCGTGGTCAGCCCCTCTCGGTGTGCACCCTAAAGCCCATGGTAACTGTTAATCCTTTGCAAAACATATAAGGTTGCAAAATCTTATCTAGGTAAGTAGGTTATGTGAATGAAAGAGCACGAAGGTACGCTTCAGTAGACTGTGTTTCCATGAAGCTGGGTTAGATGATTTTGTTGTTTTTATTTGCGGTGAACTTGTCTGTGTATTTTGGTATCAGGCCTAGCTCAGCTGAGCGGTGGAGACTGCTGCTGCCCATGGTTGCTTTTGACCCTGCTGGAGCTGTTTTGTTTCTCATTTGAGATCACTTCATGTATGCGACACAGCATTTAGCGTCAATGTGAGCCTCCTCTTGGGTTTGTGATCAGTGACTCATATTACACACAGGTGAAATCCTGCATTTGGTTAAAAAAAAGAAAGTCCCCTTCCTGAAATTATAAGCAGTTATATCAGATTTGCACCAGTGGAATGATAATTAATCCCTTAAGATTTGAAGAATAGTTGTCTGAAGAGGTGACTAAGTTCAGTGTCCCTTGGCATGCCATGTGGATGTGCCAGACTCTGTTAATAAGTCTTGTATTCAGTCACTGATTTATCTTTGGAGATCAGGCTGATAGCTCCTGTTTCAGTGAGGTATGAAAACTGAGGTGTCCATAACAAAGTCATTTTCATGCTTGTCACCTAACTCACTGATCAGCTGACGTGGCCATTTAAAAGCAGCACTTCTAATATATTTTGTAGGTTAATGTAGTCTTGGTCTAATATTAGAGAGTGGTATCTAGCTAGACCAGCATTGATTTGGGTTGTTAAATAAATATGTTTTTGAGCAACCCTTTAAAAAGGATTATTTCAAGTGAAGTACCATTTTGAAGAAAAAATGCAAGAAGGAAGTTAAGTTTGTAACATCAGAATTTCAGCTTTCTGTCTTTGCATTCAGATTCGAGTAAAAAAAGAATCTTTGGTTTTTGCACTGTTAGCATAAAAGTTATGTTATGTCACTTTCTGCTAGGTTTTATTGTAATGAGCTATCCTATTTACACTTAATCAAATTATTTGATTAGTAATTTGACCGTGGATAGCAGGTGCAGCCTTTAGACGAAATTAACATTTTCTCGACTATTTGATCGATTATATTGGAATTAATCAATGTGTCCCAATGAGAAATCATATTCAGTTTACTTTCAGTGTGACTTTTACATCTGAAGTCAACGACCACTGTCAAAAGATTGTGGCTAGTTGGAAAAACTTAATTCTGAATCCCTGTCTTCATTATGCATTACCTGGTGCCTATTTATGACATCAGAGACTCCTACTGTTAATAAAAGCTTGTTGTGTTCAATCAAAGCATAAAAAAGTCGTTTAATTTTATGCTGACCAGTAATCAGACTTCATTAAATAAATAGCAACAGAAAATAGTCAAATAGAAACAGAAAATTGAAAGAATATGACTCTTTTAGTGTCTCATGCTGTTATTATGACAAATCTACTAAATAATAAGAAAAACAGAGATATAAAATGGTCATATGCAAGCTGGCAGACATGCAAAGTAAGTGTTGCTTTTTTTGTCATCAAAAATACTGCCAGTGTTTTTCATTGTCAAATAAAATGTTAATAAAAATGTTATGGAGTATTTTGATAGTCTGATATCTGATATTTGTTTTCAACCCTGTTTTTTACCCTCTTATGTGATTTAAAAATGTAATTTGCACTTTTGATTGTCTGATTTCTTTGTTTCGTTTGCTTTCTTTGACAGGGTCTGACTTTTACAAGGAATGAATGAAGGAACTCTCCTCATATAACTGCACTGCTATTTAGAAGAAGGTGAAAGCTGATCTCCTCTGTTAATCAGCAGCTTTATGGACAAACATTCAAGTGAACTCCTTTACACAGTGCCTGTTTATGGCAGGATGAGCTTCAGCAGGCTATGATGGCAAAAAAGCAAGATGCCCGATCACCCATTTACAACCTTGTTGTGGTGGGCTTGTCAGGAACTGAGAAAGAGAAGGGGCAATGTGGGGTTGGAAAGTCCTGCTTGTGTAATAGATATGTGCGGCCCAGTGCTGACGACTTCTACTTGGACCACACATCAGTGTTGAGCACCAGTGACTTTGGGGGTCGAGTGGTTAATAATGACCACTTTTTGTTTTGGGGGGAGGTGTCACGGGTTCTTGAGGAGGGGCCTGAGTGCAGGATGCATGTTGTGGAGCAAACTGAATTTATCGATGACCAGACTTTTCAGCCACATCGTAGCACTGCTATGCAGCCCTATATCAAACGTGCAGCTGGAACCAAGCTGGCTTCAGCAGAGAAGCTCATGTACTTCTGTACCGATCAGCTGGGCCTGGAGCAAGACTTTGAGCAGAAACAAATGCCAGAGGGAAAACTGCAGGTTGATGGCTTCCTGCTTTGTGTTGATGTCAGCCGTGGCATGAACCGCAACTTTGATGACCAGCTTAAGTTTGTCACAAACTTGTACGGTCAGCTTAGCAAGACTAAGAAGCCCATTGTGCTGGTCCTCACCAAATGTGATGAAGGAGTTGAACGCTACATTAAAGATGCGCATACATTTGCTATCACAAAAAAGAGTCTGCCAGTAGTTGAGACATCTGCACGCTCAAATATAAATGTGGACCTTGCCTTTCTCACTTTGGTTCAGCTTATTGACAAGGGTCGCGGGAAGCCCAAGATCATTCCATATTTTGAAGCCTTGAAACTCCAGAGTCAGCAGATAGCTTCTGCCAAGGATCGCTATGAATGGCTAATCAACCGCATTGTAAAGAATCACAATGAAACATGGATAAACACCAGTCGACGCATGAACACCTCCCCTGAGTATAAAGAATATGTTTTCTTGGAGGGAACAGCTAAATGCAAGAAGCTTTTTCAACAGCATGTCTACCGTCTGAAACAGGAACACATTGAGAGGCGACGCAAGATATACCTAAGCACTCTTCCTTTAGCACTTAGTTCTTTGGTGCCCGACCTGGATGAGATTGATCAGCTGAGCTGGTCTGGGGTACAGAAGGTCCTGGAGTCCAAGCAGCACTTTGCCCATTGGTTTGTTGTTCTGGAAGACTCACCATGGGAGGATACTTCTCACATTGATAACATGGAAGATGAAAGGATCCCTTCAGACCTGCTGGAGACTGGTGAGGCAGAGGATATATTCAATGCGCACCTGGAACATTTGCGTAATGAGTGCAGGAGGGCAGAGATGAGGCTGGAGTTCAAACAGAAGTTAGCCTCCTCTCCCTTTGTCACACCTGGTAAACCTTGGGAGGAGGCCCGCAGCTTCATCATGAATGAAGAGTTTTACCAGTGGCTGGAAGAACCAGAGTACTTAGACCTGTACAACCGCCATCAGAAGGAGATCATTGATCGCGCTAAGGAAGACTTCCAGGAGCTCTTACTGGAGTACTCTGAGCTTTTTTATGAGCTTGAAGTGGATGCCAAGCCAAGCAAGGAGAAAATGGGGGCGATTCAGGAGGTATTAGGCGAGGAGCAGCGGTTTAAAGCACTACAAAAGCTACCAGCTGAAAGAGATGCTTTGGTGTTAAAGCATATCCACTTTGTCTATCACCCCACCAAGGAGACCTGCCCCAGTAGTCCTCATTGTGGAGACTCAAAGATTGAACAAATCTTAGCTTCACGGTTCCCCACTTGTTACCCCTTTTTTGATTTGAAGGCTCATTTTGGAGACAACAAGGCTGACAGGATTAACCTTGTTATATTAGGGAAAGATGGACTTGCCAGAGAATTCGCCAATGAGATTAGGGCTCTCTGCACAAATGATGACTGGTATGTGTTAGATGGGAAGATGTATGAACTGACACTGCGGCCAATTGAAGGAAATGTTCGTCTTCCAGTCAATTCTTTCCATACCCCCACTTTCACCCCTCATGGATGTCTGTGTCTGTATAACTCAAAGGAGTCCCTCTCCTATGTGGTTGAAAGCCTTGAACGACTTCGGGAATCAACTCTGGGGCGAAGGGATAGCCAGCTAGCACAGCTGCCAACATCACTGCTGTTGGTCACCAAAAGAGGTGTAGGATCATATGTGGACATAGGTGGAGATACTGCCTTAAACCTTATAACACAGGGACAACAAGTTGCAAGGAGACTGCAGTGTAGCTTTTTAGACCCAGCCTCCCCTGGTGTGGGCTATGGCCATAATGTCAATGAAACTCAAATCAACCAGGTGCTGAGGGGCCTTCTGGATATTAGAAGGAGCACATCTTTCAGTAGCAGCTCCCCACCCCTCCTCCCTGAGCCTCCAGGTCTCAGAGACTCCCCTCATCAGCCAGCTCCGGAGGCAGACCTCCGCATTGTCATGTGCTTAATGTGTGGAGACTCCTACGACATTGAGCAGCTCTTGTCCCCTTTCTTGATGCATCAGCACTGCAGGCCTATGTCCAACAGCGGCACCTCTGTACTGCTGGAGCAGACAATTGGTGGACACAAGCTAGCTATAGAGCTCTCCCTGCTCTCATACCATGCCTCCTTCACTTTGCGCAAGAGCAGGCTAGTGCACGGCTACATCGCTGTGTACTCAGTATCACGAAAAGCCTCCCTGGAGACCCTCTGTGCCTTCTTGTGCGAGGTTCAGGACATCATACCGGTCCAGCTGTTGGCAGTGGGAGACAGCCAGGCAGAGCTCACTGACAGCGACTACGCCTGTGAACAGCTAATCCAAGGGGAGGAGCTTGCTCATGAGATTGAGGGTCGTTTCAATAGTTTGGTTTGTGGATCTGGGGGAGTGGTGGGAGGCCTTCACAGGATAGAAATGTTTCATTCTTTTCTCATGGAAGTGGTTGAGAAACGCAACATTGTTGAAGCCACACACATGTACGATAATGTAGCTGAAGCATGTACCAATGAAAATGTGTACTCCCCACGCTGCAGCTCTCCCAGTCCTGTCACCATGTTCCTGGATTCAGAGGATGACGTAGAGCCATCACCACCATACTATGATGGCACTCTCTCCTCTCACAGTGGGGGCTACAACCTGCCTGACTTAGATTCTAGTGACATCTCTGTCATATCAGATATCAGAGACTTTGAAAACAAACTTAACAACAAGGTACCCCCTCAAGTGAGAGTAAAACCAGGTGTCACTTTTGACTTCAGGAAAGTGAGCAGAAACCCATATATTGATACGTTAGGTCACCGCCGCTCCCTGCCCTCTGCTGTTACCTGGGTTCCTGGTGGGGATGTGGGTTATGACCCCTCAGACTATGCTGAACCCATTGATGCAGTTTCAAAACCTCGCCCAAGCAACGAAGAGATCATTTACTCAGTTCCACATGACAGCACACAGGGCAAAATTATCACCATCCGCAACTCCAACAGGATGCACTCCAATGGAAACGGCTCAGACAGTGAAGCAGACAGCAGCTCTCTGGAAAGAAGGAGGAAGTTCTCCGCTGCAGGAGTGAAGCCTCGTCTGTACCGCGACCGCTCCAAGAGGCTTGGCAAATTCAGCAGCTTCCGCACAAGCTTCATAGGCAGTGATGATGAAATGGGCGCTCTTCAGAAGTCCAAGGAAGATGACTACGGGACACTGAAAGGTGAAAGTCTCGTCAACGAGGAGAGTGAAGACCCAAAAAAGAGGAACATCCTGAAGAGCCTGCGACGAACAGCCAAGGTGTGTTTATGTCCAAGGTTTTCTGTTTATGTTGTTGAAAAAGTTTCATTTTCTTTTGCCTGTCCATTGACTAACACAGAAAGTTTTGTCGAGTGTGAATTTGGGATGGTGTTATTTAACTAAGGGTTTGATTGTGAAAACATTTTTGGGGAGATCTAGATTTTATACTGTATGTGAGGATTTGTCTCGATGGGCTACATTTGTCAGAATCACATGTGTGCCATAGTAAAACTATCCTTTGATGAGACACACTGAAGTCTCCCTTCTGTCTTTCTTCTCAGAAAACAAGACCAAAGCCCCGCCCAGCTATTCCCAAGCCCATGGAAAGCAATTACTTTGGAGTCCCCCTTGTGAACGTGGTATCTCCAGATAGACCTATCCCACTCTTCATTGAGAAGTGTGTCCGCTTCATTGAGACTACAGGTCTGTTGATTTGATTGGACTCTTTCACTTTAAAACGTTTCATGTTGTGCCACTGTACATGTCATCCATGCAAGTCTGGTCAAATCATTGACAGCAGTCATTTATCAGTAGTCATTACACAGAATAGGTAAAAACCTGTAATAGAATAAACCATGTTGAGTCATGTTATTATATTTCCTAAATGTAATATTCAAGTAATTCAAGGGTTGATTCACTTATGTAGTCTAAGAGTGTCAGCATGCGTATTGTCGTGCCAGTTTGCAATGTAGCTAATGAAGTGTTTGTGCTTTGCTTGTTTCCAAATGTACCCCCCACGTCTTTCCCTTTTCTCTGCTATGCGCTATTTTCCCTCAGGCCTGAATACAGAGGGGTTGTACCGTGTGAGCGGCAACAAGTCAGAGATGGAAAGCATGCAGAGGCAGTTTGAACAGGGTGAGTTGCCAATCAGACTTGTTTGAACCAAATGTTTGTCGTACAATTATGTGGTTGTCTAATCAAAACATAAACAGAGATTTACAAAAGGAAAGTGACATGCGAGGGATTGTTCCCTCTCAATGACAGCTGCTACTGATGGGTGTTTTCTCTCTGATCTGTTTAACTGTTTTTCTCCCTGTGCAGACCACGGATTAGACTTAGTGGAGAAAGACTTCTCCATAAACACTGTGGCTGGAGGCCTCAAAAGCTTCTTCTCTGAGCTGCCTGAGCCCCTGGTGCCTTGTGCTCTGCAGGTGGACCTATTGGATGCTTTCAGTAAGCAAACACTGCTGGGCTGGGAGGGTCTCTAGTAGAACATAAAAAGATTATTTCTTTAGGAGGGAAGAGGGCAGGGCAGGTCGTTGAAAACCTGCTCAGTTTTAGATATTTACTGTTTCACGGGCTGCGTGTGATAATGGCTCAGTTCTAATAAAGGCTTCTCTCTGTGTATGCAGAAATCAATGACAGAGAACAGAGGCTATACACCATGAAGGATGTCCTAAGGAGGTTCCCGAGGGAGAATTATGATGTCTTCAAATATGTAGTGAGCCACTTACACAAGTAAGTCCCCTGTCTGCTGTTTGGATCCCTTTCATGGATTTGTTGGTCTTTTACAGTAGACACCCATCTGCTTTTCTGCACTTGATGATGAGAATGAATAATTAGTGTCTATTTGTGTGTGTTTTTCTCAGGGTGAGCCAGCTGAACAGGGTGAACTTGATGACCAGTGAAAACTTGTCCATCTGCTTCTGGCCCACTCTCATGAGGCCAGACTTCACCACTATGGACGCTCTAACTGCCACACGCACCTACCAGACAATCATCGAGACCTTCATCCACCAGTGTGCATTCTTCTTCTACAACCAGCCCCTCCTCGACTCCCCCACCGGCCTGGCGGGCCTCCCCGCCTCGCCCACCACCACCCTCAGCGGGAGCTCTGCCTACTCTTGTTACCGCTCCTCCCCTCCCCACACCACCACACACTTCAGCCCCCTGCAGCAGTCCCCGCCCACCACCCCCCAGTCCCCCCTGCAGTCCCTGCTTCCTCCCCTCCACCAGCACCCCCACTCCCACCATTCCCCTGCTGAACAAGAGACACTGTGAGAGATGGTGAAACCACGTGTGCCCATGATGATGCTGGACCTTATCACCAACACACACAAAAACACCCACACACACTCACACACCTACACACACACATACACACATAAAGTAAATTGTGCTCTTGCACACAACATTTTAGATCATGGACAACCTAGATTATAAAACGAGGAGATGGGAAGTGTCTTGAGAAACCTCCCTAATCTGCCATTTGTATCCATGTTTGTGTGCATCAGGGCAGGCTACAGTTATCAGTGACTCTTCCTCTGCCCTCTGAGCCCCTGGTTGCCTGGAATCTGACTTGAGTTCAGAAGTTGAGGACAGAGGATGCCGTCACAGCAAGCCTTGTCTCTGTCAAAAAACCACCAGTTATGCTACACTACCAAGAAAAAGAAACCTCGATGCCAAGCTGGAAGAAATGATTTGTGGCCACCATGTTTTATCTGTGTAAAACTGTTTTTAGTTTTTTTTTTCCTCATGAAAGTACTGCCACTGGATTTTTAAACTGTTTATTTGTAGGTCCTTGGGCAGTAGGTTGGTCTGTCTGCCTATGGGGTTTCTCTCGTCGGCTCTACTTGAGGGGTCAGCACGGAGAGGGAGGGAAGGGAAGACGGGCGGGGGGCGGGGTTACACATCCAGGGATGCACTTTAATGATCACTGTTGTTTTGCCCTCAGAGGGGTTGTTTTTGTTGACATACTGTTTTTTTGTGCGTTTTTAATTTCACAGCTCAAACAGCCATACCCATTGCCTCTATAGAGCTCTGGCAGATCAAACTTTGTTTACATCAAACCTTTTTTTTTGTATCCACAAACTTATCTGAAGCACTTTTTGATAGTGTAGTGTTAAAATAGAAGAAATGCCACATTGATTAATTGTTCATAATGTTTGTTTAGTGGTTGAGTGTGGCATCAGTGCAGGCTTGTGAAACAAGATCCTTTTGTAAAAACTTGTGTTGTTGAAGTTGATCCAGAAGTCCCATATTGCGTTGATGGGAAATCTGGATCTTCTGACATTCCTCATTCATCCAGCCATGTGAAAAATAGTTTCTTTTAGAGTTTGTCCTCTTTCTAGCTGTTGGTTGATCAGAGTGGATGTTTAGGGAAAGTTTGGCTTATTTAGACCATTATAATATCAGTGGACTTTGCCTGCCACCAGTCAAGTGAAGGAGAAATTTTGAATGTGTTACCTTGTCATAACATAACAACTCTACTGTACATTGCCATCTGGTGTCCATGGAAACCAAATGCTTGAAACATGATAGGTTGCTGGATGTGTTGCTGTGGCTATCTATCAAACCAAGTTCTTTGTATTCATCTAATATTAAGGACCTTTAACTCAGAAGGTTTAGTATTCTCAAACGCACTGTTACTGCTAGTCCTGCTATACAATACAAAGACCAGTAGAAGTTTAAATGTTTGTAAATGGGACACATTCAGGAAGCACCTACAGCTGTTTATCTGCTCTAGTGAATTAGTTTTTGTGCTGGCTCATCATCCTCCCTTTTCATGGAAAACAAGCTGCACAGTAGTAGCACTGCTGATGAAGACCTGATCATTTCAAACATTAAACCTGAGAAGAGGCACTGTCTTTTTAATGGGAAGAAGTTAATAGTGACAACCGGACACACAGGCTGTGGTTGTTTGTGGCTCTGTTACAATTCTTGGGTGCAACTAAAGATGGGACTAGTTGGATGGTTTGTTGAAGTAGTAAATGGGATCATCAATTTACAGGTACTTTTTGAATGACAATGCTGTTGTCAGTCATTTTATGTGTTCTTAGGAGTAAACTGGGGATTTACCTCAACAAGCTCACAGTTGTAGGCTGTAACATTAAGACTGACTCAGAACCAAGCAAGCAACTGTCTCACTATATCACGATTCCTGGGAGATTATAATCTTACTGCATCACTTGACTTCTGACGCAACCCTGGCAAACCTGCTGTTCAATGAGCAAAAAGTGAGTGCATACTACTCTATAATGGTTGTTTATTTGTATGTTGGGGAACACCACCCTTTAGTCAATGGTAGAAAACATTTCTAGTGTGTATTTCAATGATTGAAAGTCCATTTTTACAATTTTTGTGAATGGTTCAAGGCCACTTAAGTTTAGTGCATGATTTAAAAAAACACAGAGGGAGATGGATGAAAGCCTCTTCCTGTTTTAAAACATGAAATTAGTTCAAGAAAACAAAACAATTACTAAAGTAAAATAGCCGAAACGTGAAAGTTTATGTACTGTGCACCAAGAGCAAACCATAAAATTTGTCAGACTGAGAAAAGTGTTTGAAGATGAAGGCCTTATGTGAACTGTATAATAGTTAATAAATTAAATCTTGTAAAATTCTCCTCAGCTTTCTTGTGTTGGTGTGTTTTTGTCTTAAAAATGCTGTCTTTGGTTACGTTTAACAAAGCCCTGACATTAAAAAAAAGTATCAAGCAAACAGTTTTGTTGATTACAATTTTCTGTTTATTTGAAAATGTACTTTCTGTGTGAAGCAGTATTCCACCTGTTCTTATCTTGAAAAATAAGATAAAAAGACAGCCTATCATTATCCAAAAATTTAACTTTGTAAAGGGCTAATTTTCCTCTATGACAATTTGTTTTACTTAGTATCTCAAGTTGAACATCTTTGTAAAAAGCCCCTTTTTAATGTGGCTATCCATCTTTCTAATAACATCCCTTATTCTACACATCAGATATTACATGCAGTAAAACCTCTCATGTAGTAACTAGAAGCTGTAGTATTTAGGCAGTGATGCTGGCGGGTCTGAAAAACATCAATTATTTACAGCATATCCGTCATGAGCTACTGCACTCTTTTGGCAGAGGACTTTCCTCACAGTATCAGTTCATCTATGGGAAAAGGCTGGAGATTATGATGTTATGTCGCCATCTTGTGGATGAACAAGTGCACTTACAAGATTTGCTAATACTAATGTACCATTGGATTTACATTTTCTCACTCGAGTTGGTAGGTTTATTCTCTACAGCTATCTGATATTAAGGCTCTGTGTAGATACAGCACTGAGATCTATCAGGAATCTGGTGCCAAAATTGAGACATTTTACACCACAGGTACAGTATGTTGGTGTGTGAAGTATGATGAGCTGCTATTACAGTGCATCTTCATCCCTTTTAACAGCTTAACACATCAAGTGTCTACTGCTAGTGTGCTTTGAGGAGAGTTATTGGTGCAGCCGGACATATTTTCTGCATATTTTTACACATCCAAATGACTCATCTTATCAGCTATACCTTGGCTGTGTTTTTATAGCAGCAGAGATTCAAATGAGCATTTATATCCCTTATGTTATTCATTTTTTCTATATTGACGTACAGTGTTGCAGTAAAATTACAAGGTCTTATGCTAGTTTACAGATTTTTTTCCCGCTTCTAATGGTTTATCAATAGCAGTTTTGTTTAACACATAACTTGCAAAAACTGGAATCTAGGAAAGTATTTTTAATGTGCTGTAAAAATAAAATCTCAAATATATAAAATATATCAAGTTACATTCACCTGAAAGGTCTAAAAAAGGGTCTTAAATAGCACAAGGCAGCACAACAAAAATAAGACCTTTAAGTGCCTATTGTGGGTTTAATAAAAGTCTGTCAATGGGATCACAAAAAATCTCTTGTTCAATTGTTTTCTTCAAAAAAATTATTGATTTTATTTGAAGACACTTGTCCAGTAAATTTATCCAACCCTACTGGAAGATTTGTTCTCATAACTAGGCAATTCTGGACTGGTTTAAAATATCTTAACCCTATAATGCCTGAAACCACAAACTATGGCCAGAAAATACCAATTTTTTGGAGCTGAAATGTTTTTTCACTTACTACTGAAAACAAAAACAAAAATCAAGCAAACAAAAATGTGCTTAAATTTTTACAAATATATTTATGTATCTCGTTTGATACATCAGATGTTTTTGGAAACTGATAAACCACAAGACGACACTTAATCTTTGATCGGACTGTGTTAAGGTGTTTTTTAGTAATTTATTGATCATATTGATTGATAGAAGTATTATAAAAGTATGTATCAAATATGATACAAAAGCCAATAAAGGGTTAAACTTGTTAATGTAGAATTGTCAAGTGAATGTGGCTTATTCTAAGTCTGAAAAGAAATTTGTAACTAGGAAGAAGAGGGATAAAAACACATAAGTAGTTGTGTATTTTTGCATTGTGAAATAGGTGCGGTTCTCTATAAATTAAATTGGGCAGTTACTTCCGGTAACGTGACCGCTGACTCTGCTGATTGTATTTTTGGCGGGTTTTTTCCTCCTTCGATACAGACGATACTCACAAAACCCAAGATTTTCAGTCCCCTCGTTGGTGAGGCACCCTGTCGTAGTAGACAACATTTTACTGAATCAAAGTTAATTAGGCTAACGTGGGTCGCCCTTCTTTTGTTTTTTGTCGAAGAAAATGGGAAGAATAAATGTTGTGGGTGAAAAGATGGCGACTCTCCGTCCACTTACTCAAACGATGAAAATGTTCAGGCGGTGCTGGAGGCCACGAAGCAGTCGACCGTCAGGGTGGAAGATGAGAGACAAGACGACTTTTTGAAGGAGCTGCATGAATGTTGTAAGTTCAAACCCAAGCTGAAATTGAGCTGTTCTTGTTTTGAGGTGCCACCAACAAAAGGTGAAAATTAGGTTACTGTGGCCTTTAGTAACAAATCCTGAAGCATACAGGTTGTAGGTTCAAATCACTACAAGGACCATCCTTTGAGAAGCTTAGTATTCTACCTTTATTGAGCTGGACTATTGGCAATATTTTGAAAAAGACAGGTAGTAATAAAGTAAAAACAAATGTCTCAGTCCAAATTATATTTTCTTGTTTAATCCTTGTCCAGAGACAAAAGCATTTACCCACAGAGCAAACATGCAAACTCAAGTCTTAATCGCATATCCATGTCCAGCAGTCTTGCTTTGACAAGTGGTTGGGTTAGAACTATGAAGAAGGATTATCAAGGCAGTGTCTGTGATAGAATGTAATATAACCAAATATAACTAGCTTGAAATGCTTTTTTAAATTGAAAGAGCAGCCCCTGCTTTGGTCAGTCTGTACAGCATACACCTTGTTTGTATTGGCTTGGTTTCTTAGTCCAAGATATAATTCTAAACTCAGCCAGATTGCTGTTTTTTTCTTTTTTCTAGTCTGTTAATATTGCAGCATTAGTCATGTAGTTACAGAAAACTTAGTATGTCCCCATGAGCATGTGCTTGGCCTCGAGCAGAGACCGACAGCCCCGCCTTGTGGTTTAGGTAAACGATAGGAAAAGTGATATTTCATGATGGCTCGTTTTGTCTTGATAAAGATGCTGAGCAAGTCTATAGCAGTTGTTACTGTTTCACCAGAAGGAGCCATGGGTGGCTGCAGCACACAGGGCCAACTCTCTACAACTTTTCCAGGAACTACCATTGACCTTGTTACCTTGTTCCCCCCAAATAATGCAAACTATTTTGATGGCTGGAAAATAAACTTTCAGACATGAGGTGAATTCAACGTGGAGCCGTCAGGGTAGAACTGTGCTTTATGTGTTTGAGATAATGCTGTTTATTTACACTTCACACACCATTTTGCAGAACTATTCCTCACTCTATTTTCCTCAAAACTTTAATTCTAGGAAAACACTTAATCATCTGTATGTTTACACTGACACAAAACTTGCTCATGCCATCTTTAGACTGTCCATTCGGAATCCAGACATTTTAGTGAACCAAAAATTTACTGTTAACAGTAAACCCTCTAAATGGATGCGTCATGGAACATTTGGGTCATGGTAGATGCAGAGTACTAATGTAATCATGTAGAATAACTGAATTTTTTAAAGCTTTTTTAAGTTTGGGATATCACTGATTCTTGTGAGCATCTGTTACTCACTAAGGCATTTTGTAAAGTGGATATCTGTCATGTGACCTCAAAGTCAAATGACAGATTTGGTCCGGACAGTTCCTCTCAAACATCCTGTCCTGACTGCTGCTAGAATTGATTGTGAGATGACATTTGGTCCAAAGATGAATAGCAGACAGACCTGTTTAGAATGACAGAAGCCATAACGTATGAAAGATAGCTTTATTGCACAAGGTGTTAGAATGATCTTTTTAGTTTTTGCTTTCTTTTCATAGAAAATGTACTTTTGAACACAAGCAATTGCTATAACAAGCAACTCAAACAAATGTTTGGGATACCCTCAACATTTTTTTATGTTTTTGATTTTCATACATTTTTTCCTTCAATTTTTCCCTTTTAGCAAGCATGCAATGACTTTTTGAGGATGAACAAAATACAAAATAATGATAAAAAAGTAAATAGGACAAATGACGACATCAAAAGACCTTTAAAAAAGAATAAAAATTCAACAAATCAGTATCAAAAACATAAAGGGAAAGTAAAATGTTTTTGCCCATTTCAGGAGTAAAATATTTTATCATTGATACTATTTCAAATTTGAAATTGGGGCATTCAACCCTGATGTGTCCCCTGATTTATTCTGACGAAAATAGCTCTTCATACAAAACTGTGTTTATGTACAAGACTTAATCTATAAACAACACTGACAAAGGTAGAGAGCATGGGTCTAGTATGTTTAGGGTGGTGAATTTTAACTTTAATTAATCTGAGAGGGGGGGAAAAGGCAGAAGTCTGAATGCTTCAGGTTTACAGACCCACTCCAGTCCAGTATTTACACAACAGTAGTTTGTGTGACCAAAAGAGCTACGCGTCCCTGATTAAAGTTGGCTGAACTGGTTTAGCCACAGACCAAATACTCTAGTACTGTTTGGCCCCTGGAACCAAAATTTAGACAGAAATCCAATCAAATAAAAAAAATGAAGATTGAAAATCGAAATCAACGGACCAACAGAAACACCCTCCTTTGCACAAATAAATGAACGAACAAAGCAAACGGAAAAGTAAATATAAACCACAAAACACTTTCATGGAGATGCTTCAGAAAGACATTCCAATAGGTTATCGTGTGAATGTACATTAGTGAAAAATGGAGGGATGGAGATAAAGGGGGTGGGACATATACAGTACTTCAGACAGGGCAACAACAAAGATATCAATTGAGTGAACATTATATCATTTTCAAAACTGAACTCCCTGACATATAACACCGCTCAACATTATATTATTTAACTTCATTCACATCATGACCGGGATTCCTTCAGCTAGTTTTCCATTTCCTTGAAGAGTGAAGATCTGAGTAGCTCGATGGCTGGCTGAGAGGTCAGTTGGATGTTTGACTTTGATGTTTTTTAGAAGCCTCCATTTTGAAACACAACCCATGTCTGTACATATATGCTACATAGAACTTCTCAGTGGATTCTCTGGGATAGTGGCTTGGTTTTTAAATGTTAGTGTTACTAATAACCACTCAGGCTCAGTCAAAGAGACTCATGAGCAAGCTTTGTTTACCACATGGAAGGCTCTCTGCTATCACCTTGTCCTGGCGGTCATTTTCTTCGGACGACACACTCTGGGTGGGAAACCCATACATTAATGTAGTGTTTTACTGCTGTATTGGAGGTTAACACATCGTAGAAACACAGGGAATCCAATCTGGGCTGAGAAATTTGCTGCTTCACAAATAAGCAACAAAATATAGCGCAACAATTAGTGAAACTCCAGGGGAATGTGGGCGGTGTATCAGCATCACACTTTTTGATACCAACAGCTTCAGTCACAATAGCAAACATTTGTTAGCTAACATTACCACCCTCTAGCTATGTTATTGAACACTAACATTAGCTTTCAGTGACAACACAAAACACAGTGGTGTGAAAGCAAATCAACTTTTAAGCTTCCCAATTTAGCATGACGTCAACTGAAAATGGCCGCCGTATGAATGTGGTGGATGATTTTTTCCACCTGACACACTGAGCAAAGAGGCTTTCCTGCTTTTTCAGGTATTAAAACTTGCCAGCCTTGCTAGCTTTCTTTCCTGTCTCAGCATGGAGCTGTAAAAAGGAAACACTCTTCTCTTCATCTGTCTACAAACAGAAACATACAGAACATCCCGTAGATATACTAAAGTTTTTCTTTCTTAAGTCCAACCTTTTTTAAAATTGATCTTTTATTAAATTTCATGATTGAGCGATTGTCTCATTTTTAAATTTGACATTAACATTAAATTCCTGTATATACTACTACACTATTGTAGTACATACCATTTATACTTTGTCATAATTTCACTTAAATGTCAATAATATACCTACATAGAAATATATATGTAAATTCTTTATAATACCAAATATTCTCTATTTGTAATGTGAGAAATTATAGCTGGTTTATTTGGGTTGTCATGATTGTTTTAAAGTCAAACACTGTTCAGCTGGAGAAAGAGAGAGAGAGAGAGAGAGAGAGAGAGAGAGAGAGAAGAAGGAGAGAGAGAGAGAGATGTGGAGAATGCTACTGTGATAGAAATTCTTTTAATCATACTTGGACATGAGTTAACCTGAATAATTTCATTTGGAATCACCGTTTAGAATAAATTCTGCCAATAGCTACAGTTTTTGGGACCTTAAGGGACACAAAGAGGGTAAAAGATACAGTGAGAACAGGGGAACTTAACTGGAAGTCCTGCAAATTGACAATAATACTCAAACTATGGAGGACAGTATGCGTGTGCGTATGAGAGACAGAATGGCCACACAGCTTCATACTGGCTATTGTAGTCTTCATCATCATAAACACAGAGCTTTTAGCTCCTCAATTAAAGTCAATATTTCAGAATGACCACAGAATCACTTCCTGGTTGTTTGCTGTGCAACTCCCGCGAGCACTGAGCGGAACTGAGCACCAGCCGGCTGGAACTGTTAGTTGGAGTTAGTAAATCTTTTAGAGTCCCAGGTAAACATGTAAAGTAAGGGTAGCTGGGTCTCTGTCCGGGAAAACACCTATCCCAAGGAAAATTAGACAGAACGCAGTTCACCATTAGTTGGGTTTAAAGAAAGATGTCTGCATGCCCCTTTGGCCCAGGCTGAAGAGTACCAGAGCAGGGTGGGCTGAGGAATGGGGACAGCAACAGAAGTCTGTATGAGAGAGCCTGCTACACCAGCGTGTATGATTTAGAGTAGGCTCCTGCACTCTGTTTCTGCAGTCTCCCCAGTGCAGAGGAGCTGCTCTCTAGCAGCGAGTCTCTGGAGCCCCCCACCTTGTTACTGTTGATAGGGTTGCTGCTCGTACTAGAAGTGGAAGCTGTCGCTGCAGTGTTGGAGCTGGGCATGGTGAGAGTCCTTTGGGGCAGGGTGGCGGTGCCTGAGCTTGCACCCAAGCTGCCCAGCCCAGAGTGGCCCAGAGTCAGGGCCTGCTGCTTGGCAGGATCTAGAGTCTTGTGACGGCCCTGGGTGTGATATGCCCGCTGTGTTAGACTGCGGATTGAGGCTTCTCGCGGTGGCACAGCTGGGCAGGGGTCATGCAGTTCCCCTTGCTTACGGAAGAACGGGTCGGTCTTCATGTAGAGGGGGAGGTTGCAGAATTCACCTGAAAGAGACAAGAGAGGAGTAGACACAAGAGCAAGCAACCTTTAGCTTCAAAATGATTATTTCCAAAAGATATGACCCATGCTTTTCCTACATTGTTACACATGGATCAGTGATTTTTGCTTGATGACGACTCCAAAATATCAACCAAGAGACATAACTCCAAGCTGTTTGTTACCTTTATCATTCAAGCTAACTCTCAGCAGATAAATCCCGTATAGAGTTGTTAGTAGTCATATTTTTATCATCTTAAGAACTGTAAAAGTCTAGTATCAGCTGTGCTATTGTAAATAGTTTTGTCTCTTCATGGCTCTCATTTCCTCATGCTTACTTTTGTTGGCGCGGTGAGGAATGGGCACAGCCACATTTTTGCCGCGGTCATAGTCTTGCGGTTTGGGCGGTGAGGCAGTGAAGCGGCAGATGCCTGGCTCAGAAGGCGTGCTCAGCGATGTCATGCTGTCTGCCGGGTCATTGGTGCCTGTGGTCATTTGGTCAGATGAGCTGTCGGAGATGAAACACTCTGTGATGGTGAACTTGGCGTGTTGCAGGTGCTCCTCCAGCTTGGCGTGCTCGTAGGCTCTCGCTAGCTCCTCATAGGTAGAGGAGGCGCTCTCTGTTGACACCATGCTGTTACGACCCTTATCTAGAAAAGCAAAAATGACAAAAATACATGTATGAGCTGCTGTTGAGTTGCATCAGAAAGCGTACCATTTGTTAAGGTTTTCTAATGGGTTGATTCAATTTGGATTATGCACCAATGCCGAACTTTGGTGCCTGAGGAAATGTTTACACTGTTTGAGAGAAAGATGCTGATCGGAAACTCAAAAGTGGAATTGTATTTTTTCAGTGAGTCACCAAACAAAACACCCCTTTTATCGTAGGATACTAGTTTGTCATTGTTAGTGAGATAATGTGTCTAAGAAGGACAAAAATATACTAAAAGTTCTGGAAGTAAATTTTGAGTGATGCGTAAGTCTTAACATCACGTATCTGTACAGTGTGTCGTTCATTCTTTGCTTTGGTAATTTGTGGATATGGAGCATGATGAAAACAAAACATTGTTTTCCTTCCTTGTGTAACACTGCGTCTTGGTTTTGGAACAGGCACAGGGCTGAAAACTGCTGACACTGAAGTCAACCATGCTCCTGAAATTTAATCTGTCTGACCTAATAACATATTAGGGAGCATTCTTTCAACTTTCAGCAACTAATTGTGTTTGTGGTATAACCTTTATTTGACCTGTCTTTCTAAAATGTTGATAATATACAGTGACCAGTGGCTGATTAGTAATGTCTGCCAAGAGGTGCAGTGACCTGGCATCAATCGAAACCATTGTGTGCACCTTAGCAGACATTTCAATCAACCGCTATTTTGTTTAATCAAACACATTACCAATCAAACATCAGCTCAGCATCATCAACGTTCAATGCTGATTTTTGGGTTTCTAATATTATACTGTGTTTGTGTTGCTCCTGAGCTTGAGTGGATGATCTCAAATTTATATAGGTCCTTTTATCTTTATGGGGTTGGTAGCACCAGAGTAAAGCACCAAGTAAAAAAAGCACCTATCCAATCCTGGGAAATGACATCAAAATATAGTCACAAATACATTAGTGGCCTCTAGTGACTCACCTGTGTCTTGCGAAAGGCTGGCGCTATAGCTGTCACTCTCAGTGGCTGTGATTCCATGAGAGCCCATTGTACGCCAGTCCGAGGTCAGAGTTCGTGCTGAGGCCGTGGACTGGCTTTGACTCGGCCGACTCAGCGTCCATTGGCTGGAGTATCTGTTCCTTGAGCTGTGTGCTGATTTAATACTCTTCCTGGACACTGGATCTGAGAGAGGTCACAGTGATCAGAGAACAGCTTGTGCATAATAAAGACTGTGCATCTATTTATTGATTGTTGAGAAGAGGTACCGTCCTCGCTGTTTGGTGATTTTCAGAACAGAGGTGAATGGAGGGGCAATTCAATAAGAGATCAGAGCTTTCCCTCGGCTTTACCTGCTTAACCTGTCTTATGTTTTATCCCCTTATAAGCTGTGAAATTCGTAGCTTGGAAAAACAAACTTACTTGTGCCTGGGCGGATGTCTGACATGTCAATCAAAGGCCCTGAATTTTGAATAAGAGCTTGGTGGTGCAGGGACACGCCTGTGCAGAAGTTCTGTGGATTCACTGACTGGCTGAACTCAGTGTCGGTCACGGGCACGGCTGCTTTGTCCTCCCCTGTTACCGGCGAGAGATGAGGGGACACATTTAGATCAAGTTAATTTAATTATAAATAGACCCTACTTAATAAAGTTTACATTGCTGGAGGGGCAGCTCCATACCTATCTGTTTGATTCCTTCCTTGTCCTCAATAAGCAGCTGAACACGCGGGATGTCGATGTGAAGCCGTGGTCCTTGAGGAGGGCCCTTGACTGGAGTGTCTATACTGCGATTGTTCTTGCTGCTCACACACAAGGACATGGCATATATAAGAATAACATCTCTTGTGAGGCTACTTTGATATTTATGAGGATGACCTACACTTTATAAATTGTTACTTCTGCATGAAAAAAATGTTGTGTTCGGAAAAACCAGCTCTTACCTGATTAGCATCTCAGCAAGGCTCTTAGCATCTACAAGAAGACCACATCTTCATTAAATGACTGGCAGTTTTAACTTGGCACACTTCGTAAGATAAATAATACCCAACATAATGACACAGAACTCTTCTTTCCCTCACCTCGGAGTCGTTTCAGTCTCTTCTCTTTGCGTTTCTTCCGTATAATGAAGAGCAAAGCTACTCCCAGAGTAACCAGGATGACGGGGGAGCCAATGGAGAACAGTTTTTTCACATCATCCCCTTCTCCACGAGCTGACTTGATGGGAGGAATTGTACCTGCAGAAACAAGGGGAAGAAATAATATAATTATCAGAATATTGAGGAGGACAGGTTCAGATTATGGATGGAAACTTAACAGAGACACTTACTGCCATCATAGTCTGTAGTGGCAAACTGGGAGCTCTGGTTTCCACACCCAGCGCTGTTGCAGGCCTTCATTTTGAGCTCATACCAAGTGGCCTCACGCAGCTCACTGAGGAAAAGTTGGGTGGTGGAGTTGGCCTTGAGGCTCTGCCAAGCCCAGGTGCCTTTGGGTCTGAAGTCCAGCATTAAGTCTGTGATTGGGCAGCCGCCACTGGTCCAGCCCTGCAGGTTAAGGCCTGCATGGGTGGAGTTGATGTGGGTGAGCAGAGGTTGGTCCTTGTTGAACACCGGTTCTGTAGTGGAGACAAGAGGCAACAGGAGGTCAGAGAGGTCCTGAGGTCATGCCAACAAAATGTATATTCTGTATAATCATTTGTCGACAACAAGATTTAATTTATAATTTCATTTATGACACCATAGAGCTGTCCTTTCCCTGTATATTTATCTATATCATAACTTGGAAACTGATATAGATAACTCAACATATGATTATAAACTAACCTTAAGTTTTAAAAGTGAGGATATTTTAGATGTTGAATTGTCAAAGCAGCATAAAAGATCATCTTTGGACCAAGATTTTTTTTTCTTAAACATATCTATGAAATTTAGTTTGTATTATTTTTAGAGAGTCCGGAGATAATAATCCATCAGATCTCTTCTCATTTAAGCCTCAAGTATGTTTCCTTCACCGCTCACCTCGTCCATGCGTCTTGGCCTCAATGATCTCACTGATGCGACCTGAACCCACACTGTTCTTGGCGGCCAACTTGACCTTGTACCAGGTTCCACAGCGCAGATTGTCCAACCTGAAGGAGCGTTCACTGGAGCTGATGAACACATCTCTCCATTCTTCTGTGTTGTCCACAGAATACTGAAGAACGAATCCTGCAGGATCACATAGCAAAGATTAATATTAAACACAAGTCATTTAAAGCAAACAACAGAAAGTTGCTGTTACACCTGCTGGACACCAGGGGGCGACCAACAGCTATAATCAGCACTGGTTTGACTTTCTACTCAGAAACATTGTTTTCACCTTCAATATATAGACTTAGTACAAGTAATAGCAAAAACATTTATTAATATAACATTGGGAAGAAAGTCATAGATTTGTATGCAATAGCTGAAATGTGTGCCAGTGTCGCTGCTGGTCACCTCTGATGGAGCTCCCTCCATTGTCTCCTGGGATCCAAGCCAGGGTGATGGAGGAGGTGGATGTTGTGGAGACGGTCAGACGAGGCTGATCAGGAGGAACTAGACATACAGAAAGAGAGGGAGATCGTCTTAACAAAGGAGAACAAATATCAAAATGCTAACATCCTCCTAAAGTCACTTCCTGGCTTTTTTCTTACCTTGAACCACCAGGTTGACTATGATAGTGTCAAAGCCCAGAGTGTTAGTCGCCGTACAGGTGTAGTACCCAGAGTCCTCTGCTTTAACTGAGCGTAGCACCAGCGTGCCATTGGATAAGATCTGTTTTTGGCTGTCTGCGGTCACAGGGGTGGCTGAGTCCTCACTGACAAAGCACAGACAGGTCAGAGACGTTAATCCAGAGGAAAGCTGAGTTATATCTGCCCCCACGAGCAGCACTCTCTGTCTAGGTGAGTCATGATGCTCATATTCAATTTGTATATGATGAGCTCTGACCTGTCTTTGGTCCATTTTATTGTAGGGGCAGGTTCTCCCACTGAGCTGCAGGGCAGGCGCACTTCCTTCATCCAGGGTGTGGTCACCGTGCCGCCAAAGGACAGGATCTTCGCTGGGACTTTAGAAACACACATAAAACAAACATGAAGTGTCAATACTTAACTCAAAGTCTCAACACTCAAGAAACAAATCAAGACGTTTTAAACCTGCTGCAACATCTCCCGTGTCTGTCTGTGTTGTGTTTGGAGTGAGTTAGCCAAAGGGGACGGGCCTTTACTGTCTGCTGGGGAGATAAAAAGCTGTAGCGTGGTGTTTTAATGTAGCCCCTCCTCTGAACCGCTTAGTTTCACTCTATTTTTTCTCCATAGACCCTCCCCTCTATTGATTCTCTCCTGCTATCTCTCTCCCCAAGGGTCATTTTACTGGATAGGCCCTGTTCATCACCACATAATTAACAACAGCGTTTCTCGCAACACAGCCGCTACTCAATCAATACAGCGGCTGTCAATCAATAACAGAGAGAGCAGACAGGGCAAGCAGGAGAGGGAGCAATGAAAGCGATCCGTGTGCAGGAGATCATGTTGCCGTTTCATAGCCATCTTCACTAAGTTCTCCCTCATAACCTTTACAGATATCCCTCCACCCTTCTGTTTTATGACCGGCTCGCCTTGAGGACCCACCTTTCCCAGCAGGCTCCACATTGACCTTTGAGCTGTAGTTGCCTCGGCCGGCTGTGGTGACGGCTGCAGCCCAGATGTGGTATTGTTTTCCACGGGAAAGGTGCGTGATGCGGTAGAACAGCATCTCCGGGTTGGCCTCGTACTCACTGGGCGCCTGGAACAGAGGGCACGCAATGTCATGTTAGCTAAACGTGATGACATAGAGACACCAGAGGCTTGGTGGAGGCCGATTTTTACAGGATTAAAATTGTGTTACTTGTTATACATCTCTAAATTTTGTGGGTTGAGTCACAGGCTTATTTTTTTTGTTAGAAGCATTTTAAATCGTGATAGTAGGGAAAGCAGAGATGTTATACACAACAATGACGATGATTTAAAAAAAAAATTAAGTGTGACAGTGAGAATGCATTCGGGATACCAGAATCCTGAAATGAAATTAGGCAAATTAAATGCAACCCTCATTCATTTCATCATTTACACTCGTATTTTAACACCGATGACATATCAAAATGATTTCTGTAAAAGGATGTACACGAAACATGGTTTTAGAGAAGGTTTTTTTAACATTTTTGTTTAATGTTCATTAACCTTTAAGACCTGTCAGTGATGACATGATAATCAACTGAAATGAAAGTACTTATTTTTTGACATCAGTTTAAAGAAAGAGAGAGCAACACAGATTCACCATTTCATTTATTTTAGTTTTTTTTTTTTAAGAAAGTTAGAAATGATCTGATTGACAAATTTACAAGTATCTTGGCCAACCATGAATAACAAGTGGAGCAATGGGAATAAATATAGGTCCCCTAATTACGAAATTTTCATATGAACCATTTCTTTTTAAACTATATTTTCAAAATTGCTTCACTTTTTTTTAAATCATTTTCATTTTATACTTCTCTGTATTTCTCTTTTAAATTTTTAATCATTTGAATGTTTAGATTTTTAAATTTTGTGGTCTGTAATAAGCCCACAGCATTAAATTAATGACCTTATAAAATCACCCTTTTAAGCCTATATTTCTTAAATGGCTTCAGAGTGACAAATGTTTGTCTTTTCTTTGTTCCTCCCACTTGGATCAGGTGTTTTTGGAGGCGAGACACCTGGAAATTTGAGGCCTTGCTCTGCTACGAATTCAAATTATTAGATCTCACTATGAAAATAAACAGACATAAAGAAAACCGCTTTAATCATTAAACTGGGAAGAAACCATGGAAACTAGGATTTTGTAGGTTGTAAGTGTGACAATGATGAAAGATGACAGTGCTCTTTGGGTTGTGATTTACTCCATAGAATTATTGAATTTGATGCACAAAAACTATTTGATAAATTTGGTTTCATACCAAGATTATTTCCTCTTTTAGTTTTTTTAGGCAGTCAAGGATAACCGCAATTTATCTGCTTGGCTACTGACTTAATGTGTTTTTTGTTGTGTTTTCTTTTAAACGCACCTTTAAGAGGAATTTTACAGACACACACACGCACACCTGCAGACACACACAGACATGTGCTCAAAAACAGTGTTTTCCCTCTCAAGTCAATCCTCAGTTCTATCTCTTTAATCTGTTTATCTCGCAGTGTTCATCTCCAGTTCCTTCACCATTTGCTTGTTCCCTCTCTCCCTCTATCCCCTTCTCTGTCTAGCTCAGTGAAGAGGAGAGGATGGAGGGAACGCGGGAGGGAGGGAGGATGTGTTTGGCGTTTGTGTGTGTAGGGGGTGCGTTCGAAAATTCCTCCAGCATAGCGGCGGTGTTGTGGTGATCCAGGGAGTGATACAGGGAGATAATGAAAAGACGGACAAAAGCACTCTCATCTCGATGTGACTGATACCCTCTTCTGCTCCTCCCTTCTTCCTTGCCTGTCTCTCACACTCCCCCACTTCGTCTACCTCTTCATCCCCCTCTTTTCCCCTCATTTCCCCTCAGTTTTTTCCTCTACCTCTAATGGTGTTTCTCTTTCTCCGTCTCTCAGCTGCCTTACCCCCCCCTTCCATTCCCTTCTCTTCCCTTCCTCCCTCTCTCCTCCCTGCCCATGCTCATTTACATGGCACTCATGCACAGAGAGGGAGGAGTATTTGTGAATAATAAGAAAGTGAGATTCTAGCCCGATGTCAGGTTTCACTGTGTATGCTGGTGTTTGTGTGCACATGATCTAACCACAACTGAAATGCTGCACATGCATGTATAAATAGAAAATGTTGAAATGTGATGGCTGTGTGTGTGTGTGTGTGTGTATGCGTGTGTGTGAATGTGTGTATGTGTGTGCTACTTATGCGGCAGTGTGCATGTGTGAGCTTGTTCTCTGCTTCATTTGCATATCTACGTCTCATCACGTTGCCAAGACAACCTCATCTGTTCATCTGGGAGGGCAGGAAATAAAGCGATGGTGCAAAAGCGGTGAAAGAGAGACATGTGCAAATTTACACACACACACTCACACGCACGCACACACACACACACACGTACAGGTTCAATTAATAATAGAGGTGGCAGATTAAGTATTTCTGTCAGTAGATTTGTCTGAAGTTGACAGATTCCTGTCTTTTGAATCACCTGGAATATTTTCTACTGGCCCTGCTAATGAGTCACACCCACAGAGGAAGCACTCACCGGCTGTCCAGACCCTGGGCTGGAGCAGTAGATGGTGTACTTGCGGATGACACCGTTTGGTTTGTGAGGGGGCAGCCAGGACACCACCACACTGCTTGGAGAGGAGGGAACCGCCTTAATACCAGCTGGTGGGCCAGGAACTGTAGACAGAAACATAGGAACATCAGGAAAGCTAGCGTGCACAAATGCGTTTTTTTTTTATGTGTGTAGTTTTGTGTTTGTGCACGCTTATGCTGGGTGTTGGATGCTCATTAAAGTGAGCAGGCTTGTTTGCAGATTGCTGGTCTTATCCCGCACTAAGCCGCTCTGGGAAGACTTGGAAGAACTCCCTTTGGGTGCACAGTTGTAGCATATGTTCAGTCAGACATTGGTCAGCAGTTCGGACTATGTGACACCCAGCGTTCTCTTAACTCACAAACCCACAAACAGATTAGACAGCAGCATCTGATCCTCTGCTGGCCACTTGAGCTTGACACTGACCACCACTTAATGCTCTTATTACCAAGTAAAGGAGTGAGAAGGATTTAAAATGAAGTAGACTTTACCGAGAAGAAAAAACAAAACAAAACAGGATACTAGAGAGTGTGAAAGATAAACAATAATGCTTTGTCACCTTGGCCTTACAGTACAGGGTTCAGAGTGTCAAGCCTATTCAAACCCCCCAGAAATATAACTCAGGCTTGACAGTGGGCCTCTTCTAGGATGCCTACTGCAGTGTAAGAAACAGTCCTCTAAATGCCTCTTTTTCTTTAACGTGAGGCCCCTCTGATCCAATAATTCAACCCCTCATGTCCTTGGACTCCCTCTAACTGCACATTACATGAGCAGGGATAAAACCCAGACTCAGGAAGGATAGCTGTAGCAATGGGTGTTTTAAAAGAAGGAGGCAGGGATGGAAGAATGGTGAGAATGAAAGGTGCCGCTCCTGAGGGACAGATTATGATGGTGGTGTAAGGGAGGGGTAGACGGAGGAGTCATCATTATCATAACTGGACCTCTATGCCAGAGAAGGAGTGTTAGTAGGAGGGGGAAGGGGTTAAGTCCCATCTGGTGCCCAAATTCTACCCAGGTCTCCAGACAGACAGTCTGTGCACAGCGAGTTTGCCCTGTATGATGATGCGGAAACTCCACCTACATGTATATATTAGCGCTCTAGTGCCAGTCAGAAGAGGGTATGTCACGTTAAAGGACTAATACACTCAACCAAATACAGAGGGAATGCTTTAAAAGGGCTCAGATTAAAATGTCTTAGCTTTGACATTTCTATTATGTGTCTTCCTGGAGGACGTGTTTGTTTTGTCTGCCAACAATAGGCTCTGTGATCACCCCTCTATCTTTTCCATCTTCACTTCCCGGCCCCTCCTCCTTCCCCTCCTCTATAAAGAGACATGGATCTGGCTGTAATCCCGCCTCCAATGGTGTAAGCACAAAATTAATTCTCTTTAATCCAAGTAGAGATAATCCCTCTGCCTATGGCGAGAGAGCTGGCAGAAAGGATGCGAAGCCAGGGCTGATGGCTGACTCCAGGATGCTGTATGCTCTGAGGGAGCCCCCTCCTCTTCCCCTGGTGTCTTCCTCCAGCCCTCCCTCAGCCCTGAGCTGTGGACCCAAAGCCTCTTAATTCTCATTAGCACTGCTAATGGAGCTTCCCGGCATAAATGAGCTTTTGTCATGGGTCTGAGATAAGGCCCCTCACTCTTTTTATGTCCCCCTCCCATCTCCTTCTTACCCCCTCTACCCTCACCTAATACAAGCGTGATGCATGCTTTCCCCTGTTTCAAAATGTCCTGAAATGAATAAAAATCAGTGAAATAGATAAAGAGATATACTCACGGTCCTCTCGGGTTTGGATGTATAGAACATTGCTGCGGACCCCATCTCCAGCCTGTGTGTAGGCCAGCACCTGAACACTATAGTTGGTGAACTTCTCCAGGCCTCGCAGCTCCACCTGCTCTCGTGTGGTTGTGATATTCTGCATTTCTCCCCACTCTGAAGAGGGGCAGCAGAGACACTTTTATTTTTACAGAGTATTTTGCTTATCTGGAGGACACTCTATACACACAAATCCTGCATTCTATAACATCTGCCTTGCTTCGCATCTTCCAACTTGCTTTGCTCCATATGTTTTGAGGAATATGGGATTCATTTCTCTATGACTAAGAAGCTACAGAAGTAGTTTGTAGGTAACATGCAACGCAAAAACTTGTATCAGGATCTTCAAAATTTGATACGATTTTTATTTTATTTTATGGACTAATATACACTCACCGGCCACTTTATTAGGTACACCATGCTAGTAACGGGTTGGACCCCCTTTTGCCTTCAGAACTGCCTCAATTCTTCGTGGCATAGATTCAACAAGGTGCTGGAAGCATTCCTCAGAGAGCTTGGTCCATATTGACATGATGGCATCACACAGTTGCCGCAGATTTGTCGGCTGCACATCCATGATGCGAATCTCCCGTTCCACCACATCCCAAAGATGCTCTATTGGATTGAGATCTGGTGACTGTGGAGGCCATTTGAGTACAGTGAACTCATTGTCATGTTCAAGAAACCAGTCTGAGATGATTCCAGCTTTATGACATGGCGCATTATCCTGCTGAAAGTAGCCATCAGAAGTTGGGTACATTGTGGTCATAAAGGGATGGACATGGTCAGCAACAATACTCAGGTAGGCTGTGGCGTTGCAACGATTCTCAATTGGTACCAAGGGGCCCAAAGAGTGCCAAGAAAATATTCCCCACACCATGACACAACCACCACCAGCCTGAACCGTTGATACAAGGCAGGATGGATCCATGCTTTCATGTTGTTGACGCCAAATTCTGACCCTACCATCCGAATGTCGCAGCAGAAATCGAGACTCATCAGACCAGGCAACGTTTTTCCAATCTTCTATTGTCCAATTTCGATGAGCTTGTGCAAATTGTAGCCTCAGTTTCCTGTTCTTACCTGAAAGGAGTGGCACCCGGTGTGGTCTTCTGCTGCTGTAGCCCATCTGCCTCAAAGTTCGACGTACTGTGCGTTCAGAGATGCTCTTCTGCCTACCTTGGTTGTAACGGGTGGTTATTTGGGTCACTGTTGCCTTTCTATCAGCTCGAACGAGTCTGGCCATTCTCCTCTGACCTCTGGCATCAACAAGGCATTTCCGCCCACAGAACTGCCGCTCAGTGGATATTTTTTCTTTTTCGGACCATTCTCTGTAAACCCTAGAGATGGTTGTGCGTGAAAATCCCAGTAGATCAGCAGTTTCTGAAATACTCAGACCAGCCCTTCTGGCACCAACAACCATGCCACGTTCAAAGTCACTCAAATCACCTTTCTTCCCCATACTGATGCTCAGTGTGAACTGCAGGAGATTGTCTTGACCATGTCTACATGCCTAAATGCACTAAGTTGCCGCCATGTGATTGGCTGATTAGAAATTAAGTGTTAACGAGCAGTTGGACAGGTGTACCTAATAAAGTGGCCGGTGAGTGTAGTTTGCTTTAGTTAGGAAAAGACTGTGATTATGATTGAATTCAGCTAAAGGTTAATGTGTCCTGTCTCAATCTAACAACCTTCCCTTAACTAGACGGTTGGATATTTTTTCGACATCAATACTGACACAGATTCTTTATTTTGTGTTAATAATATCAAAAACTCCTGTAATACTAGTATAATCAAACTGTACATTCTGCTAGCATTATTTAAAAAGCAGATCAGGACTTGATGGTCAGGGCCAGTATAAGATTAACATCCGGTTGGCTTAAAAACAGGCTGACCATCTCACGATAAACTAAACCAACTTGACCAACCACTTAACTTTGATTTCTTTGGTTTTAGTGTGAGCCATAAGATTTAGTAGGCCTCAGATATTCAACATGACATTTCTCTTTTTTGCGACTTACAATTCTGGATTATCAATTAAAAAATTGTTTGATTGAACGTTTGCAAGCTTTGACTAACATGACATTTTGCTAAAAGGGCACGGTCTCTTTAAATTTTGGCAGCTGTTAATGCGTGAGCTGCTGTTCTGGAGAAGAAAGAAACAGGTCTACTTTGAGACTCAGTAATGGCAGATACCTTGTTTAAGACAGGGCCATGTTCATAAATATATTTATTTTACCAGCAAAAAAAAGAACCCCTAATTTCCTTTTAAACCAAACAAAATCATTAAAATGCTTATTTTTTTTAAAGAGATTTTTCTGCAAAACATACTGAATAAAGCAAATAAGTTGAATTTAACCTTGGACATGAACACAAACACTCAACTACAGTACTGTAATCTCATTTAAGTTTAAGGAAACAGAAGTATACAGGCAAATCTTAACACACACAGGAACAGGAAGTGCTTAATGAGGAAGGTACTGACACACAGTGACACATTCAGGCTCACAGCACTGACAGAGAAGAAGGTGTGTGGGTGAGAGGATGGGGTTTGGTGACGTTTAGAATGAGATAGGTGATAATTACTCTGCATTGGCCATTGGGCCTGGCCCCCACAGCACCCACCTCCGTCAGGGAAGAGGGACCAAAACACAACCCGGTAGCCTTTCAGCACACCGTGCAGCGTCAGCCGTGGAGGCTCTGCCCATGTGATTACCGCCTCGTCTGACGTCACAGAGATGGCTCGCACGTTCTGCGGAGGCTCGCTGGGTACTGGAGGAGAGCAAAGAAGAGTATAAGCGATACAGTTTCAAACATACAAACTTTTTTTAATGGGATCTATTTTCCAAAAACAATAGATTGTTTTTTTAATTAGTTCTGCCTCCAAGAGGATTTGGATTATCCAGCATTGTGACCAAAGCACCGATGTTTAACGAGTACTCAACAGCAACAGCCTACAGACAACCTCTGCTGAAATAAATCTGTCATTTAAGCTCAGATCAGCTCTCAACAGCTTCTTGTTTAGCATTAGCTTTAAGAAAGTGGGGGAGAGGAGGTGTTGAGAGGGGTACTAGGAGAGGGCAACATAAATAATGAAACACCTTCACTTTAAGGGGTTAAAATGCAGATGAGAGGAGCGCTGAGAGGTGGGAGATAAAATCTGAAGGAAGACAATGTTCACCTTTAAGGTAATTGCCATTGTAGGAGCAGTTTTAGACTATGTGTCGAGACAATAATTCACTATTACTGCTGCCATCATCACAGTGTCTGCCATCACTGCATCTACAGTCAAAAAGGATCTGTATATTTTAGTCTAATAGAAAGAATCAGTGGTGTCAGACATGTATACATTATATGTAGAAGGATATAAGGCAGGCAGAAAGTGGGTGAGGAAGAAGAGAGGGGAACCAATGGGAGAAAGAAGAAAGATTAAGGGGGACAGGAGAGAGAAGGAGACAGAGGGGGCAGACATTTAGAGAGTAATCGGGTTCCTTGTTCCTCTTTTGCTCTCTACCAGCCTAATGAGGGTGCTAATTAAAGGCAAAAAGAATGGGGGGGTGGGCTTTAGAGTTAACCTATATACAGTATGTTTTTTAGCTCTTTATATTTATGTGTCTGATGTACTGTCGCTGCACTAACTCTATTTTCTTTAGTATCAAATCAATTAAAAAGATGTGTTTCTATGAGTTGTGGATGCTGCCATCTATGCATTTATTCCCGTCCCTCTCTTCAGTCTTTCTTACCATCTTCCAACGTGGTAGCATTGATCTCAGTACTGGATGGACCTGTCCCAGCTCTGTTGAAGGCCTGGACCACAACCCCGTACTGGGCAAACTTTTTAAGATTGTCCAAAGTGTACACTTCACTGTCACCAGTTGCTTTCATCTCTACTATGCTGTACTGGCCATTGCTGCCTGGACCATTCTCTCTGTAGCCGATCTGGTAACCTCGGATCACCCCATTCTGCAGTTCCTTCTTTGGAGCCTGAAAGAAATGCAGAGCAAATCTTTTAAAGGATAAATGGATACGTAATTAATGCAAAATATTTGTTTCTTGCGGCTCATTTGAACCATCTTCATATGACCAAAGCTGATACTTTTACTGGCTTTCCTTTCCTGCCCCTCCATAAGCATTAGAGGTTAAGGTTGTCAAAATGCTGTGGATAAATTGATGACCAGTAATCAAATAGGCATGCCAAAGCCTGACTAAACGTTAAACTTTAGCAGTTAAAGACACAAAGTTAGGTAGCATGAGTCATTTCTGGGGGAGAAGATTACTGATATTGAAATCAGATCTTATTCATAATAAACACAAAGTAGTGACTTTACCCTCCATGTAACACGTATGCTCTGAGATGTCATTGGTTGGAGGATTACATCCATTGGTGGCCCATCAGGTGCTGTTGATGGAACATGACAAAAACAGCCCAACAGTCAATATTCATATGTTTTGTCGACTAAAAGAGAATTTAACATGAAGATTTTTTTTCAACCAGACTGAATGATCACTCACGTGCTTCCTCAGTGCTGATTGTGAGCTCTTTGCTTGGAAGGCTGCGACCAATCTTGTTGTAAGAGTACATTCGAATGCTGTAAACACAAGCTGGGTGCAGCTCTACAATGTTGGCCTGGTTGTTAGTGGGTGAGATGTTCCTGGTTGTGTACATGTGATCCCAGGAGTCTACCAAAAAAATTTTAAGAAGATTTCACACTTCTGGGACATGAATCCCTACAATATATCCTAGGCATATCTAATTTCACAAAACCCACCTGATTTGTTCTTGTACTCAATGTCATAACTAGTGATGATGCTGTTTCCGTCAAACCTCTGGATCCAGCGTAGGTTCATGCTCCTGTCCTTCACCTCCCTCACTTCCAGTTCAGGAGGATCTGGTGGTTCTGTGAGACAGAGAGGGAGGGACATGTTACATAACCAAATCTGCCATGCAAAGCTTAAGTAAATTGAAGAAACTTGTGAGCCATGAGTAGTTTGTGGTAGAGATACCTTGCACCGTGAGTTGGATGAGCCCTCGTCCCTCTCCATAGGAGTTGATGGCATGGCAGGAGAAGAAGACAGAATCCCCTCGCTCAGCTGGGTTCAGCTGTGAAGATCAGCACATACAGAAAAAGGCTCAATGGGCTGGATGGTATTTAAATGACCCACAACAGACAGCAGGTACACTTAAAAAATATTGTGCAATATTACAGCTGAACCAATAGTTTGGCCCCAAATCTTGATCCTATTGATCCCTACATTTCCACCTCTTTTCTACTTACTAGTATAAAAGAAAAAGCTTGACCTTTTATGTTATTCCATACTTTGAGAAGAGCCTTCAGTAATATTACCACTCATGTTTAGGGAGTATAAATGACTAGCTAGTTAGCGAAAAAGAAAATCCTCTACTCCTATCTCAAAGTGGTCAAATGTAGTGCTGGTGAACGGATTGTGTTACCTTTGGACAGAGCCAAACTGGCTATTGGAGGTTCCCAAAGTCAGGTTTATTCTTCTGCGTTAAACCTATGCCGTGGCTACGCTGCAGTGGCAAATGCAGTAGAAATACTGGAAATTTCTGCCACCATCTATGCCAGCCACAAGGCTTGTAGTCTGTATTATTTCAAGAGGTAGAGGGGGAACATGTCAAGCTACAAATGTTGGCAGAGCTAGGCAGACCTAAGGTGTATGCAAAGGCTTCAGCTTGACGCAGAAGAATTTCCTATTAGCATCCTCCAATGGTCTCAACCTGCGTAACTTGCCTAGACCACCACCAACAGATTAGACGTTTTGGTCTATCAAGGTTGTGCCATTTTGTTGCCATCAGTCTGCAAATGCAACTGTTGAAGCATGCAAACTCTGAATTGGGACACAGCTAGGATAAGTGGCTGCTGACCAAAGCTTCATTTTTGGCTTGTTAACATGACGGCCATATCATTCTCCACTAACTCTTACTAATAAAGTAAACAATTGAGTTAGAGGCTGAGCCTTTAAATGGAGTAAAAGTATCAGATGAGATAGTAGAAATAAATTCTTGACATTCACTTCATGGTATCGAATTAAGCTTTGGTGTAACGGTCTGCTTTGTGTTGTAACGTGTTCCTCACCTTTAGGGTGGAGATGACTTCATCTCCCTTCTTGTTGATGGTGATGGAGTATCGGGGGTTTCTTTCCGCGTCGATGACCGTGTCTCCCCTCTCCCAGCGTATGATGATGGGCTGCTCCCCTCGTGCTGTGCAGTTCAGCTCCTTTGTTTGGCCCTTCCTGGCCATGGTGGTGTTTGGGTGGCTGGTTATCATGGCAGGAACTGAGCAGAATTCAGACACATGTCAGTGTGACAAATAGTATTATATGGAGTAATGAGACAAGGGAACAGGGGTATGGTATTGGAATACCAGGATGTATTAGAGATGTATAGACATCTCTATTTCTGCCCTTCATTCTCCATTCTCATTTCACGCTTCAAGCCCTGTTGGTCCTTTTACTCCTCCCAATCTGCCTTCTTCTTCTCCTCCTGATTCTTTTCCACCTTCTTTCCTCAGACATAGATTATTGATTGAGTGGGTTCCTGCGGTTTTGTTTTCATCACTAATTCATCAGCCCTTTTCCCCACCAAACATTCAGTAGCACATGGATCGGCAGCTACAACACTTAAATCGATATCAAAGATACCCCCATTTCAGGACGTGCAGGATGGAGGTTTTGAGAGCTACAGTAAATGCCACACTAGCCTGAGGCTAAAGTGCATCTTAGAAGGGCAGATTCTCTTGGAAAAAGCCAAGTCTCTGTGCACTGTACCCTATTTGTGCAATGCAGGAGATGTGGTCATGCGAGGGAGTGTGTTCAAGCTAAAGCCAGGATGATTGACACTTACTCTTGACAGTGAGGATCATGCTTTTACTGATGTCTGAGCCCACCCCGTTGGAGGCCTGACAGAGGTAGTACCCTCTGTCGTCCTCAAGCACATGGCGGATGAGCAAGGAGCCGTTTGACATGATCTGGATACGGCCTGTAAGGGGGACCGGGTGGTACTGTTGTGGGTTTCCTACACCTGCACATGTAATATGACACAAAGTTATTGACTGTAACTTCCTTCAATTTTTTTTTTTTTACATGATCTAGTTATTTAGATATAGGGATGATGGGCTGACTTACCTTTGGCATGTTTCCACATGACTTTTGGGGGTGGGTAACCCTCCACAGAGCAGTTGAGAACTCCAGCTTTGCCGTAGATACAGTCTTGATTGTTGGGCTGCACCACAAAACGAGGAGGCACTGAGGAAATAAAATAAGCAGTCAGTTAACCCAAATGGAGGAACTAAAAGAAGTCCTCCAATGAAAGGTAGAAAATGGAAATGTTCTAAAATAGGAGTCCTAAGCTCCCTAAGCACATTAGATATCACTTCTCATCTGACCCATATTCATCATCACGTAACTTTCTTCCTGCTCAGTCTCTCACCAGTAACAATCAACTGTCTCTCCCAGCTGACAGTGGCAGCGGCATTGCTGGCGATGCAGGTGTAGTTTCCATTGTGCTTCAGTGTCACCTTAGAGATTTGCAGGGAGCTCATGAACTCTTTGGTCTCTATTGCCACGCCAGAAGCAGAGCCTGGCACGATGAGTTGGCCGTCTTTGTGCCAGGTGATGCGTATGGGCATGTCCCCAGATGACACCACGCAGGCAATGTACATGAGCTTCCCCACTGAGGTAGAGGGGATATCGAAGGGCTGGATGAGCGGTGGCACTGAGGAAGAAAGGAAGAGCGCAGAGAGTCAGTGGAATAAAGGCAGCGATAGATGAGGAGGAGTGGCAGTGCGGCCATCTGGAGCAATGCTGAGGGAGAGAGAAGGTCATTGGCCAGTGGGCCCCCTCTTCTCGTCCCCCGCTTAAGCCCCCAACTCCTGCAGCCCATAATAGCCGCTCTGGTTAGAGTCCAATTGGCAGGAGGAAGTCATTCTGTTGCCATAGCAATGGAGGTTGGGGTGGGGGTACTACAGCTGAGACATCTGGGGGATTTAATCTAGGCTTCATTATTATTCATCTAATTAAATCAGAGACACACTCACGTAGGCACATGCACATGCACACAGCCTTAAACACCTCTGCAGCTGCCCTGCTACCATCGTTACCCCAATCACAGACTCGACAAAATACAGACGCAGACTGAAACATAAATCTGTCTTGAACACCATTTACCTCAGTCATGATGGATTACTGCAAAGTTGGACAGCACAACTTTGAAAATTAGTGTCCCCAGTTGGCAGTGAATAGGTACTCCAGAAATATCTTTTGCTAATTTGTAAAATGTGTGGTTACAAAGTGTTTTTTTCTCTACTGTTTTGAGGCACATTTGTTTTCAATACTGTAATCTGTTCAACAAATACCCTCAATAAATAAAAAAATGTCTTTATGGTAATCTCAAGTACAGCCAGATCAGGCAGGTGGTTTAGTACCTCTTATTCTGTACATGAATTTTATTAAGTGTCTACCACACAACAGTGCCCAGTTGTTATAGTCTACGATCTTACCTTTGACTGTGACATGGACAGTCTGGTTGATTGACACCTGGGGCTGGATCAGAACGCTACACAAGTAGGTACCCTCGTCCGCGCCCTTCTGCACATCCGTCAGCCTCAGGGTGCCGTTCTCAAACAGCACTTGACGATGATTATCAGGCAGCTGCATGCCGTCCTTCAGCCACTTGATGGAGTAATATGGGTAGCCAATCACACGGCATGTTATGTAGGTGTTCCTACCCGCCACTGCGGTGATGTCCCGCATGGGTCTGATTCGAGGTGGACCTGGAGACACAGGGAAGAGAGGGAGGGGATGGAGGGGGGGAAACGAAGAGAAACACGGAGGTCGGAGAGAGGGGCAGATGAGGTGAGGGAGGTCATGGCAGAGTGAAGGAACAGCCACGGGGACAGGAGGTGAAGAGATAAAGGTTGAGGGATAGAGTGATTGGGGCAAGTTGACAAGTGGACAGGGAGGTTAGTTAGGCTCCCTTTACTTAAAATAATTGAGGATATTTGGTGATTTTAGTCTAATCATACATTATGTGTATCTAGGAGAGTGTGTGTAATAATCTAAATCCCTCCTCATATAGATAGAAAGATAGATAGGAAGGGCTGTAAGTAGATAGACTAGTAGCTGGGTAGATAGAAAGGGTTAATAGTTAGCATAGCTGTCTGAGGTCGCAGAGAGCAGCAGCTGCAAACAGTAACTGTAAATTAACACAAGTAAATAAAGCAAATAATGCTTTAAAGCTAGCTGTGGGTTAGCTGCAGTTAGCCAAAGAGACCTAAATTTGCTCACTAACTGAGTAACCACTGCATGTGTTAATGCAAAATCTCTTCTTTACTGTTCAACTTTGGCAAAAAGTCAATTTCATAAAGAAGGATATATGTGCTAAAATAGTTAGATTAGCCATATAGCAATAACTGCTTTAAAATGTCTTAAAATTTCGTGGCAGAGTTATTGCCATATTGTGTGCTAAATCACACGCTTAAACATTTAAACCCCTTTTATTGATGTAGGTTCAGATTTTGACTTCTTTATTTTCTTAAAGGCCCCAGTGAGGAATTTTTAGCTGCATGTGAAACACACTGAAATTAATGATGTTTCGTTATCACCTACAAAAACAAACAAGACCGGCAACGAGATCCACAATGTAGAGTTTGTCATTTTCAATGCCTGAAACTGGAGATAGGCATCGGGTGAGGTGACCTTGTTTTATATACCCTAACAAATTATCATATTGATTGGCTTATAAAAAAAAAAGGCAGGATGACATTTTTCAGAATTTTTTTCATAACACCACATAAAATAATTTGCATAGCTTAGATTTGATTAGTTTAGTCTCTCTCTGATTATAGACAGTTAGATAGATAGACAGATAAACAGACAGACAGACAGACTTGACTATGTGAAGTGCAAAGTAATCTCCTCTTGCTATCTCCTGTGTGTGTGTGTGTTTATATGGAGTCAGGTGTAGAGTGCATTTATATTGAAAAGCAGACAGGCACCTCTTACGTTTATGCGCGCTTGGTACTCGGCGCTACCGGCCGAGTTGCGTGCGACGCAACGGTACACTCCCCCATCTCGAATAAGCGGGCTGCTGACGTTGACGTGTGACACGGTCAGGCCGTCCGACAGGGTGTACTGGCTGGTCTTGTAGGTGGAGTCTCGCACCACGGGCTCGTCGTCCAGCGTCCAGGTGATGGAAGGGGGCGGAGCTCCTTTGGCAGCACACATGAGCGAGAAAGGCTCTCCAGGGTTCACCACACGCTCGCTGAAGGAAGACACGATTCGAGGAGTACCATCTAAGAGGGAGCGCAGAAGATAGCAAGAAACTTAGATACAAACAGAGCAACAAACAGCTGATTCTGGTTTCCTGTCATTTTTGATGTTACATTGCCGTTATAAAACCCTGATTCTCTTGTTAAACAGCATTCAGTGTTTACTTCCCGGTCAGTCCATCAACATACCCTCTAGCAGAATAATGGAAAAGTCCTGAGCAGTGTAGCCCTTTCGGGAGGCAAAGCACTGGTATGCCCCAGAGTGGAACTTCTGTGCTGCAGTGATCTGCAGGGTGTCGTTGTGTTGACCCTGGATGGAGATGTGCTGGTCAGGTACAATGGGCTCAGTGTTGCTGTACCAGCTGATGGTGTATTCTGGAGAGCCTTCGACAGTGCAGGTGAAAAACAGGGTGCTGCTGATACCAGTTTTTAGATTCTTGGGGGACAGGGTCACACGAAGCGGATCTGAAAGATGAAAATACGTTGTCTGTTAGAAACCAGATGCATTTGTATCTTATTTTCCATTATTTGGTCAAGTACTGTAGCATTTTGTAGAATTAAATATTTTATGGTTTGATTTGCAAAACTTGTATTTTGAAAACATATGCAATGTTGCTGTTGTTAAACCACATTTACACACATTTGACATATTTATCAATTGCTCATGAACTACTATTTGTTAATTTATTGCTGGTTGATAACTTAGGGATCACAATCCAACAGTGCTCGTCTGGGAAATCATATTTGTAATGGAAGTTTTTTGGGGGGGTTTGCACACAATATTTCATGATTATTGCTCATATCTACTTTCAGGGAAATAGAAACTCATCCCTGTTTTAAACATTTTTCATCAGTTGAAGTTTGTAAAACACCATCAGCAGATGTAAAAGGAGGCTGAAAACACTGATTTATGTACAAAATTGGAATAATGAAATATGGTGATAGAGGTTTCTGTCTGACAGTGGCAGGATAACTGTCTGGTTAGGCTTATCTTTTGGTTCTTTTATAGTAATATAACATATAAAAATATGAATAGAATCCAATTTCGTAGTATCTTCATTAATCAAGTAGTAAAAATTTTAACCTCCTAAAAAGCTCTAAAATCATCCAGCTGAATTTAAAATGAGACACACGGGTTCATGCATACAGTCTGCACTTACATTCAACGAGCCAGAGAGAGAGGGAGAGAGGGAGCACAATCAACGGTGGTGACTCAATCAGTTGGACGCACTCATTAAAAAAGCAGCTGGAGATATCTCTTCACATCTCTGTCCACTTGTGTGTGTGAGTGTGTTTGTGTGTGTGTGCCAGAGCGAGTGTGTATGTACATATGTGTGTGTGCAAATGTCAGTGAGCAATAAGGCAGCTGGTGGTGTGTGCTGGGGGGCATCTCTGTGCCTCCCATCCCCCCCTTTACCCTGTCAGAGTAGCAGAGTGTGCTGCCATGATGTGCCCACTGGCAAAGCCCACCGCCTCACTATTCTCTCCCTCTGTCTCGCCTCCTCCCGCTCTTTGTTTCTTTGTATACCTTGCACAATGTACATTTATCTCCGCCTCTTTTATTATCTTGTTAGTACACAGCAGATAATGTCATTCCAGCACTGTCTGGATGTCTGATCGTCCCCTCTGTGACCCCTCGTCTTTATCTCCGTCTTCCTCACCCTCCTGCTCTGTGATGGTGAATGCTGCTGGCAGCTGTGTTACGGATCTAGTCTCAGTGAATTATTGCCCTGTCTCTCTGCTTGAGACCTGATATGACGGGGCATCATACTGCACAGCTCGCACATATGTTTGTTACAGACACACTCGAGGTGCGACTTATATGTGTGCCTCAAACCAAAAAGCAGAGGAGCCGCTGAATGTGTCTGACTGCCAGGCTGATTCACTGAGAAGACAGCGTGGGAGTCTGTCAGGTTGTGTGTGTATGAGTGTGTGTATTTGTGCTCACACAAACCTATAACGTGGAGCTGTCCAGACACCTCCTTTGAGCCAAAACTGTTGGTGACCTCGCACGCGTAGCTGCCACTGTCTTCCTGCCTCAGGTCGCTGATGGTCAGCCCCGTCAAACGCCGTGTCCAGCGGGCATCTGAGGGTAGAGGGCGACCGTCTTTAAGCCAACGCACGGTGGGGCTGGGGTAACCTCCTGCGATGCACGGAAGCTCAATGCTCTGGCCTGCATACACCTCCCCTGCTTGGAAGCTGTCCAGGATGGTGGGCGAGGACTCGTTGGGGTCTGAAGGGCAGAAACAGAGTTTTTTGGGGGTCTGAGCAATGAGAAATATCAGGGTAATGTGCTAAAAATAAAAAACAAACTTCTCACCCATTACAGAGAGCCTGGCTCCATTGCTTTGCCGCGTCTCGCCGCTGTACTTGTGTTTGGTGATGCACCGGTATGTAGAGAGGGCATCCTCCTTCTGAACATCAGAGATGTAAAGAGCCCCGAAGGAGGTCAGGGAGAACCTGTTACCTGTGGGGAACACATACGATAAAGACTTATTATAATTTCCTGAGAAGAAAACTGCTGACAGAATAAAAGACAGTTAAAAATCTGCAAGAATATGATCATTAGGGTACAAACCCATTGTGCTTATTGTAAAAATGTGTTGTGCTGAGACCAAACAGCTGCCTGAACAGTTGGCACTACCTGCCTGTTGAAGTTTTTTTTCCCTAAACCTGGCACTCTTTCAAGGCCTTGAGGACACACAGCGGTCACTTTCACCACCCAAAGACAGAGCAGAGACAGACTTATTCCCCTTAAACACACACAAAGTATAACTCATACACACCACCATCACGACACCATCTACAAGTTCTTCTTCTAGAGTGTTTTAACAGAAACTTAAGGTAAAGATGAAGTGTTCCTCGATGAGATAAACGCCCCATGCTCTCTTTTAGAGCCTTTTGCACCTGATCCACATTTTTTGTGCCTTAAAAAAACTGTTGGTAAAAGTTTAAATACTTCAACAGATTTTCAGCAGATAGAGACAGAAGTCTAGGTATTTACCCTGCAAGGCCTCAACCTACAATGTCTCAACTAATACGTGACATTCAGCCATATTTATTAGGCCCCAAAAAATATGCAACAGCATCTGTCACACAAACTGTTGCATATGAGACACAATACAAAACAGTCGGGGTCATACACTGAGGTCAGTTACAGTTTGTAAACAGCAGCTATCACTTATGTCTGTCATATATCTAAACTGCAGGTCAGCAGTGGAATTAGCTGCATTCAGGTACACCTGTGTGTTTATCAGCATCAACATTTTATCCATAATCTCTGTTTGTCAGGGTCGTGAGCAGGAACAGTAAAGGTAGCAGTTATGGTCTGTGCATGTGTTTGCTTGGAATATACTGCATGACCCGAGAGGAGGCACAGGCTGCAATTTCACAGCAGCCTTTGTTTGCCCCCCAGAATGAAGCCTTACAGGATAATGAGCACTTTAAGGCTGCTACTCCCACAACACCAACAACTCGCCTGTCACAACACTCTGACATAGGCAGGGGGGAGAGCGCGAGCAAGAGAAAGAGAGAGCGGCAGAGAGTCAGCTGGATCTGTCAAAGCCACACTTTCGTTCTGCAGCAGGGGACGGAATTCATCCCTTCTGCAGCGATGCCTCTGGAACAACACTGATTACACAACGCCGCCACATTATTTCCCTCACTATCTGTCCTTGTTCACTGAGTGTCTTGTACATAAAATCAGTGGATCTACAGATGACTGTCTTTATCTCTTTGTGTGAACCCTCTTATCATCTCCCTCTCTCACTCTGTGTGTGTTTCTGAGCGGCTCGTTCTCAGTCTCTAAGCAGAGTGGCAGACAGAGTAAAATATTAATTACTAAATCACTGCGCTCCCTCGGCTTTTATTCATGCTGACTTGACTTGATAACGAGAAACAGAGCCGATGTGCCTTTCACACACAGACACACCGAGACATGGACATGCACAGCTGCAGCACAACATGCACACATGCATGCAGGAAATCCGAGCCGAAAAAAGGGCTGTTGTTGATTGTTCAGTGTTGCATAATTTTTTTCCATTACGATACTGTAACGATCTCTACAAGCTCATGATATTTTTATGCCAATAACAAAATATTTTAACTCAAAGGACTGTAGTTTTTCCTCTTCTTTTACAAAAAAATCACATCTGTAACATGCAGGTTTTTTCGTTCAGTGTGTTTACGGTCATGCTCTCACTTATTTCAGGAGAAACTCTGTAATTGGGAATGGACTTATCACTGATCAGCTGTGCCATCACGCATACTGTACACAGAAAAAACCCTAAAACCTCTTCTGGTTCTGTGAAACACCATGAACCAAGAAACCAAAAGGAGCAAGAAGTAAAAATAGCAGCACTCAGTTCTCGCAAAAAGCCATTTAGAGGTTTAAGTGTTCTTCATCAACTATAAATGCTTCTTTACAGAGTTCTTTCACCCAGAAAGAAGCTTTTTGAAAGCAGCCGCGTTGCCTAGAGGATGCCAACATTGTTGGGTTTTCTATGAGTTTGGTCAGAGTCTCAATGAGACCCATTCATGGAAAGATTGTGCAGAACTGTTCATGTATCCCTGATGCAGATGGAGTCCTGAGGGGAACTACAATTACCCTTTCTAGTGAAGACTGGATCAGGAAAATGTACATTTTTTATAGAAGAAAATTGTAGGAAATCGATACCTTTATTATACTTATTATTATTAAAACATTAAATAATTTAGTTTCTATTACATAAACATAATTCAGTCATCTTCACTCTTCCTGTTCCACTGTTATTTATTCCCCCAGCTTATTTCTTTTACAGCGTTTATGTTCCTGCATGCACAATAATACAGCATAGACCATTTAATCCTTCATGTAGCTTTAGGTAACACACATTCATCTGAGGTTGATTTAAATGCACAGACCAGCTGAAAGAATAAAGGAAATGGATAGAAGGCATTTAAAATCCAGTATACTTTTCTCTGCATGTATGTAATTTAATAAAAGGCCATTACTTCAATGAACTGTGCTGTATGTCCTCAGCAAACCTCTCTCATATAATAAAGGTTTGAGTTTGCTTTTCATTTTTGGGTCCATCAGGGCCTCTCAGGTTTGACCTGCTGCCATGACTGTTCAAAAAGGTGGAAAGAAAAAGGAAAATAACACGTGTATAAATGTGCAAGAGAGAATAGGAAAAACTAAAAGCATGACAGAGTCTATAAATAGGATACATACTATAGCTCATTTGGGTCCAAGATCCAGTGTGTATGTGTGTGTGTGTGTGTGTGTGCGCGTGCAAGTTGGTAGCAGCCTCATTTTCTCACATGCAAATGAAGGCGTCGGCGCAAAGATAACGAGGCCCATATTTCCACCTCCTCAGTGGGGCCATTATTTATTGATGTTCTGCATCTTTCCCCCTCCCCTCCCCTCTCTCACGCTTTCCTCATCCTCTCCCTGTTGCTAGGGTCTTCTCGCTGCCATCCTGCACTGATTTAGGCGTACTTTCAGCAATAATTAAAGCAGCACATGTTTACAATCATCGAGGACGGAACAGTGGAACCCTCTGTGATGTGCCACTGCAAAAAAATCAGAATGGTGGGTCGGTGGGAGAGGTCAGCGAGAGGAACGGGCAAAAAATAGCATCAGTGTAAAGAAGCTAAAAATAGCTTCTGAGATACACATGGGTTTTGCATCCAATCACAAATATTTTAGAGAAACCTCTAACAGAGCACACTTTCTTTTGGTTTTCCCTCATCCTGTGTCTCAATCTTGGGTCAGTCCCCTTCTTAACCACAAAATGAGACAGATTTTTTTATGACTTTTAAATTTTCTGAACCGCCAAGACAAGAAGTGTGTGTCGCTTGTTGTGAGTGTCCCTCGCTCAAAGAAAAAAGGCATTTCTAAAAATACTCGAGGCCTGTTCATTGGCAGTTATTTATACAGTTTTGAAACCCAGCCGGGCTCTTCCACCATCAACAGGAAACCAATTTAGCTGAAACCAAACTGACCTATATGCTTTAAAAGGGCAAATTTCCACTCAGTGTAGAGTTGGCTATTTAAGGAGGCAACATTTTTCATCCTGTTTAGGAATTATTTCATGACACGAACATTCCTGAAATACAACTTTTTCTGTGTAATAGGCAAAATAAAACCTTGATATTTTAAAAAAACATCTAAACTGACTATATGACCACCACTTTCTGTGAAATCACTGCTTGTCCTTTGGGAGTTCCCTGTATAGACCCCTTATCTAATCGGTCTGGAAAAGGCTAATGAGCTATCGAACTCAGATCCCTGTTTCTCTCTTCGCAGATCACTCTTGTCTGATCCCTGGGGTCTCCATCTTACTCAACACAGCTGATGGTCAAAAGCAGTAGTTCCGTGCCTTGAAGGGCCCTCACTGTTAAATCAAGGTTAGTATGTTTTCCCTGCTCATTATGAGGAGTGTAAGGCAGTACAAGTAGAAAATGTGGCAAAGCAGCAGGGGTCAGAGGTTTCACTCCTACACAAAGCAGCAGCAATATAGAAACCCTCTGATAAATCTCCACAGAGCAGAGTTTTGAGCTATGTGGTTTAATGTCAAACAGGGAAATTGACTAAAAAACTCTTCAATTGTCTCCTTTAAGGCTGCACTATTGTCCTTTTTTGAGGTTTAATGACCTGTGTCCACACAACACTTAGTGTGAGACAATACACACCATATCTTTATATTTCTAGTTATAGAAATATAGACATAGACTTCTCTGCCTCTGTGAGGATTTTGATCTCTGGCTGATCTCTACACAAATTCACAATCTGATCGACAACATTGACGTTGACATAAGCTTTACCACAGACTCAGGCTGTCACGATATCACATTTTCACCTTACAATTATTGCGGCCTATACTTTCATTTTAAAGTAGAAGCTACTCACAGTAAATCTCAAGTTGTGGAAATGAATAAAAACAGATTAAAACAGCAGTCTAAAAATATAAATGTTCAATTAAATTTCCTGTCACTTTAATTATTAGTTTTTCAGCCTAGAGCTGCTTCAAGCCAGTTCATGACCTGTGGGGACCAGAGTAACCAGTGTAACCTGCCCGCTGAGAAAAGATCGCTCTTAGATGTCTAGTTTTTTTTTTAAACCTAATTTAAACTGTCTAGATTCTTTATATTTTTAGACAGAATTCAGACGTTGCACTTTAACCCATTATTTGATAACTATTTACTTCAAAAAGCAACTGTGAGTTGCATAACTGATCTCCAAGTACTTTATAAAAATAATGATGATAGCCGTTGAGCACTATACAGTGTAGTATAAATATAGCCCAGATTTAGACTTGGTCTAAATTTAGACGTCTAAAAATCTTTCATTTTTAGACATGTGGTAGCCTGATTTTAGACCTGCATCCAGGCTACATTTAGACATCTATTAGACCTCTTTAGACCAAAAGATGCTCAGGGGGTGCTTAATTTTAGCACGATATCAATATTGTGATGTCTCAACAAAGACTGTTTCCATCAATACTGGTATGTTGCTACAGCTCAATTGTGACTTCTGAGGTTAGTCCAGTGAGTATTCTTAGTTTGATGGCCCAGTTGCTGAGTAAAGACCGTAATATGAAGAAGATATGACTGCTGGCACAGGTGTGCTTCAGTTTGTAGGAATAAAACACTTGACCATTAAAGAATCAGAGCTGTGATTTTTGTGTACACACTGTTGATTCCAGTTAGAAGTCAGAAGTTCTATAGAAGTAAGTGTAGAACACTAGTATTCACGCATCTTTGCTCATTGAACCACAGAACCTCTTATAGCCCCGGGTATCCTATCTATAGATTTGCCGCAGTTACTTGTTTGTAAGCCGAATGACAAAGATTTTGTAACTAAACAGCTAAACAGATAAAAATGGATATCCAAGTTTAGTAAGTTTTTAATTTGTCGATCATGATGGGGTGTAAAAAGTGGTTGAATTTAACAATGATAAAAATGGTATTCTGTTTCTTTGCCTCATACCCAGTTCTCAACGACAAGTTGCAGGAAAGAATTTGAAAGAAGGTGAGAAGAGAGAGAGAGAGAGAGAGGAAGAGGAGGAGGAGGATAGGGAGGAGGGAGCGGATCAAAGACTTGTGGCTGTCACAGAAAGAAGAAGAAAGAAAAAAAAAAGCAGCATATTCCGGAGATATTCTCTGCAGTGCTGGAATATGCTTGGTGCTCACAAATGCAGACATGCCAGGCACACACACTCACACACATAAACACTCACACAAAAAAAACACCAACTGGGGCTTAAAATAGGCCAAAAATATTTCCCTGCCGGAATAAAAAGTAATAAACTACATAATAAAATTAGCGCAGAGGAGTTGGTGAGTGGCAGATGTCCAGTTCTGCAGCAGAAGAATTTGTCAAAGTAGAAAATCAGCAGCACTGTGGGACAGAAAGAGTAGATTTTAGGAGGAATGAGAGGAAATAGAGAAGGAAAACAATGGTTGAGGAAGAGATGGAGGGTGAAAAGTGGAGGATATAACAGTGGATGTCTGTGTTCTCCCCTCCTTTATGCACAAAAAGGGGGTGTTGCATCTGCATTCAAAGCGAGCGCCCTCTCTCCTCCCTCTCCTCTCTCTCTGCTGTGTACATTAAAAGCCCAAGTAGAAGCAGGTGTCAGCCAATTAAATATATACACTTTCCTGGCTTTTATTCCCCTGCACTCTTACTTAACATCCATGAATGGCACCCTCTTAACTCCTTTCAATTCACATTCAAAGCAGGTTTTATTGGCACAACTCATGTGCAACAACTAATTGTGCGACGCAGGCCCGCCCCGCTGCATCTCCTCCATAAAAGAGACTTTGTTAACACGAGCAAACTGTTCAGACAGAGCAACAGTCACGCTGCCAGTTAAGGCAAATGTCGCACGAGCAATATCTGAATTTCAGCTTTCGATTCTCTTTCTTTCCCCCTTCTTGCTCATTTTTTTTTCTGCAAGAAAAAGGGGGACGGGACGCAAGACGTTGGAGGATCTGCAGCTCTGTCATGTTTTCATTAAAAAGCCACGCTTGGCTGTCTAATCCTAACTGCTGCGCTCTCTCCTAACCAATTCTGACTGCTTACTTCATCCTTCAATCATGTTTCCTTCCTGCCCTGACCCTTGTGTAGTACATCAACTCGAACGTGAGCTCAGAGGATGCTGGAAAAGTTGAGAGGCGTGTTAAGGTGAGGAACAAACAAACAAAGGTGGGGATTCGGGTTAGGAGGGATGAGACAGAACAGACAGACAGAGCAGGGTCCAGTTTCCACGTCTCTTCTGCTTCACTTGACTGCTCTGTCCCAATTTGCCCTGTGTGACTTTAAACAGTAAACACTGGGGGGAGGGGGCAGTGTGGAGTGGTGGTGGGGGGTGTATTGAGAGGCTGAATGGGCAGTCAGGGCACAGCAATAAAATGGATCTTATGCAAAAAAGACGTAGTCATCTGCGTAGATATAACTCAACACAGTGCGCAGAGACGCCATGTTCCCCCCCATAAACCCACCCTAACCAGACAGACCGACGATGCTGCGTAAAGCTAAATGGACCGTCTCAGAACGAGGCAGCGCGCAGGAGATTAAGCATCAGTAGAGGCATCAGAGGGAACGAGGGATGGAGGGGAAGAGGCTGGGAGGATAGGAGAGAGAAATAGGGAGAGATGTAGAAATAGGACTCCATTATTCATGACGTGTGTTTCATGTGCTTGGTGACATCTGGGACAGCAGTGATAATGAGAGTCCCGGGAGAGAGAAACCACATACACACACACACTCCAACACACATATACATACATATACACACAAGTCCCAAAGCTCGGTACCATACAGAGCTGTGCTACCTTGGTCCAAACACCCACCCCCACTGAACTCTTCCTGAACTGATGATTGCATGGACACTATGAAGCCAAGACACTGAAGAAACTCTGTCCTTTCACTCAGAGGGAGTAAACATCCAGCCACCTCTTCAGGTTGTTTTTGATTGTGCAGAAGGTTAGAGACAGAGCTGGATGTATAGTGTGTGTGTCTACTATCATATGTGTGTGTGTGTGTGTGTGTGCACGTTGTATGTGAGCGTGTGTGTTGTGGTGTACTCCAGCTTAGCCCATGGCCCCGGGCAGTGAGCTGCATTAGCGGCACTGAGTGAGCTGCCCGGTCCCTCCCTATTAGAGCGCTGGTGGCAGAGGAGTGTCACTGCCCAGCATCGAGAGACAAAGTGAGATAGAGAGAGACAGAGAGAGAGAGGGAGACAACTTAACTGCTTCTGCACATATGCATGTTCACAAGTCAAGCAGAACAGCTAAACCCCCTAATAGCACTCTTAAAGACAGTGAATTAAAGCTCATGTAGGGAGTTTTCTGCTGGTTATAAAACTGACTGACATTTCTCAATATTGATGTGTTTTTATCACTGAAGAAAGGAAACAACAACATCAACAAGAAGGGTTACCACTTCTATTTAGTTATTTTTAAATTTTGAGGGTGTGTGTGTGTCAGATTATGCGATCTTCTGCATATACAGCCAATTATTTCTATGGTCCATGGGAAGGACTGTCATTGAGTGTATTCATGTGCAGGACAAAAAATAAGAGTGTTGTTTGCTTCAAGTTCTTGATATGGCGTAGCTGATTCAATACTACTACAATGCAAAACGACATCCACAGTAACGGCACATAACTTTTAAAAACTGTGGACAAGTTCATATTTTACATGAGACCTCACTCCTTAATCAATGCATTAGGATGGGGGATGGGCAGCATGTGCTTTAGGTTATCAGACCCAAGAGCAGAGATGAGAGATTGTTTAATCGCTAACACTGATGATCTTGTACAGGTAGAAAATAAAGGAATGAAAATTGGGCCATCTTGACCTATAGGTCACAACAGTTTCCAAATGTGTCAAATAGTAAGGGGCTAACAGGTTGTGTGTCAAATGATGAAACCGCTGACATCTTGTACATCTGTACCTTTTGTACAAACGATACAACAGCTTTGCCTTTTTGTATGTTCCTTCTTCTTTCTAGGTTTTGTTTACTACCTGGCTACCAATTCATGATCTGTCATAGCCAGTTTTACGTTAAACCCAAAAGCAAATAGAAACTTGAAACTGGACCAGACTTTTTGGTGGACAGCAATCTGTTGCGACTGGTTGCAATGTAACAATTCAATTGGTGCAACTACAGTAATAATCTCACACTTTGGGGTGAAATTACCCTTTATTTTCCATTATCTTTAGTCTTCCATAACACTACTTGGTTTGTATCGTCCTTTGTTGTGTGTCATAGCTAAAATGTTGACAAGAGTCTCAACAGATTTTTATAGTAGAGGTAAACAGAGAGAGCAAACATGCTATAACCACACTGAATTATTGACTTGCTTACACATGACATTTACTATGTACATACTAATCCACAAATGACAGCACAACCTTCCTTTCTCTCAGAATTTTCCATCACATTAACCTCAGAGCAGCTTTCTGATGTGTTCACCTCCCCTCACCTTCCCGCCTGCTGCAGTCAATCTCAGCCTGCCATGTTGATCTGGCCTTAATGTGTGTTTGGACAGCTAATAGTGCGGCGGATCAATAGGTCTGATTGAGAGGTCATGTAGGAACATGGCACTTGGATGACCACCAGGGATCCCATTTGATCCCCGATCATGTCTTCTCACGATGCATATGCTCATAGACACACCAAAACCCATCACTCTTTGCCAAACAAAATCTATTCAGGGCTTAATCGACAACAGCTCTCTGTTTCTGTTCTTATTACCATCATACTGTATCTTTGAAGCTTATACTTAAAGTTCAAAGACTTTTTCATTGTTGGCAGTTTGTATAAATCCCATGAAATCTGATGGAAACTGACAGCAATATTGTAGAGACATTTAAGGACAGGATTAGAGAAAATACCACTGTTGTCCACAGTGATAGAAAAACAGGGAAAATCCAGGAGTGAACTTCTTGCCATCAGTACAAGCTGCAGTAAATAAGCATTTCCTTAAACACTATTTCTCAGTAAAGCCTGCTGTAATCTCATGCACTAATCCTTCTTTGCTAGCCTAAACAAAAGAGTCGAAGAAAGCAAGAGGAAAGGGGTAAAGTCTCTTTACTCAAATCCTATTTCTTAACCCAATCCAGGCCACATAAACCCTCCAACTCTTTAACTCTAAGCCTTGACACAAGCCTTCCTGCTTTCGCTTTTCTCTGATCCACTCTGGATGCCGTTACAAGAGCAGATTAACACCTTATTCTTTACAGAGCCGGCTAATGGAAATTATTGGATGATTCTGGTTTTGTAAAATATATTTGAGATGAAAATCTTTTTCATTAGTAGGAGCAGGAGCCTGGGACATGATGCAAAAATACATACTCATATTGTTTTGTATCCTACCGTCATTATGTATTGTATTGCATCGATTATATTGTCTCGTCTTGTCTCTCTGTATCATACGTATCGAATCGTGTCAAGTTGTGCCATGTTGCCTCGTTTCATACTGTATCATATCGTGTCGTATCGTTTTGTCATGTTGTGTCGTCACGTGTCCTATTGTATTATATATTGTATCGCGTCATACCATATCATGTCATGTCGTCTTGTCTCGTACCATACCATAGTGTATCGTTTCGTATTCTATATGCTGCCTTATATCATAGTTTATCATATCATATCATATTGTATCGTATCATCTCATGACGTGTCGTATCGTATCATACTGTATCATATCGTGTCCTATCGTTTTATCGTGTTTTTGTCGTCACGTGTCATACTGTATCATATACGATATAGCATCATACCGTATCATGTCATGTCTCGTATCATATTGAATCATACCATATTGTATTGTTTTATATTGTATATGTTACGCTGTCTCGTATCATATCATATTGTATCGTATCATGTCGCGTCTATTGTTCCCTTGTAGTTGTAGTTTAACAGTTAAAGGTAACTTGCTGTAAGCTACAGCACTAAATTGAATGTGCGGGAAATGTTACTGTTTTTATTTTATTTTTTTATTATTATTATTATCTGCAATTAAAACTGAAGGTGATAGGTTAGTAAGAAAAAACAATGGTGTTTTGATAATGACGATATGGTCCGGCTGTAGAATATACATATAAAGCATTTTCATCAGCGTCACTTTGACCACAGGTGTAACAAAACAATGGTATTTGTCGACATACAGATTCAACCACAGAGAAAAAAACACTGATCTGAAGCATCATAAGACACCAACCAATAAATCTATGAATCCAGCAAAAGGTTTTTTTGCTGTTGTTGACATGCTTCAACTGATGATGAATCGTGATTATTTATAAAGATGGAGCACAGATATTGTCTTCAATAATCATTGCATGAGCCTGCATGCAACCATGAATAAAATCATCTGTGTATTGTGACAGACTTTGTGGCATCAGCATTCATTATGCCATTATGATAGCTCTATAAATCATATCATTAGATTACACCACAACCATGAAAACAATATATATTATTTTTACTGTATGTTCTCCCACCATCAGTTACATTGTTCAAAATGTCAAACACTGTTGAACTCTAACTGTTGGTTATAACCAGGTTTTGGCTGCAAAATTTTTGTTAATCCAATAATAACTTTAAGGAGCGCATTTTAATCTAGATACAAATGATGACAAAAGTGGGAAAGCTGGGAGAGTCTTTTTATCATTTAATGAAGTAAAGTTATTTTTTAAGCCGCGTTATAAGAAGAGACTTCTTCAACTCTGTCTGAGATGTTGTATCCTGACACAGCCGAGCTTGAAGGGCAAGAGAGTGGCCAGATTTGTGTCAGAGTGATGTGTTTGCAGGGGCTTTCCCATCACTCCCTCTTAGACTGATTGACACTGATACACTGATGCACGGCAAACATGCTCACGCTGCATCTATGTGTGTGTGAGGGAGTGTGCGGATGAGTGTGTCAGTGTAGTGTGTTTGATGGCATCACAAAAAGATAAAAGGCAGTGGAGGAGAGCCGTCACAGCAGCGTGCGTGCGTGTGTGTGCGTGTAGAGAGAGTGTGTACGTTCCTGTGTTAAGTGCACGTGAGCAGGCATGTGTAGTAGTGTGTAAATAGTCAATAATAGGCGACACTTGTCAGCCCTCTGCTCTGTACACACAAAGCCCGTGGTCGAGCCATTGTTGAACTCCGCCTCTCCACGCCAGCCACCCCCCCTAACCGGGCCTCTCAAGCAGAGATAATTATGCCTATTGTGCCCCTTTCACACACACACACACACACACACACACACACACACACACACACACACACACACACACACACACACACACACACTTGTTTGTGCTAATTTACACACCCACCCACGTGCCCACTCAACCTAACTGAGTAAAAGATGGCTGCCAGCACCCCATCTGCTCCTGCCCCACTCTCAGCAGAGTGGGGCAAATATAAGGGGCAAAAATACACACAGAAAGTAAAAAAAATAATAATGAAAAAGATGGAAAAGTTTCTGATAACTTAAGCTGCATGGAAACTCAGTTTAAGAAGTTTAAAGTCATTTTTTAATCTGTTTTTTGTCAAATCTTCTGTGGTTAACTTTGCATGCGATTCCTATTGTTGAATTCTGCTGCTACAGCCATATGTTAGCATGTATGTTGTACCTTCAGCTGCATGACTTAGTCTGTAATGTCCTCTGCTAACCCCCACAGCCCGTCCCGTGCCATGTGGGACAGAGGCAGGAGCAGAGGAGGGGGAAGAGGTGAGGGGGTGATAGTGTGAGACATGTGGGGGGGAGTGACAGAGGGCGAGAGTCGATGGGCTTGTGTTCAATGAGCCCTGGGGACGCCACGTGCTCCCTGTCCTCCTCTGTCACACACGTCCTGCTACACTGGGGCTGCAGCTGAAACAAAACAACAGGACAGCCGTCACACAGCGGAGCAGAGTGGAACCTTAATGTATCTGAGTTAATGTTTAATGAGAGAGCTCCACATCAGGCAGCTTCATGCAAAATCTGAAAATGGCTTTATTGTGTTCTTTTGTGTGTGTGAGTGTGTCAAGAGCAAGCTTATGCATTTGTACTTTGTCCGAGTGCGTGTATGTGTGTGTCTTGGGCTGGAGTTTACATGAGTCTGTGGTGCCCCAGACAAGTGTATCCATTAATATATTCCTGTTTCAAGTGCACAAGCACAGATTTACAAACACACACATCGTGTCCTAACACACTGCTGCTCTCCATGACGTCCTGCTGCTTTTGTCACCTCTCTCCTTCCTGCACCTGTGTGTGTGTGTGTGTGTGTGTGTGTGTGTGTGTGTGTGTGTGTGTGTGTGTGTGTGTGTGTGTAATTGCTGGGAGGGAAACCTTCAGGATGTCCATGTCAAAATCAAGGTATACCATATTTACTCTTACAGTTTGCACATGTTGGAGCCGTACACACACACAGATATTGGTATATTTTCTATGTTAAGCCCTAAACAAATGGCCGACTTCATATTCCCTTCATCATGTCATTTTTAGAAAATGTCAACTATACGACTCATATTTAATCAACAGAGTCTTAATGTTATAACTGATGAAGAGTTCAGGATGTTATGTAAGAGTCCTCCTCTTTGCTCCTTGCCGCTGGGTGATGTTGCACCTCTCTTGGTGCAAGAAACTGAAACACCTCTGCTCTGTTAAGCTGTTTGTCAGGTGATCACCAAATCAGCACCTCATAGAGAAAACAGAGGTGTGCCTGTGCTGAAACTCCGCAGACGCTGGACCAGCATTGTTTACATGCATGTAGAGATGCTGGTTTTGGGGAACATTTGCAGTGATTTCTGAATTATTTTAGAGCTACATGGACAGATCAGGAATGGTTCAAGCTCAGGTTCTCACACCTAAGTCACTTTGTAAACTAATTAGCTTAGCTAAGCTTCTTTAAAACGCTTATACCACCATTTCATTGTGAGTGTATTTTCCCATCTTTTCCCAATTAACCTCTATATTGGCTGAATGTGAGTGACACATATGTACATGTGTGTGTATGTGCTTGTGTATTGTTGTGCCCTTGTTGAACTGCCTGGCTTCCAGCAGGGACCCCAGGGGGCAGAGGATTGATCTGTAATGTAGCCTGTAAGTGACCTCACCACCCAGTGACACCCATTAGGGTCTAATTCACAACAAAGGACTGTTTACTCAGCATTTACGCATTAAAGGGTTAAATCCTCTTCCGGTTTGGTTTTTAGAGGTAGTTTGTCATTTTCTTTCACAGCTCTCTTTAATGCAGTGTTAGTTTAAATAAACTCTCAATCAATGGTTTATAGGTAGGGCTGTGGGATATGGAGAAAAGTTTATCGCAATATATTTTTTTCATGTCAGTAGATGTAAAAAATGAAATTTAACAGTGCTTATTGATAGCATGTCTTTTGCAGTACAACAAGCTACTGCATCTATGAGGTCTTTGTGTCTCTTTGACATTTTGTCGTAAAGTGTTGGACTAGAGAAAGCGGACTGAATGGTCAGCTGTTTCTGCTGCACAGGCGCCATGGGCTCCTTGCTCCGCTCGGGGTTTGTAGCCTTTTGCATTGCGCGTGCTCTGCTGTGTGGCACTTCTTCAGGTGGTGAAAAAGATTTGAGGTATTCCTTGACTTTGCGAGAACATGTACTCAGCATAATCTGCAGTGCACATTACTCTGCTTCATGTCAGACCTCAAAAAACCAAAATACCTCCACACCACCAACATTTTCATGCCAGTGTTGTCGATGATGTCATCATCTGTCGACAGTGCTGTCGGCATCACGTGTTAAAGTTTTATTGTTGCGTGTAGCTGCAGCCTTCTTCTACACAGTTGTTTGCTACTTGGTTCCAAATCAGCACGATTGGTTCAGCGCGAAGCGGACCTGGAGCAACTCCCCTTTTCATTGGCCATTTGTATAGTCTACCAAAATATGGCAGGATGCTGACTATCGAAAAGCATATTGACCTTGTTTTATATAACGATATTGAGGGAAATTAATTTTCAATATATATCATCATAGTTTTATTGCCCAGCCCTATTCATAGGTATGAAAAGCTTTACCTGTACTTGATATGAGTTGACTTATAGAAAGAGGAAGTTTAGAGATCAACCAGTCCCCCTCTGTTCTTGCTTTTCAGCACTGGTTTTGTGACCACATCTATTACTGTGCAAATACACAAACATGATGCAAACTGTGTGGCAGGTGGATGAGATGGAGCATGCTTGGGCATCTTCTGTGGACCACCATGTGGCCGCAGCCATCTGCTGGTTGGGTCTCTGTTCATAGGAGCCTCTCATTAGCTTTCTGCTGGTAAGAGTGACGGCCTCAGTCTGCAAGCTGAACCCTCTCTGTGTCCCACTGTTGTTTTTTTTAATTCCTGTCCACAAACCCTCCATCCCTCTGTCAGCGCTCCAGCTCTCCTTCTTCAGATCACCGCTCAGGCTAGCAGGCCTCCATTGTCTCATGAGGGTCACACATACACATACACAAAAACATGCACACAAAGCTTAACTACAGGGTTTACGGGACGGGGGAGTTAGAGGGAAATAGGTCAGTCTGCCTGCACCCCTCCCCTCCTAAACCCCCCTCACTGTCCTGGCTGGACAGGAAAGTGGGGCAGGCAACACGACACACACATACACGCTCATACACACATAAATAAACACACACGCATGGCTCCAGATGGGGAACCTGCGTGTTTGACAAAATGGAACCTGTTGGGGTTCAGAGGGCATGGCTGCGTTGTGTTATGTCATCAAGTCAACCTTCATACGGGTATGTGATCACACTACTGATCAGCCCTCTAATGAGTCCACAAAGAAAAGGACCAGGTTTAAGCAAAGATCCGATAGACACTTCAGACACAGTTTTTTTTTCTTTCCTTTTTTGCAGCTAAAAAGAGTTGATTTTATATTTTTCTTTTTGGTTCAGTTGTACATCGAACCAATTTACTAAGTTTGAAATTCAAAGGAAAGTTAGGTGATGGTTGAGTGCTTTGTCTTGTTGTTTTCAAAAGGTTTAAGCAGACAATGTCCCTGCTCATCAATGTAATATCAGAAAACATCCCAAAGTGAGAGTTCATCAGCACATGAGATTTCTCAAAATAAAAATCATACAATTTAATCAAAGTATCTGTAAATATTTGCAAAAAAGCTAGAATGTGTCCGTGACTTATTCTGCCTGGTGCATTATGGGATAAAACCTTGCTTTTCATGGTACTAGAGCACAACAAGCAGGTAGAGGAAACCAATAGAACCGATAGATTAACTGTTTTGTTTGATTTTTTTTAAGAGTAAAAAACACACAACCGTATAGATCTACTCACTCATGATCAACCCCCTAACCCTCCTGCTGCATATCTCAAGCAAAGAACAGGAGGTTGTGACAGGCAAAGACAAGCAGCCGCCCACACTCCTCGCATGTAGAGAGCGCTCAGTCACAAAATCAATTTTAATTTTCACATCTTCATTAAACCTGTTTAGACAGTCCAGCGCTGGCTGAGCGGGAGACAAAGAGAGTTTGACCTGAGAAGTTAAGAGTGACACCAAATGTTCTTCTGATTACTTTACAAATTAACTGTTATATCCAAAGCATATTTTGTCATTCACCAGCCCTAAAATGCTGAAATTCTGTAAGAAATGTACAGAATTTTTTTATTTAAAAAAAATATTTGATTTAAAAATAGTTCAAAGACAATTTGTCAAAAGTTGATTTAGAAAACTTTGAGGAGCACCTTGTAACTAATCAGGTTAATTTGCGACAGGTGAGGAACATAACTGGGCATAACAGGACATTTTAGAGTAAATTTAATGGTAAAGTGAGAAGAGGTTCTTTACTTTGTGAGAAACTGCATGAGTAAAATAGTTCATCATCTTCAAAATAATGTTCCCAAAATGCAAAAGATTTGAGGATTTTTTTCATCTTTCGTATATAACAGCGAGATAAAGATAAAGTGAATCTTAAGAAATTTCTGTACAAAACAGATATGGTCAAAAATCATTGCAGGATGTCCTAGATCTTGGTGCTCTCAGGCAGTGCTGTATAAAAAAACAGATGTGACTGTGAAGTAAATCACTGTATGTGCTATGATCACTTCCAAAATTCACTATTTTTAAATATAGTTTGTCACTGCATCCATAAAAAAAGGTCAAAACTGAACTATGCTAAGAGAAAACCAAATAAAACATGATCCAGAAATCAAGCTTGTTATAGACACACATTTCAATGACTAATGAGAGGTGGTTTGGAAATGCATGAGGATCCAGGGCATGAGAAGTGATCATGCCTGTAAAAGTCAAAACTAATGCAAAGCAATGCGAACACATGTTGTCACCCTGATGATACCTCGTTGAGGGAAGACCTTATATTTTTCAGCAAAAAAAATATCAATCTGTCTTCTGCACTTATAAAAACAGCATGGCTCTGCAGTGGAGGGGTCTAGGTGCTAAACTGGCCTACCTGCAGTCCTGACTTGTCACGTATTGAGAACATCTGGGGCATTGTGACACACAAAAAATATCCACAAAAGAGACCCCAAACAGTTGAACAGGTAAAAACCTAAACCAAGCAAGGCTGGGACAAAAACTCCAGATAATGGTATCCTCAGATCCAAACATCTACAAATGAAGAACTGATGCACCACAATGACGAACACGCTCCTGTCCTAACCTTTTTTTTTTATGTATTGGCACCAAATATAAGATGAGAACTTTTTTTATAAAAAATATTTTAGCTTCAACATTCAGCCTTTGCATTATTTTAAATGAAATTTGTGTTTAAATGGTTTGTGAAACATCAAATTCTATTAAATCAGTCTTTATTTTTATCTTTTTGAAATTAGTATTGTGCTTGGGTGTTCACTATATGTAGATCAATATTGTTAGATTCATCCAATAACACTTACAGTATGAACCACTATGTACGTGTTGGCCCAGTTGAGTTAAATAAGTGATTCTGTTTGGTTAAATCCCATAACAACTGTAATTACTCAATAGCAATCACACATGTCATATCAAATCAAGACACATAAAAGAGTCTGGCCTGTGCCTGGTGACAGTGTGGACAAATCATCAGTTCTCATTTCAGGCTGGTCTTTTCAGTAAGGCAGTAAAGACAGTTACTGGGCACTTCAGTGTGAGACAAGTCCCCTCCTCTTTGCTCATTCGGTCACTATTCTATTTTGCATGACCACCCATTCACTGTATATTATCTCTTAAGAATTTTAAAGCAACATTATGTGCTGATTGATTGTCAGTACGAATGATGAGGTTGTATTTCTGAGGTCACGGTTGAGGCAAAACACACAAGTCCTTGTTGTGTTTCTGTCATGAGTTCAGTGAGCAGCTCGTCATGTTCATCATCTGATCCCCACACTCACTGCTCATCAACTGACCTACATACCCCTAATTACACACAGAAGCCACATATACACAGCAACACACCATACATAAAAAGCACAAATGCACACATAGAGGATGGAGAAAGTAGACCGTAGTAAACCAAGTCTCTGTTCAGAATTCATAGGCGGCTGTGTTTTTATTGCAGTGATATCACTGAATAAAAATAGGAAATTAATAAAAGATTTAAGTTGTCATTTGAAAACGACAAAGAAAAATATAAAGACTAAACTTAACTAAACAGAATGCACAGCCAAGCAATCATCTGACTTGAAATAAATAAAAGGTTGTGTGTTGAAGAAAATCTGTTATTAACTTCCAGAACTGCACTTAAATGCAATTTTGTTTGTAGCAAGCAAAACATTTTTTTAACAGTGGCTCAGAATAACTCAGATCAACAAAAAATGGTTGCATAACATCAGAGCTGTAATACTGCATGCACAAAAAGATGTTTTGCTGATTCTCACAAAATTTAGTGTCTTAATGTAACAGATTAATTGGAAAAAAAACAATTAAACACATGAATATGAAAACTAAAATATTAGTTAAAAACTTGCTAAAATGTCTGAAATAACAAATGACTGCTACCTTTGAGTGTGTGTGTCTAAGAGAGAGACGCTGTCTGTGTTTTGCATACATATAATATAAAACGCCATCTGCCAGGACCTGAGGCCGTTCTTGCCCTACTACCCTCCTTGCTTCTCCTCTTTTGGTTCATTTTCCTGCTTTACAGTATCTTCATCTCTCTTCCTTACATTGTTATTGCAAGCATTTTGCATCCTATAATCCTGCGTACATGTCAAACATTCACTGCACCGTATGCAATGTCCATGTAATGAAATAGTCAAAATGTGAAATGAAACAGTGACAACAAACATTAAGACTGCACACTGCAGGTCTCTGTCTCGCTAGCCCACACACACACACACACACGCACACACACACAAACACAAATGAGGTTAATGAAGATGAATGTGGGGTCTCAGTCCTATTGACATCCTGTGTCTCTAATTGTGGCCCTGTTCTTCAAGGACATGGTGCTGAGACAAGCAAGGGAGAGGACAGAAATAGATCTGATGAGAAGAAACTGCAGAGTAGTCACGCTGCTTGGAGGAGTGGAGGCGTAATGCCATGTCAATCACATTACTTGACATTAGGGGAGAAAAATGTATGTATGATGAGATTTAAAAGCAGTGATAGGAGAGGGGAAAGGTCTGTGACAAGAAGAAGGAGAGTAAGAGGAGAGGAGGGAGGAAGAGTAGGTGGACCAGATCAGTGATCCAGAACAGTGAGCAGACAGAAGACACGAGTTAAGAGTTCGGTCAAACATGGAGTACTGCGGTGCATCAGCTATCCTCTCACACACACACATAAACGCACAAACAGGGAAGACAAAGCTGAACCCTAAGACATAACCAAATCCATCTTGGAATAACCCAGAATGACCTCCTACCTGGGACGATGGACACAGTATCTCTTTCCCAGGACACGACGCTGACATATTCCTGCACAGCCGCGGGGATGAGGCACTTGAACACGGCTACGTTGCCCCGCATGGAACGCTGGTCCGCCACCCGCACAGTGTAGGGCTCCCTGAAAACTGAAAAGAAAACACACAAATAATACTGATGTTGCTCAGATCTTCAGATTATTTCCCTAACCCTGAGAAGTCTTCTGATTCCATTTTCCTTCTAGTGCAATAAAAGAAGTTTTGGCTATTACGGATACATCACTGATACCCAGTACACACATCAGCTGCTTCATGAATATAATTTTACACACATGAGTGTGCACTATGCGATCTACTGGAGGATACCTCTACGGGCCCACACAAGGCTTTACTCCTGGGTTTGAGGGATGTAAACAGCAGACAGGGCAGAAGTCATAGAGGTTAGTGACACTGACAGACAAACTCACGATTCACCAGCTCTGAAGATAAATGACCAGAAGACTGAAAACACCATTGGTACGGTGTCCAACCAATTTTTCAAATGTGACACTGTTATCTTCAAAATTAAAGTCCAATGCATCTCCAGCAAACACCTTTGATTTCTTGTCTAAGACCTTATGATGAATACATTTTCACACTATGATAAAACAAAATAATTTTAATGCTTTGCAAGTACACTTTCAGTGTTTTATCAGCTGTAACCACGACAACCACTGAGATGTTTGGCTGAAAGAGGGTCACTCTTCAAATCGTAACACTGGACTTGTTTCCAATTAGTGCTGCAAGTTTTCACACTGACTTGTAAAACTGAACTCATCTGCTTCCTGTTAATTTGACCAGCATGTTTGCTCCTGTACAGTGGCAATAACACACTGTCTCTAACAGAAGACTTGGTTCATCAGCTGGTATTTAAAACTTCCTGTCAATGTTGGTGTGTTGACTGTCACAGCCCGTTTGCCTTCACACCACTCCTACCAGCCATGTGCATACTGTATCTTGTATCTGCAAAGTACTGTAGGCACATATGAACTTTCTGGGGACTTGCAAAGGTGACACACCAAACTAATGCTGGGGACGTGTGGCAGCCATCATGCATTGGCGTACACATAGTTAACAGCAAGAGTATCTCCACCATGAGGGCATCACCCTCTAGTCCCGTACAAATGAGTTGAGTTCATACACTTTGAATTGGCTAATCTCACAGTCACCACTTCATTCTCCCATAAGTCTTTTACATTAGGATTGAAGGTGCCCCTCAGAGCCCCGAGAGTCTCTGGCAACAAACATGTAGTGGAAGAGATATTGATCATATCTGTTAAGAGAGGTAAAGGCAGCGCTGATGATTGTGGTCTATGCGGCATGTTAAACGAGAATTATTCTTGCTTTTAATGTCAGTGAGCTCAGGTGAGGCAAAAACCATATAAACATGTATATTCTATTTCAGCAAACTTGCTAGTTTGACATTGATATTGGTGTTGGTATCTGCATGGGAAAAACTTAATGAAGAACTGCATATGAGAAGTGATGACCTCTCATTAGCTGTGTTTACATGGGCAAAATTGGATCAGAAGATTCTGATCCAATTTTGCCCATTCAGAAAGAAATTGTATTCCGATCAAGAAGGGTGGTTTGTGCCGATTGTTAGTCCGTAATGTGTCCCTGTAAACACTTATTCTGATCGTGACTGTCTGCTGGGGCAAAACTAACCCTACTGCACATGTGTGCCCTATGTCAACGTGACGCATTTCCGCCATTAGAGACAAGACGTAAACATGGCGGGATCCAAGAGCAATTGGTCTGTGTCTGACACAACTTTCTTGCCAGATACAGTCTCCTCGTGTAATGCAGGATGAGTTTGTGCAGCTGGGCCGGCCTGATGATCATGTATGCTAGGAGCAATATAACCACTCAGAACCTGGCTCAGGTCCATTCTGAGTGGAGGGAAAAACCCTAAATCAGATGAAGTGAGCCACTACCGCCTTTGTTGATTTGTTGACATCACAGGTGTGAATACAACTCTTCTTCTGCAGTTGTTTTAGCGAAATTAGACAACTCTGCGCATGTTCAAATCTGAATAATCAGAATAAAGCTTGGTGCATGTATATGCACATCATGACTGAATTATTTGATTTTGCACCTATTTAAACAGTAGATTCAGATTTTCCGATCCCTGAAATTTTTGATCAGATCATGAAAATTTTGCACATGTAAACATGGTTATTTTGAAAGTTTCGAAAACATGTCGGGGATTTTTTTTTTTCAATTTAAAGATATTTGAACTCCACTAAAAAATGTTAATCATTTATATGAGTGTATGTTGACGGCAACATAACAAGCTCATCTGGGTTTGTAATCAGAGTTTTAGTCTGGTTTGGGACAAAACAATAATCTACTAGTGTTTACATCATCAAAAACAAACACATTAACACTCCAGAGCAAAAACAGCCTTTCATCAATTACCCCAGCACTCCACACTGATTCATCAGAAACACCGTACCACTCTCGTGTATTGTTTGAACTCCTCTAATCCTGCCTTTGCTTTCACCATAAATGGCGCGAGCCGCCATTAGGCAGGATAATCATGGAAATTATTTTCCAGCCTTGGCATGACATCGCCATGTATCACTGGTCTGTTTTTATACAAAACTTTGTAAAGACACTGCTGGTTCAAAGTGAACTGGTTATTGTTGCTTCAATTCATGTGAGTTCATGCGATATTTTACACTCAGGTTAATGAGTGAGGACTCATTAGCAAAAATCACATGAAAGCTAGGATGTATCTAAAGGTTGCTAAGAAACTGGTTCGGAATCCCTTTCCCTAGTAACAGACGTGTTGACATCGTGCATACATTCCTGCTGCAAGAGGGGGACACATGCCTGGAAATTTACATCTGCTTTGAACACTTGAGGAGAAAAAAAAAAACATCTGTCAAATGGATTTCAAATCATATGCAATGAACCAACAATGATGAGAATTTGCTTAGAAACTGCTGTCCACCAGGAAGCAGAAAAGTCTATCCAACCAAGACTCAATGATTGCTCAAAAGGAGGGCCAGTTCAACACCATGGCTACAAAAGTGACCCTCCAAAATAAAGCTTCTAGTCTGGTGGTAACCTGTGCTTCAGAGCCCGATAGGGCCGCTGGCTGCAGGATGTTTGCTTCCTGCTAATCCCTCGCCTCCTGAGGCCGGGCTTTAGGGTCATGTGGGAATGAAGGCAGCAACCGGCTGGCATGCAGCTCAGGGTCCTGGCTCAAATCCTCAACTTGGCGCTAGTATTAGTATTAGAATGAATATGAGTATTAGTTCAGGTCGGTGTTGGGAGGCAGAATATGAAAACAGATGTTGATGGCAGGAGGGAAGGGGGAGGGACTGACTGGCCTGAATGAATGATGGAAAGAGGAGGAGGAGGGGACAATAGATGCAGAGTAACTCTTATGTAGCTGGAGCTTCGTTCCAGCTGTAGTCTGATATGATTGCAAGTGTTTCTGGTTCTGCAGAGCGAAGGAAGCCAAAGCCCAGACGTACAGTTTCACTTCAGACGAGGTCTGTCTTATTAAAGCAGACTCACACAGTCCAATCAATGGGAAGCACCAATTAGGTTTGTTAATGAGAGATAATTAAAGAAGTGTGCTGTAGCTATATTTAGTCTTGCACAAGAGGACAGTTTGAAGAACAAGAGGGGAGGAGGAGGAGGAGGAGGAGGATGAGAGCATTGAAATATGATGGCAACAGAGGAAGCTTTTGGTCAATCTCTCCAAAAATAGATACCTTGTTAGTGCTTATTTATAGATTCTTTATTCTCAGTTTCTCTTTATTTCTCCCTTGAATAGAAGAGAGGCCTAAATAATGAGTTCAATAAGTGTGAAATCTGATGTTTAACTCTGACTTTTAATCTTATTTTAACTCTAAAGTCTGATTTAAGAGCTAATTGTTATTGTTTATTACTTTAACTGTAAAATATTGTACTTTTTCTTTCAGTACTGCAAATTTTTCTTTCACTAACAATACATTGCACTGTGTTTGTGTGGGCAAAATAAGTCTTTGTTTTTACATAGAAACTTTAAAGGAACAATTTAAGCCCCCAGGTACTTAAAATGGCACTTACTGCCAGAAGCATTTTATTTATTTACTTGTTTATTTCATTTTTAAGACTGTTTTTGTGGCTGTCTCCTTTTCTTATTTTATTATTTTGACTTGTTTACTATTTATTGCTGTTGTTTTAAGGGGTGAGAGATTAGCAGGGCAAAATGCATTTCATTTGAACTGGTTCTGCATGGTCTTTTAAATGCATATGACAAAGAAATTGAACTGAATTTCCTGCTTGAAAACACAAAATTAAAATGTTTACATTCAGAGTATGTTATTCATGTATATTCAAGAATAGTGTCAAAGGGATAGTTGAGTTAGTGCAGAAGGTTTATGTGGAAAACAGTAAGTGTATTACACAAAGGGGATCCCGGTGAACCTGCCCTTTTTGTTAAAACCTTGTCAAAGAGCCAGAATTGAAGTTTGGCTATCAACTGTTCAACTGACTTATTTATGTAACCAAAAGCTTTTTACCTATGAGGGATCCAAAACCAAGTGCATCTGAGGGTAACCTGTATTCAGGATCTTACTGTAGTCGCCATGTTTCAGGTGGGCTTTGTTGTGCTTTCCCTTTTTAAACAGAAGACGAGGCTGAACCTGAAGTGTGATTTAGGTTCATGCTGTTCTTGGATGTATCATCTTATGGTCTAGTTAAAACTTAACTCTAAGTTTTGTTTAGGTCGATGTGTTGCCTCTCTACCCACCAGATGGTCCACTGCTGTCTATGTGGAGCTGATGGGGTTATGTGGGTATAGAGTGCAGTGGTTCATCAGCAGCTCAGTCAGATAGGTGCGAGTTCAGGCCGAAGCCGGCTGTAGTATGCGATGCAGATGTTCTCTCTGCAGACTGTGTTCTAGGTCAATCTGTGTTCAGGTCGAGACGGGCTATTTTGGGGCAGGTGATTGTGTGCGTGGGTGGGGCTTTTTGCAGCTGCCAATCACATCTGCTCTACTTTACGCTTCATGACTGTTTTTTTTTTTTGGTGAATTCCCTCTCATGTTTGGATTTGACCTTTCACTTCACAGCTTCCGTTTTCCATCCAATTTTTTTTTTCATGTTCTGCCGGCCCCTTTCATACTCACCAGCTTTGATGCGGATGTTGGGGCTACGAATCTTGCCAGCCTGGTTCTCGGCAGTGCAGAAGTAGTCGTTGTCGTGGATGTAGCTGTTATAGGCAGAGGGCGAGAAAGGGTACAGCTGCAGGGTGCCATTGGCGTGCACATGGCGGATGTGGGGCACGTCGTAGATGTCGTCGCCGGTGGCCAGGTACCAGCGTAGTATGGCACTGGGGGTGCCCCCTGCTGGACAGGGCAGGGACACCCCCACCGAGCTGGAGTAGGTTACCCTCTGCAGGGAGGCGTTCACAAAGTACAGCCTGGTAGAGCCCACATCCTCACTGTGTACTGCAAGGACACAAAGACAAAAAGAGCGGAATTTAGCGAGAAGGTGAGAGGCGAGAGAGAGGGGCCTTTTAAAAACACCCGATCAGCGTAAGCTAACTTGAAGCAATCGGCATCGTTTTAATGGACATAAAATGGACAAAGCAGAAGTGTCCTTCAAATATGTAACAAAATAATCATAACAAATGTATGTCAAATGTCCAGCTGCAAACATCAGTCATGTGATCCAGAAAGCCAGGGATTTGGGCTAAAGCCTGTGATGGTTTAGGTGGAGGGGAGGGGGGAGGAGCCTGTTACCTCTGTACAGTGTGTGTGCAGAGAGAGAGAGCAAGAGAGAGAGGAGCACACAGATAGGTTATGTGATTGGAATTTCTATGCCAGACGCAGAGATTTAAGTCGATTTAATCTCCTTACATATTTAACACACACACACAGGCACACACACTAACACACACTTACATACGCAGACATGTTCTTCATTGGCACTCAGATTAAACACATACAGCTTCAGCAGAGAAAGGAGGAAGAGTGGAGGATGGAGGGGAGTCTTCAAATTTTGGGGACATTATGAGAAAGATTAGCAAAGAAAGATGAATCAGAGGGGATGGGTGGGTGGGGCACTGCTGATCGACAGATGTGGATGTTAAACACCACTGAATCTGAATGATATCACCCAACACTCACCTTCCCCCATCTTATTGTCTGTCTCTGCTGCTGTTTAGTTCAGCAAAGTCTGTGAAACATACTGGAAGATTCAGACACAAACGAAGAGATGGGGGATTTAATCCCAATTGGATCAAACTAGCACTAAGCTTACCGACGGTTTAACTTCTTTACAAAATAGGTCTAACAATTTTTCCCCTTTTTGAGCCCATTAAAAAAACTGCCTGACCGCTGCAAAACAGATCAAAGTAAATGATTTTTCTTTGCAAATTCTACAAATTCGATCTTTTTAATCACATTTTTTTAATTTAGAAAAACTGCATCTAATTAAGCAATTTAATGCCTTATTTAATGTATATAGATGACTTTTCTGTTTCAGAAGAGGTTTTTCCCAATTTTTAGCTTAAATTGTTCTCAAGGGTTTAACTTTTTACTTTAAAGTTATTTTCTTTGAGGCGTGGTTTAGCTTAATCATGAATTTCTATCTGCTTGTGCAAAGGCTGTAGTCCATAGTGAAAGCCACAGTCCTGAAGAGGGCGGCCTGGGTTTGATTCTGACCTTCAGCCTTCCACCACATGTTCCTCTCTTCCTCCCTAGAGTCGAACTCTAGTCCTTTCTTGTTAATAAAGGCAAAAAACCCAACACTTAAATGAGATCCTTAGTCCTAAAAAACATTACCGTCTTTGTTTTTATTATTGTGATGTCAAAATAGAAAAATATTGTAAAACAGAACTATTGCATGACTTGGTCTAAAATGTTGCAGAAAATAAGCGAAAGTTCTGCCATAAACTGACAACACTATATAAGTGTGCACAGTTTGTACTGATAATGTAACATCTGGAGACACCTGATTAATATTCAGAAACATTTTCATCCATAAAATGTTGGGAAAAAGTTTTAAATACCCCATTAACTTTCTTGATGCTCAGAGTTTTATGTCATCAATTTGCTTTTTTTGTGACAAGTATATTAATGTATTTAACTTATTACATAAAATCTAATAAAAGCAACATATTCTCCAACCAGGGAGTCTGTTTATATGAATAGTTTTACTTTGTACTTCTGTCCCAGGTGCAATCATTAGTATTTATGTGCTTCACTTTTCCCTTATTTGATTGGGTAAACAGAACAACACTTAGATCAATCATTAACATCTGCCACTTTTTCACAGCTATTGCCAAGTCACTGTTTGGACCCGTGGTTTTAGAGTTAAGGGTATATGATAGATGAGAAATAATTCTTTTGTTCACAGCAATGATGCAGAAAGTGAAACGTCTCAAACAGCTGTGATGAGCAGTCCTTCAGATTTGATGATGAGACAAAACAGACTTTCTGGAGAATCACAATTGAAAGTAATAGTGTCTGATTGTTTGATGTATTTAGACTTTGTTTATGGCTGTGTTTTAATGAGGCATGGCTTTAAGCCATGTGGGATTCAGGCAGAGACACATTATCAAACAATTCCCGGTAGAATCAATCACCACAGCACCATGAGTGTGTCTGTGCTGCTCTGGCCCAGCACAGTAGATCGAAGAAAGACCCCAATATCTGTTCATCCAGGGGGGTACGTTCATAATTCCAGGTCCTTTCAAAGAAGTTTCCAACCTCAGACTACAGATTGATAAATCTGGGCACAATGTTACAGATGGTATATGAAAATATGTCTGGCAGTCCAGTTGTGGGCTGCAAAAACCAGGTCAGACTCCCTCCCCTCTGCAGATTACTGATAATGGCCCCTGAGCATAAAGCCCATATTAAAGATTGCAATATCTATAATCTCCCAATGGGGGGACAGGACTAAAGTGGAGGAGTGAGGGGGTCACCCTGAGAGCACGGGACAGTGGGGGCTGGGCGGCAGGAGGACCTCTCATACAGTAGATTATATGGCCTGGGGGGCATGGGCACTAGAGGGTGGGGGGCCTGATGGAGCTGGAAGTGGAATAGAAAGGGGATCAGAGCAAACTCCCACCACTCAGAACCTGTCAAAACCAGGCGAGCCAACACACACACACACACACACACACACACTCCAAACACAGCTCTCAGCGCTCTGTCACACTGGGAGGAGACGGAGTGGGTTGCCATGGTGGCGCTGGCACTTGAAAGCTGTTACTGAATTAAAAAAAGGCGACAATTTAACCCAACAACAATGACCCAGTGAAAAATCTAAAATTAGAAACCAAAATCTGTCATAGGATGATGCAGTGAGTTTTCAGATGCTAAAGCAGATAAATATGATTCACAAGGAAAGCAGAATAAGACCACTGCATCTAAACTCTGTAAATTTACATGTCTGAGCTCTTATATTTAGTTTAAATGTGTATTGAAATTGCCAAGTCAGTCAAATATGCTATTTGGCCAGGTGAGGCACAGCAACATGAATGTAACACAGATTACGCTCCAACACTCAGTTGGCACAGTCCTGTTTGATGCTGGGCATGCAGAGTTTCCACTCCATTTAAAACCAACAGTCCAAGCACTGCAAACCACCACCTGTGAACAAAATAGCACTTACACCTCCAAAAAGTCACCAACAGAGATCAAACTTGCCAACATCGCTGAAGAACTGAAAGTTAACACCAATGTAGAGCCAAAACAATGGCTTACGAATCAAGTCACCATTTTATTTCTTAAGAGATGACTGAAAATTGTATTGAATTTCCCCTTGGGGATCAATAAAGTTCTTATCCTAACTTATCTTATCTGATCTTATTTTTTCTTATTTTATTTTTTCTTCGGCATGGGCACTGAACGTGCCAGTAATTATGATAATAGATTTACACTGAAAGTAATTTTGTACTCAAATAAAGCAGACACTGATAATTCCTTTATTCTTCTAGAAGCTCTCTGCATTGTTTTTATTATTATTATTATTATTATTATTATTATTATTATTACGTTAAACTGAATATCTTTAGGTTTGGAAGTGTTATTGGACACATGAAAAAAATCAGATTGGACTTTATTGTCCACTATTTTTAACAGTGAAGCAGTTTGACTGATTGATTGAATATCATAAAAATACACTGAAGTAGTGAGTTGAGGCTCTTAGATGCTCTTTGTAAGGATTGTGTCTGTATGTTAAGACTGATTTTTATTTAGTTTATTTACACCTAGTCTGACTGTCTTTTTAACATACTCACTTAAAGTATTTACAAAGTACCCTCTCCAATAATTACTTGCCTTTAACTCCCTAAAAAGACCATAATCAAATTAATCCATTGTTACCTCCACTTCATTTAAAGAGACAGGCTGGTATAACAGCTCAATCAATTCAAAATTTAATCCAACAGGCAGCTGGACTTGAAGACGTTTAATATTTCCTCTGAAAGGCCTCATCACTTCTGAGCTGACTGGTGGACTGAGCGAGAAATACAACTTTCTCTAATGACACTGACCTTGCTAATGGTTTTTATGGTCTAGCAGGAGTCTCATTTGACCTCAGCAGGCCTCATCATTATAAGTTTTTATTTCTAGCTTGATTCTCCATCTTCAAAAACTTCAAGCCAGTCCAGTTGCTTTTTGGAGCAAGCTTTCATTATTGCTGCCTGGATGACTGAAAACTTTCACAGCCAGGTCAGGCGACATTCAACTCTTAGATTTATTATTCTAAACCCATGACTTAAATTTATAAGACAGCTTAAAAGTTTTTAACAAAAGGCTTGTGGTGATTCACCCGCTCCAACGGGGCTTTTGTGATGACGATGAGCTGTGTCTGTATGCTTAGCTTGTAGCTGGCAGCTCAAACCATGAGTACATCTGTGATTTCTTAATGCAGTTTGACATTAAGTTCATACTACTTTTGAATTGTCAATGAAGCAGGCTGGGGGTGTTTTTTTAAGAAGTAATATGTGCCATATAAAAGCACAATGGTGTTGTATTGCATCAAGGCGGTTTCAGGAAACCGGATGATGCTGCTATAAAAAGGCAGATGAGTTAAAATAATGCGTTGATTACAGGCCAAAAACGTTTTGCCTTACGCATCAGGCCTAAAAACCTTAAAAACATCATGTTCTTGCGTCTCAAAGCCAAGTTTCCACTTTTTAAAATTTTCTGATAACCAGTTTGGGTTCTTTGCAAACCATTTAAGTGATTGGGATCACGGGGAAAGTTATCAGTTCAGGTTAAATGTAGAGTTCAAACTGAGAACTTTATACGTCAAGGACAACTACAGGGTAAAGTAATAATCCAGTTAAAATTGACTATAAATGTATTAAAACTAAGTCTTTTTTCAATCAAAATGGATCTTTATGTTGATGTTTAGATAACGATTAAAAACATCTAGGATCAGTCTTTCATTATATTCCCTTTTTCTGTGGGCGACCCCTTGACTCATGCAAGCAGCCTTCACACAATGAGCTCTGGCCAGGTGAGAGGCTGGTACTTCCAAATAAACATGGTGGGGCACAGAGCTGCTTCACTGGAGGCACTGACAAACCCTAAAACACAAACCTTAAGGAAACAATCTAGACAAAAAGCATTATCATATCTAAGATGTGCAACATAAGGAGAGAATGTTTTTGGAAAAACTAGAAGTCTATAAAACCATTTAGTGAGGCATCTGCAAAAATATATGATCTGACTGAGGCAAACCCTTCTGAGGAAGGTTTTTATATTTTACTGAGGCTGCTGCAGCCTCTTTATGCAAGGGTGTAGCTTCCAAAGCCTTATACATATACCAAAGCCATGCCACATATTACCAACACACAAACGTTTGGGTGAAGTTGCCATCTCAGAACTGTATTTAGAGGTGAAACAGCATCACAAATGAAAAGCCCAAAGCTTGTTCTGACAGAGTAGTGACTACAACCCCATCCTTTGTCTATGTGTTACTATTTTGCAATGTAATATGGCCACATAACTCGACATATATGGAGTGTAATATTGTAAAAGAATGAGTTTTGCAGGTGCTTTAAACATCCTGTAACAGCTAAATCTTAACAACATGTTGCTCCTGTTCATTTCTCACTCATACACCTGCACAATAACCAGCAGCCTGTGGACACTCCTCATCCAGGTATTCGACTGACCACAACCATGTCGGAGCTCCTTCTGTTGATACTTCTGCTCTTCACCTGCACCCAGGAGGCTTCATCATCCTCACTCAGTCAAAGCAGTAGCAGCAGCAGTAGAGAGGAAAGCAGCCTCTCTTGAAGGTGCTGGAGCTAAAGCTTTGTCTGTCAGAGCCGCAGCCACTATTTTATACATCCTGCCAGAGAGCCACGCATGAATATGTATGTGAGAGAGGCACAAGTCATAACCTATGCAAGGTTTCATCATGCATAATGCAGCTGATCTACGCCTCTTCTCCAGGATGTGGGTGCACGCGCGCAGACACACACGCACACACCCAACACACAGAACTGTATTGTGATGTGGAGGTAAACAAACCCCAGAACCCCCCCACACACACACACACTTTCACACCCTGAGCTCCCTATGCCAGAGCAAAGACATAATACCTCCACATGTTCTTTTTTCTCTCCCTCTATCTCTCCATTTCCTCCTCTACAAACAATCATATTCAGCCATAAATGTTGATGTTCTTTTATCTTTAGATGAATTTTTGGCCTTTTGTTCTTAGCTCATTGGTCAGAGGGAACAGGCAGCACGGATGAGGTTCACCAAAGAACTGAAGGTCTGAGTCAAACCAGAGGCCAGTGCAGGAAGGACGACCACTAACCTAAACCTGTGTCTTATTTTCAGCACATTTCATGTATATAAAAATGTTCCAGTCTAATCCAACTGTATTTAAGTAGCGCATTTCATAAAAAGGTAAACTTGACCCTTATAGGGACCCATCATTAATCCGCTTTGAGTTATAACTTTTGGCAACAGGAGCTGAGTCAGACCTTTTTGACTGAGGTGGCAGGACTATGGCAGGGGTGACTTTAGGTACCCCATTCACAAAACAAAAGGTCTCATGGGGTCTCATCATCTAGTATGTGCTGCTGTGCCATCTGAGGTTGATGTAGTCTGGTAACCTCATACCAACTTGATTTTCATTGTCACGTAAAAATATCAAACGTCTCCCTCACGTGCTGTAAAAACAAACGTCCCAATATAACAACAAGTTATATTGGGACAGGATGTCAAGAAACACTCAGCTGACGGACCGAGTCATCAGACACAGTGAGGGAAATAAAGACAGAGTTCAAGCAGGGTAGAGAGTGAATGAAGAAAGGAGAGTGTGGAGGAGGGCAAGGTGAGCACAAAGCAATGATCAGCTATCTTTGTGGAGTTTTCTTTCTTTTTCTTTCTCTTTTTTCTCTTGTTGGAAGAAACATGGATCTGACTCCTGCTTGTAGGTTAAATTTTTTGGTTAAGGTGAATTTATGACTCGGAGTTCTTGAGTTTCATCAGCCTAAGACAAAGTAATAAAGTTACTCAAAGATCAGTTGATTGTATCACAGTTTAATTTAAATGAAACTATTTGTACACTGGGGCTCTTATAAATTAAGAGCGTCTGCTGTGCCAATCTGATGTGTGTGTGTGTGTGTGGGAGGTGGCTTTGACCCCTATTTGTCTGTGCTTGACCCCAAGTATGTTTTCATACATGTTACATTTCTTTACTCCCAACAACACTTTTCAGACTCAATTGACTGACATGAAACTGTTTTATATAGAGATTTCATAATCCTGTGACTTGTATTAACTGTGGCCACATTCTGCTCATGGTCAAGATTTTAAGTCCAAACAAAAGCTAAACATGTTACACTGAAATGCAAAATAGGCCTGCTAGCAGCCTGTATGATATATGGGTGAAAAGCTTCAGTGATGTCGTATGCTGGTTTTTAAGAAGACTTCTGAAGCGTATGGACAGCAGTCACCATGTTGGAAATGCTGACTCAACCTACTGTCAGTCAACCCAGCATGAGGCAAAGAGGTGTTAGTGCCCCGAACTATGAAAACTTGTAATCTTCAAATCTTCAGTGTAGATAGAGAAATGAGCTAAAATCGTTTCATTAAGTCAGCTGTACACATGTTAATTTTTGCTGTAAAATCAGACTTTTTAGAAATGGGTTTGAGTGTAGCTTTTGATGCTTTTGAAACCAGCCTTAAGTGGAAATTTGAGGAGGTGCTGTCAACCACTCAGATTTTGGCCGCCTCTTGGTTCTGCTCCAGAGTTGTAAGGAAACGTTTCTTTTGAACACGCAGAAACCCCAACCAGAATCAGACACTCTGGTGAACAACCACATGACGGCATTTCACTATCTAGACTTGAGTTCTGGTTGATGTTGAGTACCTCACTGATATCTGTGTGATAAAAAAGAGATATAGATGTAAACTTATCATTGACTTCTGCCAGCATTGACTAACTTTAGACTCTCTGCTGTTGCTGTTTGTTCAAATCATATAATTTCACAGAAACTGGCTAAATGAAGGGGAAGTTTTTAAACTACAGTATCGGATGGATGCATTGACGGTGCACTCTTTAAAACCCTTAACTGCATTTTCAGCTGTGTTGAAAGCTAATTTCAGCATCTGTGGTCTTTACTGAATAAGGTGACAGAAAATGAACTCTGTAAAAGTCAAAGTGGAGTCAAACTTGACCAAGACAACATCTGAATGACAGCTAGGTGAAGTGTCAGAACACCCCCTCTGATTTTCAGTCAGCGTGCAGCTCTTTATTCTTCTCCTCCATCAATCATCCACCTTTCAGGTGTTTCCAGGACAGGACAGAAAGTTGTGACTTTGAGGATTCAAAGTGTGCATGAAACATAAAGCAGTGGGGGGCGGAGGAGGAGGCTGTAAGAACGGGTGTGAATTGGATATTGGTTGAATCTGTGTGTGTGTGTGTGTGTGTGGGGGGGGGGGGGGTAAAAAAGGTGTAAGCTTGAGGATAATCCTCAGGGGTCTGGTGTAAGGAGGTGGTGTGTGGGTGGAGAAGTAGGAGGGGGGTTTGTTGGGGTTACATCTAATCAGCGCAGGGGTATCAGCGCTCCCCACCTACTGTCTTTCTGTACACCCTGTCCCCAACAATCTGCTCCCCACCCACCCACCCGACACCAACACCCCCCCGGCCTGTGCTGTGTCAGTAAAAAAAAAAAGTGTGCTACTTCAGCAGTCTCCTGGGACCTGCTCCCCCCGCACATCAAAGCAGCCCGTTTCTCTCTTAATGTGAATATCAAATCTGTGGATCACAAGTCCCAGCACAGTCTGCATAAAGAGCCCCTCCCCCAACCTTTAATTCTGCCTAGTGATGAGGGAGAGAGAGGGAGGGGAGTTACAGCGAGAGGAAGCGATGGAGGGAGGGAGTGAGAGAGAGAGAAAGAGAGAGAGATCCAACAAAAACAACTACTTGCTTCAGAGATTTGACATTTGCTGAACGCACTCCCCTTCCGTCTGAAAATGTGCAGCTCCAGTATCCAATCAAATTTAGGAGGAGGTCTGGTTTAATTTAGCATCAGGGTGGTGTTACGCAGAGTTCTTGTAAGAAAAAAAAAACATTTCTTACAGTTGGCAGTGTTCATTTGCATTTTTTTTTTCTAAATGAGTCATTCTTATTTGTAATCTAGTTTGGGCATTTAGCAGATTGAAGGACGAATGGGATTGCAGGAATGCCGGTGACAGAGAAGTGACATCCTATTGGCGAGCTGGGAAGTGCAACGAGCTGTGCTTCCCAGCTGACAGTCTTATTCTATCACACTTTACCCGCCATTTGGCAACATCACTGATCCAAATTTGTGCACAGATTTCCTCTTCGCTGTTTTGTAATGTAAAACTTACATATGACATTACTTCAAATTCAACTCCCATTTTTCCAAGAGTTAACGTGAAGCAGAAAAAAAGACTCTCCCTTGATTTTGTTCAAGAAAATTCCCTTCATTTGATCCAAGAGATTAAGAAATTTTCTGAAAGGGTGAAATTTCTGCATAAATCACTCCTCCCTTGACCCTCTTGAATTTTGGGTGTTTCAGTATTATTTAATAATGAGGGGAAATCTGAGGTGGTATTAAAAGTGGACCTGGGCCCTGTCTGAGTAATGACTGTCAGCCCCGTGGACCACACAGCATTCATGTCTTTGAGAGGTGTCTGTACGTCAGATTGCAGTTTTAATTGTGAAGCCTTGAGGCAGCGTGGGCTTTTGGACAGGGGATGGAAGAAGGGAAGGAGGGAGGGAGTGGTTTGCATATTTCTATTGATGGGTGTGCAGTGGAGAGGACAGGAGCGTGTCAGGGTGAGGGATCCCCTCAATGCTGTACACACCACAAATTAAAAACCGAGCTTTTACACCTGACTGTCACACAATGTGGATTTCATTTCATGATTTTGATTTTAAAATGCGAGGTTCAAAATAGGCCTACAGCAGGCCTGACACTGAAAATGATTAAATTCATCGCTAATCCCACCACATAATTATAATTAGTTGATTTGGATTCAGAATAAAGCAGACTTTTATGTTAAATCACACTTAAAATCACAATAAACCCTTTCTTTATTTGGTGAAGTACTTAATTTAGTGAGAGAGGCATTGTGCTCTAATTGGTGAGCTCTTACTCTTCAAGCTTTTTCTTTTTTTTTTGTCAAAGATCTGTAACTACCCCACACACTCATCCTGCTCTCTGACTTAATTTGGAGACATTTTTTGATTATTTTTATTTGATTTGAATGATTTTTTAAGAATTTAATAATGAATAAAAATGAGTTAATATTCAGCTGTATACTCTAGAAAGGATGCCTTTTAAAAGAGGGCATTATTTAGTTACCAAAGTAAGAGGGATGTCCCTGCCACTTCCCCTCCTTCGTGAGCCCGCAAACACACACACACAAACACACGCTTATGCGTATACACAGACACGAGCCGTGACGCACGCGCCGGCACGCGCGGTCACGTCCGCGGGGTCCAGGTGCGCTATTAGTGAGGAACATGACCGGGCAAGTCTATAATATGCACCCACGCCCCTGGAGTTTCTTATTGGATGAAATAAATTTGTGAATATGAATGTGATTCCGCAGAAGCTGGAGGGTCTCTGAAACCGCAGCTTTCGCTTTGAATTACAGCTTTAAATCAATCACCAATATCTGACACATGAAGTATGTTAAACACAGATGTAAAACACAGATGGAACTCGTGTAACTTGGATTTGCCAAAATTTTTTTTTTCTTTTTTTTAGAAAATGGGTTAATCTATGGGAGAAAATGCCAGGAGTTAAAAAGGCAAACAGAGCTTCTGGCCTATTTTTGATCAACTCCCCTACATCGAGATCAGCCATGTTTCACATATCTCAGACTTTATCATAAACGAATTAACAGAGTGAGGGCCTGTGCTATTAGGATGAAAAACAAACATGTAAACATGGATCCAAACAGGCAGCGGGTTACACAAAGGCCTGGAAAATGCTCTCATGTGGAGATAGTGTTGAACTTCTGTTATTTTCGACGCAGATTTGCTCAGGATTATTATAATGCACTGTAATAGCACAAGATCAACTTTGCAATAGGGTCAGGGATTTACTGCATATACTAAACAAGAAAGAAAAATGAATCCTTTTAAACAAATAGACCGCCTTTTAAATCAAATGCAATTCAACAAAAGGAAAAAAAACTGTTGAGAGAGAATGAATGAAATACAGAGGAGAAATGTGCTTGCTCTAATTATGGCCTTTATGTGGGTGCAGGGCCATTAGAATAATAAGGCCGATGAGAGGAAAAGGGGCCTTTTAATTGTCATCCAATTTAAAATGGTAACATTGTGTCATCAGACATAAAACGAATTAAAACCGTCAAAAATACTTATTTAGAAAAATTAGGTGCATCTCTGTGGAATGAAGCGCGAGCCAAATATAGCCCATGATAAAAAAAAAACAGCTGCAATTAGCAAAAGCTACACAATGAGAGCACCGAAATGACAAAAAGCACAAGATTCCCACGCAAAACTTTACAGGGCTGACACATTTCAGCGGGAATTTGTTCCAAAATTGATGAAAAAATTGTGTAATTGCAGGCCGGTGCATGTTTTCATTTCACTCTCACCCTCCCTCTGTATTTGCACCTCATTCTCCCTATTCAGCCATTTTACATATTCATAACCAGAGTTGGTAATGCGAAAACAATCCGAGCTAACAGAATCATCCGAAGCAGCACGGGCCCCGAGATTAAAAAACCCCACAAAACAGTCTCCAAAAATCACTTTACGCATTAACTTCCAGTATTTTTCTACCTGTTCATCTCCACTTCTGTTTATATATTTTGATTCAAGTAACAATTTCCACCAATTCTCCATCAGGAGACATTAGATGATACATCAAAGCACAAGCCCCTCACTCCTTCCACAGCGATTCTCTTCCTTTTTTATAAGTTGGATGAAAAATGAAAATTAATCGAAAAGAAGGACTTGAGCAGTCAGAGCGCAGAATGAGAAACATCTCCAGCATTTCTTTTTCTCTTACCTTCTTGGAGAGAGTACAGCAGGAGTAAAGTTACAAGCCACATGCCATAAATAGCAGGTATATTTTTCAGGAATATTTGGCAATCCTGGCAAGTGTGAGGCGCGGTTTTTTGGCCAGGCGGGTCTCCGTGCTGGACTGGCGACTGTGCTCCCCGGAGGTCTCTCCAGCCCTGCTGCCCCGCTAAGCGTGGAGGGGAAATGAGAGGCGCCTCAGCCCCGCCCATATCCCTCCTCTCCTCCCAAGACTACTGTGCATACAAATCCATCCTCCCCACAATAATCATCAAACACCGCAGAACGATCCCGGGCCACAGCGGAGCGGAGAGTTAGTGGGAGCAGAGCGGTGGATTTGGGTCCAGTTGTGTCCAAAGTGCCAGTGTGTGAGCGCGCTGGAGTTGCGCAGACAGATCTGTTGGCACCTTGGAGAGCGCACCCACCTGTGCGCCCCTGATGACCGCGTTTCTCTGCGCAATCTGGATCTACAAAAGCCTTTCAGACTGCTGAGAAGACTCTAAAATTGATTTCATATCCTCTCCTGTAAGTTTGGACATTTGTGTCAGGAATGCAAAGCTGTACCACACACTAATGACTGTTTTTCTTTGTCTTCGGAGCCATGGAACGTGCGTAGACATTTGCGCACAAAAATGCACTGCAGATAGAGAGGAGGAGAGAGATAGTGGCAGGGTGTGGGGCATGACACTCTCACAGAGCAGGTAAAACACTCGGCAGGTGAACCAAAGCAGCTGTCAAAGATTTTTAGTGAAACCTTTGAGAGATTTTATTCAACTTTCCTTCGTTGCTATGTCTTCCTTTCTGTTGCGCCTGGCGAGGACAGCTCTCCTGCATAATAAGCATAAATTAGGTCGAGGACACTCCCAGTTCATAGAATATTTAAAGTCACTGTGGATGCCAATGTGGGTCTGACTGTGAGAGCCACACACGCTTCAGGCAAAGACACAGCACAACAAAACTATGCCCCAAAAGATTTTATTGTTGAATATTTCCTGTAGTTTGTTGAGATTAAAGTGTCTGACTGAGAAATCCTCCAAACAGAGGACTGACGACGAAAACAGGAGATGCTCTTTCTTTTTTTATTCCAGTCTCTTTAATCAAATGTATGTTTGAGGAGTTGTGTTTTTATTTTATAGAAATTTATTGCGTATCACCAAACCTCACACACATCAATGCTTCACACAGCAGGCTTCACAAATTAACCTAAACTTACAGTCATACAGTGGTGCAGTAAAATGCTGCACAGTTGTTAACCATTAAAAAAAATAATCTATGATAAACACGACTTTATTTTGAAAACTCAGGTAGGTTATTGCTCAGGCTGACAGGAGCTTAAAGTTTCTCATTCTGGCCATATCTCAGAACACCTGCGCATGAGCCTGAAGCCTAAAGAGAGATCAGAAAGTAAAAGTTGTAAAAATGTAGACGTGGTATTTGAAGATATGGTCTTCATTAAACTTAAATAACTTGAAGAAAAGGTCAGCAGCACCATCTCTTCTTTTCTCTCGGAGGAGCTGCCTGCAGGGTCCGCAGCGATGTGATCAGACAAGAGGTCCAAGCGTTTCACTATATACAGACACACACTCACACACACAGGTCTCTGCTGACATCTGCTGGTCAGACCTGGCAATGCAGACAGGACTATTTCTGAACATTTCTTCCCAGTAATTGAGGAACATTCATTCATTCATCACTCAAGAAAAACTTGACATCCAACAAGTTTGCTTTATAGCACAATGTTAGCTGCACCAATAATTCAAAAATATGAAATAAACGAGTCAGGAGTCTTGACACAGAGTGTGTAACACTAATTTAATAAAGCTTTACAGTGGGGTCTGTCCATGCTCCAGATTGGCCTAAAAAAGCCAATTTTGGGGAATGTTAGTTTGTAAGGGTATTGTTAATTTTTATCCAAGAATAGTAAACATTTTACTTTGCAAATAGTGAATTTAAATATTTCAACAGAGGGACCAAACGACAATAAAATCTGGTGTATGTTAATGATTTCCTGTTTTGAAGAATTTTAAAGGTAGCTACCGGCACACAAGTCCATGTCACCAAAATATGCCCCCCCAAAAAATAGTACAAAAACAAACAAAAAAAAAATCTGTCTTGTCTGGCCCTAGTTCTTACTGATGGCGCTTTAGGGGATTTTTTTCACACAAATACAGTACCAGGCATGTGATACTGTCGGTAATGTGGGAGGCTAAGTAGCTAGGCTAGTCAACTACCTTCCACATGCTCTCTCTGCTCTTTTGATTTAAATAAATACACACCTCTGGTCAGCTACCACCACTAAAACCTTTTTTCTTTATCCAGTAGCAAACAACAGTCAACCATGTCATTCATGGTTCATCAACATTCCTGTTTCCATGAAATCAAGCTCTTTTTAAGTTTATGCATTTTAATACTGTTTCTGTTGCATTTAGATCGTGGGGTGGGAATGAGAGGTTGGGTTGGGGTAGATTTGGGTATTCTTTGTTTCTTTAATTCCTTTTTCTGTGTAAAGCACTTTGTGCTACATGGTTGTGTATGAAAAGTGCTATATTAATAAAGACTGATTGATTGATCAACTCATGTTTAAGGCTTGGGAACTACTTTTTAGGTTTGATAATTTTTTTTGTAAACCTTTGCATTTCTTTGAGATATGTTTCTTTTAAACGCAGTCTATTTTGGCTCACAAAATGAACTTCGCTATAGCCAAACTGCCATATTTACGCTTATAGATCAACTTTTGGGGGCTTGGAGTTTGGAGACATTATGAGATGACTTGTCTGTTGTGGTGAATCTTTTGAGACTGATATGAATAAAAACATCTATTTGAATATCTGTGCAACATCAATGAAGTGATTTCTACTATATATTTTTTAACCAAAAGGCATTTTTAACCAAAAGGCAAAGTGCATCAAAAGTCTAGTTCACAAGGCTCCCTGAAAAACAGCTGTGTTGTGTTGTCCCATGGAGGCCTTTTGGAGACATGTCTGGACAAGTGTAGGAGTTCAGCAGCTATGTTGAAGAGACTTAACAATTAAAGCCACCCCCTACTGGCAAAAAGGTAGAGTAAGTGTGTAAGTAACTCTTGGTTGCCCTGTATGCAAATGCCCTCATCTGTCTGTCAAGTTTTGTAATAGGAGCTTTTCTTATACAGATTGCAGGCTCCTGGAAAAAAAAATCAGTTTAACTGCATTTCTCATGGGATGCAAGAAGTCTTGCCGCTCCAACTACTCCTATACAGCTCATCCCCTCTGTTGACGAAACAAAAAGATAATTTGCGAAAGATAGACTTTTATAAACATTGATTTGACATGCCACAATCCTTAAACCTAAAAGCCCATGTTTCCCTGACCAAAAGTTAAAAGCTTTGACCCTGACAGTTATACAGTATTAACAGTATATTTTAACAAATAAACAGTTGTAACAATTTAACAGCTAAAAAAATATTTGGTCTGAATGCTGGAAAAAAATAGACCCTAGTTTTTCCACATAGACCTAATTGCACACAATAATTGAATTGGGCACATTTCTCTGTGACCAAATCTAAACAGGGCAACCCATTGAAGCACTTTATTCATGTCAAATCATATCACCTCAAAAAGACCATGAAGATTTTTTGTATTAATTTGATGATATCTGTACCTTCACACAGAAGATTTGTCCACTCCCCAAGCTGAGTACCAAATGCTGAGAGGAGTGCAAAAAAAGTCTTGAAAGTATTGACCTTTAAAAACACATGTTGTAATGCACATGTTTAGGGGATCTTTTTAATGCAGTGAAATGCAGACTTGAGAGTGTAGCCAAAAGTTCAAATAAGTGCCCTTTTAAGTGCATAAAGATTTTACATTCAGGTGAACTCTATTAAGTGTAGACTTTCAAGGGTTTTCCTCTACCTGCACATTTTACACTGTAGTTGCATTCTTTTATATGTAACTTCTAAATGTTGAGTGTACTTAACCTTCCTCCTGTGTTAGCTTTTACTACACAACCACCATGTTAAGGGTTGGTTTTGACCCGTGGCTTAAATCAGCTGTAAGTTACACTAAAAACTGTTCTCTATCATCCAATTTGGTTCTCATCTCTAGGTTACCTTGTTCGGCTTCATTATCCATGAAAATATTGCTTTTAATAGTTTTTTTTGTGGTCCTCTGGGCCTTTCTTTGTCAGTATACCCCTCATACAGACATCTATACTGAACTGATCTCACATGTCTGGACATGCCTGACGTTTTTTGCGCAGGGAAAAACATGACAAAATGAGAATTTCCTAAATTTCACATGATTGGAACAGGATCTGACTGTCAGTGTGGTGCCTGACAGTGCACTTGTGATTCCAGTTTTTGCTCTAATTATTAGATATTGATCTAACCGGGTCAACAGCAACCCCATAATTTTAATAAGAGCATTTTATAATTTAATCAATTTAATTTTTTTATTCTGTTTTGTTGAAATTGAGGTTCAAAGTCATAGATAAAGTCTTGATGCAAAAAAGCTAATTTAAATGGTCCTTTTTAACATTTAAAATCAAAAATGGGTCAGTGCAAACCCTAACACAGGAGGAGGGTCAATAATGAAGTGCACCTTATAAGTCTTTGGACCACTTTAATACATCAGGGATATTTATGATTTGCAGGCCACACACTAAGGAATGGTGACAGGGCTAACTCATATCCCCCCACCATCGCCAGCTCAGTGTTTTCTTTGTTTTTTTCCTGGCTTACATAAGAATATGTCTCTATGAATAAGATTGGATCCATATTTATTTCAGACAAAGTTTGCCTCTGCGCTGCAGGAAGTTAAGATCCTTCAGATACAAAAAGCACAACACACAAAAATGTAATCAAAACTTTATTAGATTTTAAGTGTCTATAATAAAGAGATCAGGAGCTGATGTGCATGGATGAGAGGTTGAAAATGGAGACATCATTTGAGAGCGAGCTAGAGCGTTATAGCTTTATATTTGTGTGCAGAGAGCAGCAGTGGAGAATGACTTTGTGAGTCTTTACACTCTGCCGGGTCTGATAAAGTACAGGGGCTCCCGTCCACTCCGTGCTCCTCTCTGAATGCTCCCCATTCAACCTGCATCCCATCATCCCAACTCCCTGATCCAGCACATCTCCACTGTTGTATTGCTCACAGAACTGTCATAGTAGAAACTCAAAGGTGCGGGGGTGACACACTGTCAGGATTTTCACTTCTTTTGTGTTTGCATAGAGTAGCTTGTCATCACAAGGCCCTCACTGGAACAGTCCTGTCATTACCCAAAAGCATTATCAGACAAATCGGTTTTTAAACAAGTCTTATTAATCAAGCGCTCACTGAGATAATCCCTGTGCACTCACACAATGCAGCATAATATTAAATGTTTAATCAGTAATCTCTTTCTAACCTTTTACCATTCAAGTAATATTTAGTCATAACCTATAACCCACAGACCTCAACAGTTTCTCAAATGAACATCATTTGCTGTCTTGAAAAGACCTCAGTGAGAAGGTTAAATCACTTTGTTTTCTATGACGCTCGAGACAAAGGACAGTTAGCTTAACTTAGAAAAAGTACTAAAAGTTATGGGAAAAAGCTATCCTCTCCTACCCCACCCCTCACCACCCACTTGTTGCCCACTAACTCCTGGCCACTATCTTGCATATAACATCTTGTTTTTATGCTGTGCTGGAGTTACCTCGGAAGTCAGATGACGGAGCTGAAAATGACGTCAAACCCAAGTTACCAGCGCAAGTCGGAAAAAAAGCAAAATCAGAGGCGGAAACAAAGTGGCTACATCTACGAAAGTTATTTTGCCTTGTTCTTGTTTTATTCAGACAAGGCAAGCGCCAAAATAACTTTTGTAGTTGTAGCCACCTTGTTCCGGCCTCTGATTTAGCTTTTTCTGACTTGGTAACTGAAACACTGGTAACTCTGGTGTGACGTCATTTTTAGCTCCAACTTCTGACTTCCGAGGTAACTCGAATGCAGCATTATCCTCCCTAAAAGGTTGCCATTGTCATGCAGTTGCCAGGCAACCATCATAGATTCCAAAAATTCACTATACCTAGCAGTGAAATAAGTTTGTAGGCTATTCAAAAACCACAAATTGTTAATTTTACAGTTAAGCTTTTAGATAAAAAAGAGATCTTAGTTGTTCATTAATTATGACCATGGATTATGTATCTTGGATGGAGCCTTTCTGTTTATGTCTTTAAGCTAAGCTAAGCTAAGATAACCAAGCTAAGCTAACCAGCTAGTGGCTATAGCCTCATGTTTACTACACCAAGAGTGATCCTGACTTTCTCATCTTACTCTCCACTAGAGCTGAACAAGTCCTCCTACTCTAATATGCAGTTTATCAGGTCATATATCACATTTAGCATAATTACTAGTGACCCTCAGTCCTATGAACACTCCATTATAACCTCATGTGTGCAGTTTGGTTTCTTTTCATCTCATATTATTTTCATCATGGCAAACCTACTCTGCTTTGGATGATTCATACATAAAAATAAACATCTTTAAAAGTGCCCAACAAACACCCTCTATGGTATTGCTTTAAGCCAGCAACTAAAGGCTACAGTCACTTTAGTGCAGAGGCACATTATTAAGAACATTAACAATGTTAACAGAACACCATTAAAACTTCATACTTCACTGTACAGCGCACTCATTCAACACCTGTAGAGACTGAGGAGGTACGTTCATACATCGACACAGTGTTAACACCTGTACCACTCTCCAGAGGTATTTCTTTTTAAAGCCAGACATTCAGAGTCTTGAATGTGCAACAGATTGTAGCTGTATATATTGTAAATGTGGGTGAAGTTGTGTTTCACTGTTTGAGTTTGGTGTAGATACATTCATTTCCTTTAGTGGTACAGTACATCCCTGTTTGGCTCTGTCAGTCAGTGTGCGATCCACTGAGAGCATTACTTGTCTTATTGCTAGCTTGAGCAGAGTTTAAACCACAGACCCCCACTCAGTCCGCTACCAGTCATTATTGTTTAAACTCTGAATCTGTGTGTGTCACTCACTGTATGCACGGGTAGGGCCAACAAGTTTACCTTTTTGACTGCAGAACAGCTAAAAAGATTATTATTGCAAGACGAGGTGAATGAATGTTTGTCAGTTTGTAGGAAAAACAAGCCGTTTCCATGAAGAGGCACATACTAAGCAAAAGGTAAATGTTGAGTCTGATCTGAATCCTGGCTGACAGTATCAAGGGCTGCATCACTAAATAGTGCTAAGCCTTTGCTAGGGTTAGCACAATGAAATTAGCATGGCATAAAATGGGATTTACAGTTGACCTCCGAGCTGACACTACTTGTGTTAGTATATCAAGACATGATTTTTTTTTTTTTTCCAAAAAGTGTGTTTCTTCTAATTTCAAGCATTGTGTCTAAAGTCTGACCCAAGTTGCACATGCTTTAAATGCATTGGTTATTTGTCTTAAAAGCAGCATTATTGAAGGGTCATTCCTTTTCTAGGGGATGTGGGGGACGGTTTAAGGGGATTGTCTATCATTTGAACTGAAGCTTGTTGAGTTATTACTGTTGAGTTTTACAAAGTGTTCTGCAGTATGTAGTCATCCTCACTGACAGAGGAGCAGAGAAGCACTAACAGGCACCTGTGTTGATATCAAGCAAAGAGAAGATACAGCATGAAGAGCTGGGCTGAATCCCACAATATTCTCTCAGTAACCCTTTTTGCCAATTAACTTTTGATTGGGATTTCCAGTCGGGAAGCTATCACCAGTATGCCTGGAAAGTAGTTCCAAATTGATCAGTAGACTATTAATACAGAACTGTATTTGTAATTTCTGATCATATTTTTGAAGGGTTGGTTAGAAATACTTGATGTGATGGGGTCTTCAGCCCAGCTGTAACTACATTGCATTATTCCCTGTTTCAAGCACTTAAATAAAAAAGGGCTTGTTGACCCTCTGAATGAAAAAACAGTCAGTTTAATTTTTTCATGTACTCTGGCCATGGCCTCAGAGAAACAGATATAACATGGCTGCAAAACAGGCTAAAATGTGCCAATGCTACCTGAAAGAAGCACTAGCTCTAAAGCACAACAAACAAAACAAACAAATAAATAAATAAAAATAAAACATACATTTTTTCTTTCAGTGGTTTTATGTAAATATGTTAATCGGAGTGGGGTTTAAAAAAAGTGAGATATATGGAAAACAATGTGGTTAAAAATATTCTCAAAAACAAGTAGAGCAAAACATAAACATGACAAATTAAAGTGTCTCTGTCAGGTGCAATCACACTCAGTAGTACATTTGTGAATGTATAAAGTAGTCTGTGCACATGTAATTTTCACATTTTTCAGTTGAGTATCATCTGCACTGTTATGAGCGCATGTGTATATCCATCTTTTTGAAGGCCACAGCCAGGCAGAGATTTTTTTTGATGGACCTAATTTGAAAATAGTGATTTTCTATGTGTGCAAAGAAATGGACATATACAAATATATGCAAAGAAGATATATAAATGTGAGTACCCATTATGTTTAAATGCACTTTCTCATTTCTTTTTTGGTGTTGGTTTTGAATCAGCTTTGGATCCTGAGAGGCCGTTTTCTGTGTTGTCAATCCCTGATGAAGTTACAAGGCACTCCCTACTGCAGTTGAAAGACAAAAGAGGAGAATAAGACAAGAGTTAGACACCTCATATCTACCACAGCATGCTCAGTATCCCAGCTCACCAAACTATATACTCACATGAAACAGTTTGAAATAGTGGAATTTTTGATAAACATCCAAGTGGCTGTAAAAACTTACTTTTTCTCTTCAAGTTTGGAAAGAACAAAGAGGGTGAAGTTCTTGAGCAGCATGAAGCCCATTAACAGTGCAATGGCTCCACCCACAGCTGCGGCTAACATGGTGGCCAGTGTGTTGTCCACCACCCTCACTGCAGACATCAACAAGACACAGGACAGGAAGTAAAATGAGGAATTAATATTTGAATCACAACGTTAGGAGCACCCAAGACACTTTACACACTTACAGATCAACAGATATCAGTTCTTTCCCACGCTGCAGCCATAACCTTCAGCCTTGATACCAAAGCACAGATATCAGATACAAGGGAACACAAGGAGCCAGTCTCTAGTGGCCCTCCTCAAACTTTAAAGGCTCTGCTGGAACTTCCCCAGCACTGGTGTAAATTTTTCTTTGTACATTGCCATCTAATAATCAAATGCACTGTGAAATTTTATAGGCAGTACTTGGTTGGACGGTCAGATTGTTTTTCTTGTTTGTTTTAAGCAGCAGCTTTAAAACTCCTGTGGGGAGATTTTGACTAGTCATGAAACAGACTGTAACTGATAGTAACTAATAGTTCTAAAGGACCTACAAAAGCAAAAAGGACTATCTGTGATAGTCATGATTTTGTACACCACAGGCCAAAAGTTTGGAAGCAAGATTAGATTTGCACAAAAAAAGATCATAGTTTCATATATATAATTTGCAACACAATAAACATGACTATTGTGTAAAGAGTAACTTATCAGAAGACGTTTTGACTATAATTATTAGGTATTTGAGTTATTGTTGCTTAGACTTTCCTTTCTTTAAAGTAACCTCCTCTGGCTGTATCAACAGCTTGGCATATACCAGGCATTCGTTCCACAAGTTTTCTAAGGTATGTTCCAGGGATTGCATTCCAAGCTTTCTGAAGTTCATTAAAAAGAGACGGCTGATTCGTGGGACGCGTTTTTCTGACCGATCGATCCAATTCATCCCGTACAAGCTCAATTGGAGAAAGGTCTGGAGACTGAGGGGCCAAACCATCTTTTGAAGAACACCTTCATCTTCTTTTTTGTCGAGGTAACCCTGACAGAGCTTGGCAGAGTGCTTAGGGTCATTGTCTTGCTGCAAAACAAACTTATGAGCCACAAGTCTGAGTCCAGATGGAACAGCATGGTGCTGGAGGATGGAGTGGTACTGTTCCTTCTTCATGATACCCTTTACTTCAAACAAATCTCCTACTCCATCACCTGCAAAACATCCCCATACCATGGGACTACCACCTCCACGCTGAATTGTGGGTGTAACACATGGAGCTTTCAGACCTTCACCAGTTTGTCTGCAGACATTGACTCTGCCTTTTGAACCAAACAGTGCAAACTTGTTTCTAGTCATCATAAGTCCAATTTTGTGAGCTTTTGCCCACTCATATCTCTTTTTCTTGTTCTGTGGACAAAGTAGTTTTTTTTTTTTTTTTTTTTGCAGATACACAACCCTTCAGACCAGCCTTTCTCAAACGTCATTTCACGGTTGTCAGAGATATGGGTTTCAACCTTGTCATGTTGAATTCCTCCCTTATTTTTGGTGCTGTCTTTTGCCGATCTCTCTTACTGGTGACAACGTTATGTTTATCCTCTGCTTTTGTAGTAACTCTCTTTCATCCAGGCCTTTTTCTATCATCATAACTTCCAGGTTCCTCTAGTCTCTTCTGAGTGTAGTGGACTCCTTTGACCCAGTGTGAAGATGAGATAAGATTTGGTCTCATCTTCTAAGATCAGACCCACTCACAAAATAGTTTGTCCTCAATACACATACGACATGGTTAACGGTATTGTACCTTGCCAATACTGATAAGATTTTCAATTCAATTTTTCTGTGCTGGACAAAATTACAAACGTTGGGGGATTGTGCCAGGACAGATTCTTTTTTGAGTTGTTCAACAATTTGGTCAGTTTTGCTTCCATCTTGAGAGGATACTGATGTATCCTCTACAGTATATTAGAGGGTGTCCTCAGATTGAGCAGGTTTGAAAATAGTTTGGTAAATGTAGTTTCTGAAACAAGTGGATCTTAAAGGGGCAGTTAGGGTGAATCTTGGCCCCTTTTTTGTTAATTACACATTATGCATTTACACAGTAAAGTAACATCAAGGAATACACATTACCAATATCAACACTTACACTCATCCACCACCACCAGGGTAAAGATAGCGCTGTGGTTCTTGCCCTTCTCTTTGGGGTTACGTCCGAAACATGTGTACTCTCCTCCGTCCTCGAAGGTGATGTTCCAAATCAGGATGGAGATGTTGCATTCGTCGTTCATCCCCACAAACTCCACTCGCTCTCGATATACACTCACATGTGGCATCGCGTCCTCTGATGCTATCACTGAATCACACACCTGAGTGGATCGGCAAGCTGTCAATCATCAAACTGCCACTTAAAGTTGACCAAAATCTGACCCTGAATCTCTGTCTTACATGTTGATCTTACTTACCTTCTGCATGGTGCCGCTCTCGTTGAACTGCCAGCTAAAGTAGAGGTTCTTGATACCGATACAGCTGTAGTATACACAGGGTAACATGACAGTACTGCCATTCACCGCCTCCATGTGGTTAATCTTCCCCACGTTCATCTCTAGGGCCTGAGAGGACCACACGCCTGAAGAAGACAGCGGAAAAGAGGCACATTAGAGCCCCCTCAAGCTAGCTATACCATTCTTTTATATGCCCATTAAATACAAGCAACAATCAACAGTTCGATCCTGTTTTATATCTCGAATCATGGAAATATTTGAGCTGTTGTCAATTAAAAATAGAAAAAGTTTAGTAAGGTCCCCCCTGATGAATCCTGGTGATGAAGCCTTGACTTTGTTGTTTTCAGTCAACAGCTGCTTGTTACCCCATCTCAGGACTCAATACTGAGATCGGCTAAACTGAGCAAAGCTTATCACCCTTCGGCTTTAACTATATTGATATAAGGGTCCATGAATCTAAGGATCTAAAAGAGCAGCTGGAAATTTGTGTCAAAGTAACTGGGGGGAGGTGATCTATCTCGATAAGAACAGCTGGTTGATCATCTTATTTGCAATGCTTTTTTGCAATTTTTGCAGATTTGTTGGTGAAATTAGGAAGGTAAAATGATGCCTATTGCTTTTTTCCAGAAACAACAATTCATTATTACTGCAAGAGGTAACAGATGAGTACTCTGTCCATCATGATTTGAGTAGCGGTGTCTATTGTTGCATCACTTCTCTGTTTAAATCTTGTGTGGCTCGATATTCAAAAAGAGTAAACACAATTTTTTAAACAAAATTTCAAACTATTCATCAGCATTCAGAGTCCAAAATGACAGACCAACTTAGTTTAACAATATTAAAGTATTTATATGATATCAGTACCCTGGAGTAATAATTTTATTTACCTTTGATTTCTTCTCATTTGTAAACACACTGCATTAGCAGAGCAGGGCCCTGCAACAAGGTGTGTACAACAAGTACCAAGGAGTGGGCCGAGGCCTCGTGGTTGGCCCTGGGTGTTCGTCACGTGAGCTGCAAGAAGCCTTATGTCACAATTGACCATTTGTACTGATTTTGTTGCTTTTTGAACTGCACTGCACTGTGGAAAACAATATCTCAGTGTATTCTGTGATTGTAGTTACATCAACACACACACTAGTGTACATCAATGGCCACCTAAGTATATTTTTGGTCTAATTTGAGCATTTTTCCGTTTTTTGGTATCAGTTTGCCCTCCACACACAAAACACTGGAAAGTCTTCGCTGTATCATATAAACTATTAAAAATAGCCCAAAGTCAACTCTTCATACTCACAACACTTTGTATACATGCTCACATTGTGAAGCATGTCTAATGTGCTCACAATTATATGTGAACAATGTGAATTAGAGAAGGTACACACAAAAACACCATACTACAAGAATCAAAATATCCCCTCACATGGTTTATACTGTCTTTTATTATTGTAGTGATGTGAAATTAATGTAGTAACAGTACAAAAGTAGTCCCACAACATCATATAATTATCCAAATCTTTTAGACTCATGATGATTTATAATATTGATAATTCACAGTTATCATAGTGTGTATTACCAGCTAAATCTATAGCCGTTTGAAAATGTATTTCTTATTCTGTTGGCACTGAAGTTATGTTTCTGTTTTCTGAACAGTTTATAATGAGTACAGTCTACACTTTCAAGTCAAACCTCAGTGACACTCAAAAGTCCTTGCTGTGACATTACTGTGAAAAACAGGAGAGGAAGTGAGCTGCTGTGCGACTCATGAAGACTGTAACTGTACACTCAGATACAGACAGTCAGTCAGACTACATTACAGGTGTATTCTCGTCATGTTTTTCATCATATTAACAGCCTGCGCTCAGTGCTTCCATCTAGTGTGTGAGGTGTAAACTACATGCACATGAGGTGCTTTGCAGAGCTGTACTAAAGACATTCAGAGGTTATAGAGAGAGAAAAAAAAACCTGACATGTATGAGGGTGATGAATGGTTGCAGGAGCAGCTGTAGCACATCCTGCATCCTCTCTGACTTCCATATGATTCTGCTGCTCTGTTTTGTATACGCCACATTCTCACACTATGGTCAAGGTCAATGTCTGACAGGCACCACTGCAGCATATAGACATATTGTTGCTTACAACCGCAGACAAGGTGTAAGGTATTAAATGAAAGTATTTCATGGGTATAAAATGTTACTCATTCACTGTCCAGCCCTTCTACAGACTTCCCAAACTCTCTCAGTGTGATCTTTTCCTCAGCTGGTCTAATGCAGCACAGTGAGCTTGCAAAAATGGGGACGACAGAGCAACAGCATCACCCCTCCTGCCTCTTTCTGCATGCATACAGTGTTACTTCTGCGTTTCCATTCAACAACGTTCTAGTATTTATAGTTTCTCTTCTTTACATCCTTCACTTTCACTGTCTCTGTGTATCCCAATCGCAGCCGTTGTTCTCTATCAAACTTCCCTGATTCCTACTCTGTTATTAAAGCTGCTGATAAGAGGGAAACCAAAAGAACTACATGACTACGCATGTTCTTATTTCACAGTCTCTAATCTTGATATTGTGTCTCTGACAAAACTCAAATAACACTTCCCTTGAGTCAGTAGCCCTTCACCCATTGTCTCTGTTCTCTTTGTTGCCAATTAAGGTTTTCTTTTGCGGCTTAAAGTTTTGGTTTCAGAGATAAAAGTAGAGCAGCGATGCTCTAGTTTCTTGCCTACAGATGTCAACTTCAGAACAATTCTGTCTTCACAACTGCTGTTTATGCTCTCCACATGAAAATAACATACCCTGAAAACAAACACCGTAGTCTGGCTCATGGTGTTTTTTTGATGCAATACTTAAGATATCAAAAAGAAACATCCTTCATAACAAAGTCAACAGGACATTTTGACATGAGTTGGATATCTTGTTTGCTCTCCATGCCATTCTGTACTGCCAATGAGTGCTACTTATCAGACATGCAGTCTAGACCCAAATGTCCCATATGAGTGGAGACGCTATGTGACAATGACTAATAGGAGACCCTAAAATGTATAGGAACACTTAAGAAGGTGGGTAGGGGAAAACTGATGTTTTTTCTTGGGGCGCGAAGTACCTGGTGGCTCTCCTGTCTGGCCCTATAGAAAATAAAAGGTGTCATGTGATCTGACAAGTTACAGACATCACATGAAACACTGTCCTCAAGGTTTTAAGACAAGGATTCTAAATGGTGAAGGGACAAGATTTGAATTTGTGTATTATAGGTCACGTGTGATTTACATGAGAACAGCTTCGACTTGAAATGGTTGAAATCCAGAGATTTAAACCCCTTTCACGCTTAGATGTGAGCCTGGTTTCCAAAAACTGCGCACACTTACAGAAAAACAGATCAGTGAGTACACTGCTTAATGTGCAAACCGCCTCTTTGTGCATCGCATGATGAAAAATGAAGATGACGACAAAAAGATGACACAGAGATGTTTCCCACCTGCTAGCGCATCTTTCTTTGACCACCTGCAGAGGAGGCTAAAATATCTCCTGTTTGTTCTAAATGAAGACAACATCTGTGGACAAGCAGGAGCTGAACAAAACAATCTATGGTTAAGTCAGCTTAAAATTGTACATGGGAGGAATCTTATTTCACTGATAATACTTAAAGGCCTTTTTGAAATCTCACAGCGCCCACACATAAAGCCACAGACAGCAGATCGTGTAAATTGTATATTCATACACAATTTAACAAACACACAAAACCCCATTTACAATAGGCCTAGAGTTAACTTTCAGGTAATGCTTGAAGCAGAATAAATGCAGGACAGCAAACTTGTCTGTCAGTCTAACCTGCCTCAGAAACTGTACCTCTCTTACACCTGTGTGCGTTGTCAGATGTCATAACAGAATCAAGACTTCTCACCTGAAACTGTGTGTATGAGTTTACTTTCCAAAACAGTATCACAGCTTGATACCTGCTGCTTTAGCTCTTTAAAAAAGAAAGGATAACAGTGAGTTTACAGGACACAAGTCTGGGGGATGCTGCCGCTCTATCACTGCAGATACACGTTTCACTGTGAGCCCACTGTAAGGCCTCGTTTTGAGTGCCCTTAGTCTGACACAGCTTTTCCACTGCAGGGGCCACTTTATTCTGCTGACATTTCCTTTTGTGGACACACAATCCCAAGACAAACCAACAGAGATCAATATGCATATGAAACTGTTTGGCTGCAACAACGTTTTTCAGTCACAGGCTTAATTACAAACTCTCTTTTGTTTGCACATTCTCTGTTTTCAGGTCATTTCAGTATCAGATTTTTGTATGAGAGGTTAAACAAACTTCATAAAAGTCTTCATCACAACAAACTTCCCCTGTCAACAAAGGACCATCTTTCTCAAAAACCGTCAGGACTGCACTGACCCATACTCTTGCATCAAACACCTATACTAGTTGGAAGTCGATAAAGGTCAATGTCAGATTTGGAAAAGCCACAGCAGTATTTCTCTGCACAACAGCACATACGCACTTGAGATGAAACCAGCTTTTGGTGTTCAATGCAAACAATATAGACTTTAAAAAAATAAAAATATATATACATAGTGAGGTGGTGATGCATTAGCTGCAGTGATGAGGTAATGTAAAGTGAGAGATAGACATTACCGAGCAGAATAGAGAGTATCACACTGGCTGCATGCGGAGGGCCCAGCCTTGGGGATTTAACCCCAACCCACTGGACCTCCATGACCACCACCAGATGTGCTCCAAAACAAACGCTGCTGCCGGATCCTGCCCGGGCTTTGGATAGTAGAATATCCTTTAGTTTTAACTCGTCCTGGATTAAACACTGAAGCTGCAGTCTGGGTGTTTCAACCCCGAAGGAGGCACGTCCCAATGATGCACCTACAGTATTGTATGGTCCTGGGGGGAGGTGCCAGCCCCCTCAGCACTCTGACACTGTAGGTGAGGCAGAGGGCAGAGGAAGAGGAAGGAGAGGAAAAGAAGTAAAAAGTTAATCAATTGCAATTCGAGGACAATTAGTCACATTAAAAGCACAGGCAGGATAGCAAAAGACAGCATTTAAGACGGTTATAGTGTGTTGCATGCATGTTTCAACACATGCAAACAGTTTCCTTTTTCATGAACACATAAGAGGTAAAGCTGAGGCTGAGTACATGATTCCTAACTAAGGTAAATACAAGTTTCGCATCTCCTACCTGCCCCTGCAGCCGGTGTTCTCTAAGAGGCCGGCCAGCTGCCTGCACAGCTGAGTCAGTGTGGACAGGACAGCAGGCAGAGCAGCAAACGCTCACTGCGCACAGTCAGGGTTCACTCAAGGAGAATCCAGCAGCAGCTAGCACTTTCACTGCAGAGACAGCCACATTGCAGCCAGGACGGGGGAGACAATTAGAGAGGGGAGAAAAGAAGAACAGAGGGGGGAGACAGGCAGAGAGACATAGAGAGATGCAGAAGGGAAAAGAGTCTTGTTCTCATTCCTCCTCAGTAGAGCCCTTCTGATGCTGACTCCCCTTTCCTGCCCGTCCCTCCAGCTACCTCACAACTTTTCCTGTCCTCTCTGCTGGCTGCATGCCACCTCTCTCTCTCTCTCTCTCCCTCCCTCTCTCTCTAACTCTCTCCCCTCCCTTACCTGGCCCCTCATATCCCTCCTTTTCTCTTTCTCTGCTCCATCAACACCACCCTCCCACCCTTATTATCCTCCTCCCTCTTCCCTATCTCCTGACTCGGGGCGTGTATGCAGACTCAGGCACTTTTTGTCAGAGTGTTTGTGAAGATCAGAAAAAGTTCTGCAGTGCAGGTTTGAAGAGGGAGGAGGTTGTGTAATGCAGCCCCATGGGCCGGCCCGGACATGTGGTCCCAAATCAGAATGATCCATTTGTAGTTGGAGATGTTGTTTCATGAGAGCGTTACCTTTAGCTATCAAAACTTAGCATCACACGAAGATTACACAGAGAGGGGGTGGTACAGTACAGCGGCCACTTTATTCTACTTTATTTTTTTTATTGCTTCATTGTTTTGCCAATGCAAAAGTGCTTCCCATTTTCTCTAACTGAGCACATATCCTTCGTGGTATGAGATGTTCATGGGTGTCACTATGTCCCATACAACGCCCAGAAGGTCAAACTATCATGTGCATCATACTGCATCCATTCCTCTATAATGCAGCATGTGTGTGTTTGTGAGCAGTCATTTTTCACTGCAGGACACAAAGACATCCGTCACGGCCATGTGTCTGCACTTTTCTCTGCAGGAAGAGCTGCCATCAGAGTTTTTAGATTTGATTAGTCAATATACGTCCTGACTGATGCTGCATTCATACACTTAAGACTATAGGCCTGTCAAAATCCATTACTGTAGACACACCGGGACTCTACGGTAAAAATGGCGCGCTGTAATGAAATTGATAGGTTGGGAAGAGGTTAATTAGACTCTTTATACCAGGGGGGAAGAGAACTGTGAGTGAGCGCAAGGATGCAACTGAGATCATGTGACAGAATGCCATCTGAGCTGAGGTAAAGTTAGACAGCAGAGGACAAGGGGACAGGAAGCATCAGTGTTGGACTTAAGCTCTTTGCGTCTTTTCTTTGCTGTGACGACTATCAATTTTTGGGACAGCATGAGAGAAAAAAAGGTGAAGTTCGCAACTTTTGAGGGCTGCAAAATTATCTTGTTCGCAGATTAAACTTCAGGTAAATGAGCAGAAATAAGTATTTCATTTACTCTCCTTTCTGTGCAAGTATCAACACTGTAATCTATTATTCATTGAGTTGGATATGAAGATAAGCAGACCCTCCAAAATTGCTTTTTTCATCTCCGTGTTATAATCAAGACCTACATGTCTAGCTTTAATTTTATGAAATATGTTGCATTCTGTCATGTCCTACATACTGGAGTTAAACGTGGTCAAGCTAATGTGTGAGAGGAAATGATTATCATGGCGTAATTTATGCAGCTTTCCTTTTATCTGATGAATTAATTCACCCTGTGTGGGATTCAATAGTGTGAGATCGTTTTCAATAACAGATTGCAGAGCCTGAAAGGACTTAGCCAGAAGATTTACACACGCACACGCGCGCGCACATACACACACACACCAGCAGTGACCACTGATCTGGATCACATATAGAAGTAGGTAAGGCATGCTGTTATGTGACAGGAGGCAGAGCGGAGGGTGTTTTACTGGTGTGGTGCTCATACAGAGAGATGCTGTGGACAGGCTGCAGGCTCAACGCTCTCCTCTTTAGGCCCCTCCACTGGGGTGTCAATGCAGCAGTGGTGGGAAGTCTTCCAAAACTGCAATAAGGAAAAAAAACCAGAGCATTTTGCTGCAGAAAGACAGGGTGCTGCAGATCTACAGGACTGCAACCAGACAGAGACAGATCACAGACAGTGGGACTCACATCAGCATACACTCATGGTATGTATAGTGTGTTCAGATCTGCATTAGCATGCATCCTATGATATTATTTAAAGGGGCCAGATTGGTGCACACTCAGCTTTAAGAGCTCACTGGTGTCATTTACTCTCACTGCAGCAAAGTGTGAGCTGCTCCAAAGCAGAGACAAGGACAAATACTGTCCTTTCTCTCTATGTCTGTCCATGAGTTACACCAATACAATTACTTTAAGATGAAAACTACCTGTACTGCACTGTTAAGTTCTCTGTTACAAGTGAGCTAATAATGTGAAAAAATATGAATGTGTACTCCACCAAAAGAAGTTACAGAGAGAAATTCATCCAAAGTTTAAGAAGTTACAGTATTTGAAATATAAACATTTAGGAGGATTGGACCTAAAGGATAGGTTTCAGACCAAACATCAAGCTCCTGCAAAGAACCATAGGGAGAGGGGGTGTCACATGTGGTCAACATTTAAGCATCTATTTGACAACATCTTTGCAAGGCTAAAATAGTTTTGAAATTAGAATTAGTTTTTATTGCTCATCCTTGGATCTTTGGTTTTAATTTTGGTGAGTTTTTCATGCTGGTCACTTTCTCTGCCTTGACCATCATATTTCCTACACTGTATGGAGAATGCAGAACAACTACACTCAAATGCAGCAGCCCTTAACTCAACACCAGATGCCTGCCTACCTGTGCTTGTCTTTTTTCCATCATTTAGTGTTGTATTTCAAAAACAAAGCTCATACTGCATATTAAGGTATCCTTCACACTTTCCTCCTCAATAACAAAGCCCTGGTCTGGATTTGAACCCAGAACCATTTCATTCAAAAGCAAAAGCCCTGTCTACCAGGCCACAGATCTACCTGACTACACCTGTCTTAATAGGATTTTTTAAAATTGCAATAAAAGCACAGCTCAGACTGCAGTACTTTGCATGTCCATCTCCCATAGCAAGTTCTGGATACGGGTTTGAACCCAGAACTATTTTACATAAAAGCAGCAGTCCTATCCATTGGTCTCTACAAAAATGCCTGGCTGTGCTTCCTTTTGTAATATTAATTTTCTTGAAGAATAGTATAGTATCTTAAAAACACAGCCCAAACTGACCTGTGCGAAAAGTATCACATTTCTCTCCCACATTGTAAGTCCCTGATGTGGTTTCGAACCAATACCCATGTCCACCATGAAACAGGCCTGCCTGGTTTCATTGCTCTTTTTTGTTTTATATCGTAATTTATATCATTGTGACGTTATGAAATCGTTGCTCATACTGCTGTGTGAGAACAACATTTCCCTCTTGGCGCACAAGGACAGTCCTTTTTCTAGATATGAACCCAGAGCCGTCTCAGTCTAGTATGCAGCCCTGTCCACCATACCACAGGCCAGTCTGGTGGTGTGTGCCTTTTTTTGTCTTTTTATGTCAACATGGTTTATGGAACTTCAAAATCACAGCTCAGACTGCACTTTGAAGAAACCATTTCAGTCTTCCCTCACATAGAAAGTCCCTGTCAGGGTTTGAACACAGAACCAATTTACTCAAAAGCAGCAGCCCTGACCACAGTGCTGAGCTGGTTTGCGTCACTGTTTCAGTTGATGATCTGTTTTGTGTTTTACCATGGGGTTCAGTCCTGGGTTTTTGATATTGCATAGTATCTATTTGAGGATCTCTTTTTTACCCTTTAAACCTAACAATATTTTCAAGTTATCCTGGCTACTAAACAACCTAATTGTCATTAGGTGCTGGACTACAAAAAATAATCTACAATTAAATGATGAAAAACAGGAATTTTAGTTGATGCCCAAGACAAGCATGTTTCTGAAATCATGGAGAGCACCAGTCCTCTCTTAAATGCAATTTACTTAAATCACGTATCTTCATTTGACAGTCATAAGTAGCTAACCAGATCTTGCCACTTTCTTAAGAATCATAACTTAACATATGAATTTAGTGTCTGCTGCAGAACCAGAAACACTCATACATGCCCTTGTCTCATCCTGTATCGATTATTGGTATTCTCTTTTCCAGTCTCTCTGGACTTTTGCCCTTAACCATCTACAGTCAGTACAGAGTGCTGCTGCATGGGTAGTCTGTCACCTGGTCAGTGTCATGACACATGACAGTCTCAGGATCCGGTATAGCTTACAAAACTCATACACCCAGACTAATCTACTGTTCCCTCCAGCCATTAGTCTCACAAACAGTCCTTTTTGAGGGAATAGCAACAAACCTTTGGTACTCTCTGCCGTTGTCTTTGTGCTTTATTGACTCTATGTGACTAAAACACATAGACAGACATATGAGTGACTTATAGGCCCTCAGTCTGAATAAACTTCCTCTGTCATACGATTTATTGTACATGGTCACTGTATTGTTGATCTTAAGGGACTTTATTTTGCACCGTGGTAAAAGTGAGCATGTCTTTTTATTTCTGTATGTCATATTTTGTTGATGTAAAGCATTTTGCAACTTTTGATTGAGAAATGAGCTATATAAATACACTCAAATTCCAGAATACATTCAAAAATAGGAAAATACAGTCCATGTTGAACATTGAGAGTGACCCTCTTTGTTTTTGTCATTATACTGTAGAAGTTTCTGAAAACAGAACAAGAAAATTTAGTGGTGATCTGCACTTGGCCTTTGGATGACCAGATTATGAAACTTCCTTTTGAACATTCGAGGCTATGTATGTGATATCAGCATCTAACACACTTAGAGAGGAAAAACTAGTTTGACTAAACACCTTTTCACTCTGTAAAATGTAAAATATACAATGCTTGCTATATGCAAAAGAGCCTGCATGGAAAGCTTGTGGTTTTCGAAAAGCTTGTGTTTCTCAGGCAGGTTACAACATGTCCTGGTTAAAGCTCTTTTCAACTTTACTCAGTCACTGCTCCACACACACCTCAGTTTGTCTACTTTAAAAAGATGGCAAACATAAAACATGGGCAGTGTGTAAACCAACTGCATGTTCCTATTATTTAAGGGCTATCACAAGATGAATCTGTGATACCACCAGGGGGAGCTGTATCTGCCATGCCTTTTGTTGTTTCCAAGGATTTATGTTCAAATCACAGTATTCAAAGCATTCAAAAGTATTATAAAAGTATTGCTGGGAGCACTTTGTGTTTTTAAGATGTAAATCGTTGGTGAAATATTTTAGAATAAGTTTTAAAAAAAAAAGAAAATCCCTTCTCCACTAAGTTATTTCAACCTATTTGTTATACAAATCCCCTGTTTTATGATGCACTTTGATTCAGTATACAAATACCTGACTTTTGCACTTTTTAAAACAGTCAAATGAATAGACTGAGGGCTTTGCTCTGCTGTCTCAAGGCCAGGGGGTGTGTAACTCGTTGTGTGTGACACATACAGGAGTGGCTGATCTCTGGAATTTCACACTCACCCACTCCAAGTGTTCACCTCAAGGTCTGACCCGTTCCCACACCCAGAACATTACATAAAAAAAATACACTTGATACTTCCAAATGATTTAAAAAACTGATGTTTTATTGACTCTTTAGTTGTTCTGTAGGTATATACATAAACACATCAAACTAGGTTTTGAGTTAAAAAAGGAAGAAGTTCTGCCTATTTTACAAAATGTACAAAATCATTACTTGTATGATGTTAAGCATTGCAGTAAACACTTAAAATTGATTATCACAAAAAATCTAAAAGTAGACTTTATAAATATAAAACACAGCTGTGAACTTTCATCAAAGAATCTGTAAATTTAACAAGTATTGAACACAAACCGTCACTGATGAATTTAGAAAATGAAGAGAAAAACATTTATTTCAGCAATGATGTAGCACCTGAGACTGTGTCTGCTGGTGTGTGGTGCTTTAAACAATGACCCAATATGAACCGGCTCTTCTTTTAAGAAAAATCCATAGTCCGTGCAATCACAAGAATATTAATGAGGTTTTGGAAAATCGTTCACAGCTAATAGCTTTCCAGCAGCAGCTGACTCCAAATTCTGTTAAATAAGCGTAAACAAGCAGACTTACAGTGGTCATGTATAAAAACGAGACTCCCATTCATTAGTCCACACTCATGAAACACACAGACATACGGGGAAGGAAGTTGTGTTCAGGCTCCAGATGGAAATTCGTTAAATCTGAAAACCTGCCTCAAGTGGTGTCACCTAAGTCAGCGTCAGTTTGTGGCTGAAAAGTGCAAGTTTGAAAAAGAGGGCCAGACAAAAATGAGCGTTGAGTTGAAGGGTCCTAGCTTACACTGCAGATATCTGTGGCTTGCATCTTTTCCTGACAAAACTTTCGCCCACCAAGTTGCATTGTGGGTGATGTAGGCTCTACGTTTAAACAAAAGACAATGTCGATCAAATCCTGCAAGAAAAACTCAGACTTGGCACACTGTTCAGTTAACACAATGTGCCGAGTCTGAGAAGTACAATAAATTACATTAATGGTTACAGACAGCTAGATCTCTGTTGCTATCATTAAAGGGCGATTTCCAAATTAATCAAAAGCGTCCAGTATACCACCCTCATCATCACCACCATCATCATCGTCATCATCATCGTCGTCATCATCATCATCGTCGTCATCGTCATCATCCTCTTCAAGCCCGTCCTCTTCCTCATCATCTCCACTGCTGGGTTCAGACTCTTCGTCATCTGAACTATCAGCTTCTACCGCCTTTGCCACAACTGTCAGATGAACGGCCTCCTCAGGTAAACTGACACAATCCCCGCAAAAAAAACAAAACACACAGACTGTGAGACGGGCAACTTGTGTGTATCTGGACAAGTGAAAAGTCTGGGAAGCAAACAACAAGGCCAATGCTGGATTTCCTTACCAACAACCAACAACCATCCCCAAAAGACAAGAGACTACTGAATACTACACCAAGAATCCTCCGTTTGCAAGCAAACCCTGCCGCAGAACCAAGACAACTTATGAGCTGATGCATCTTATCAACAACAGACAAGACAAAATATCAGTTTGTGAACATTTCTCCACCAGTTCATGGTTATCCAGGTTTAGCTCTTTGTTGATTTTTTTTCTTTTTTACCCGCACTCACAATCGAAGGTGAAATCTACCGCAGAGCTGCAGTTGCTACCTACAAAGCAAAGAGGAGGTGCTGCCCAGCAAAAGTAAATCAGCGTTGATCTTCCATAGCTTCAAAAAAGTGAAATGCACAGTGAAAGTGACAGAGAATACCAATCAATTCACAGCAGCATTATCATGAATGTTTGAGGTGCTCTTTGTGCTCATTTTCAGGGATTAAATCAGTTGTGTTTTCTTGAGATTATTTTGTTCGAAAAAGAGCCTCATTAAGGCAGAAATGACAGCTGCTGTGAATTTAAGACTGAAAAATGTCTCCATATTTACATCTCCTACTTAACATCTTAAAAACTCTAAAAAACACAGTTATCTGCAATCAAAGACAGCTTTTGGTGAGAACATACAAAACTGTAAGAAGATTTTGACTTTTTTTTCTTTTTTTTTTTTACAATAAAATGCACGTGTGGAAGGTTACAGCTCTAAAACTGCAAATAAATACAATAATCTCTGGAGTTCACAGTGGAGGAGCAAAGATGAGAAACAGAAACCTTGTCAACCGTAGCTTTCATTTGTCTTTGTCAGCAGAGTGGACTCAAACAGCCACCAGACTCCAAACCCTTCCCAAAAAGAAGAGAAGCAGAGAAGCTCCGGCTGTCTAGTCCTCACCACACGGTCGGGTCCTTCCATTCCCGCTCTCGTCCGTCTAGCTCGACGTCGTTGTCCACGTTCTTTTTCCTGCAAAACCTAACCCCCACGAAGATACCCAGGATGATCAGGATTATAACACAAGCTCCCCCTACTGCTGCGGCCAGGATGCTGATCTCAGAGAGGGAGGCTAGAAAAACAAAGATCCAAAATTAGAGGGTGAAATCTGAATGCAGCATTGTATGGAATTTGGAAGGAAATATCTAGTCATAAAAATAAAAACAATAAGTTCTTTTGTTTTTACCAGTGAACAGATATCCTGCCTTTCATTTCATGTCAGGTGTACTTCCTTGTTTTCTCTTTTACCAATTCAAAAACAGTTGGGTGGCGGTGTACATGGTTAAAAACAGAATTTAATGATTTGCAACATTTAAGCTCTATATCTCACGAAAAATAGGACAGAGACAACATGTCAAATGTTGAAACTAGTTTACTTGTTACAGGCAGTAAAACAGATGCTGGCTTTTGAAAACAGTGTGTCTCTTCTCCTTTTTAGAGTGGAGGATGTGGTGTCCGCAAAGAATGTCAAATTGTGATTCGTCACACCAGAGAAAAGTTTTCCTCTTTGCTTGAGTTCATCCTAAATAGGCATGAATCCAGGGAAGTTGCTGGAGTTTTTGGGTCATGTTTATTCATGGTTTCCTCCTTGCATGGTACAGTCTATGTTTTTGGGCTGTATGCCTTATTTTAGAGAGGACAGGACAGTGGATAAGAGCAGGAATATGAGGGAGAGGGGGGCAGTAGGTTGGAGTCAAACCTGGGCGGCTAGGACTTTGGCCTCTGTACATGCAACACTCAACATTCAACTTAACCACTGGGCCAAACTACCCCCCCACCCCACCCCCACTCCCACTGCATGGTACAGTCTAACCTGTATTTGTGGACGCTAAGACAAACTGTTCACCAACTCAATTCAATATAGGGTTTGAATAATTTGCAAATTGTCAGCTTTGTTTTGTTCTCAAAAATTCTGCATCTCTGTGGTTTTGGAATTGGAGTTGTACATGTTTCAAAAATATGGGATGAACCACAAGGATCTCTTCCAGGACCCTTGTTAAACCTTGTTTATGTTAATATTTCATCAATCTGTACTTTTTCAAGTCTTCTTTCTCATAATGCCAACATTTCATCATATTTTACTGATTTGCTGTAAACTTTCTAAAACAAAGTACAATTGTCATGTCCTTCTCACCGTGGTATAGGGTTGGTAGCTGACGACAACTGAACATGAAAAACATATTAACTGTAGATCAAACATTACTGTGAAGTCATCATAGATCATGAGCAAACTATTACGTTTCATCAATGTCTATTAAATACTTCAATCATTATTTCTCATGGTAGATTTTGTGCGGTTATATTTTATAAATATAAGCTTAGTGATGATTTTCTCCTGTACAAAATTTAGCTCGTTGAACTCTTCAGACACATCTCTTTTTGAAAGCAAAAAAACGACATAAAAGTGCTTTTTACATTCTCACATTTCAGTTTCTTAAGCAGGCAGTGCTGCCAGTCTGACCTTTGCTGACGACTTTGAGGACGATCTCCCCATTACTGCCGTGCACATCTGGACGGTTGCGCACCTGGCAGATAAAGGTGCCATTAAAGGTCGGCGGCACCTCATGTAGGGTGATGGAGGCGTCTCGTCTTAAAATATCTCCTGACCACACCGCATGGCCTTTGAATCGCCCTTGCTGTGGAGGATATGGTACCTCCTGGTAGTAAAACACCTGTAGTCCGAACGAACACAATCCAGCAAAAGAACAAGCATGAGAAAAATCTGCTGCTGTGGCTGGGTCAGCTACACAAGTCAAACGATGACAAAAATCCCTGAACTACACAACTCAATCAGAAGCTACTTCTTAAACTAACATGGTGACAACTTCTTGGTGCAGAATCAGAGCCTGTTTGGACAAAGGCTATTTGAAGGACTTTGGGTTAAAGACACACACACACACATACACACACACCTATGAAGCACTGGACATTCTCTACGGCCATTTGAATCATTCGTCTCATTCCAAGTAAGGGTGTGTTCACTATACATGTAACAAACCTTTAAAGGGATATTCTGGCGTAAAATTAAGTTAGGGTCAAACACACCGTAACACAGAGTTAAGACACCCCCTCGAGAGATGAATGTTGCTGACCGCTTGCTTTTCTAGTTATACCAACTTTAGTAATGACCACAGAATAGCAATACACAGCGGTCTGAGGAGCCATACATAAACCTCCACCAAAATGCCACTCTATAACCACAAATAATGCTCAGAACAGCACCTAACTTCATCAACAGTACATAAAGGGTCCAAGCCATAGTACCAGCCACTAAACATCTTTTTAGCTTTGCCTGATTTCTTCAGCAAAGAGACTAAACACAACTCACCTACTCTCTTCCAGCAGCAGCTTGTTTGTAGCGAGACCTCAGGCCAGGGTGACGCAGCTCAAGGAAGAACATTTATGATAATTTCTTAATCATTTCCTTTAAGTAATAATCACCATATAATTCATTTTGCACTGCAGACAAGGAAGTTCTTCTGCCTAAGCGTCTCGATCTGATTGCATTTCCATGAAGAAAAGATCATAAATGTTCCTCCTTGAGCTGTGTAACCCCGATGCAGTCTGTAATGGACTGGCCCGAGGTCTCACTACAAACAAGTGGCTGCTGGGAGAGAGAGGGTGAGTTTTGTTTAGTCTCTTTGCTAAAGAAATCAGGCAAAATTAAAAAGATGTTTGGTGGCTAGTACTGGGGCTAGGACCCAACAAGATTGGCAACAAGATTTCAATCTCATGTCGTGTATTAATAATGTCATTTGTTTGTGTCACCATTAACAGCTAGCACAGGAACCCCCAGCACTTCTCTTCTGCATTTTTAGTGTAGTATAATGCAGTATTTCCTAACTTTCTCTGCCTCAGTTGAAAACGTTCATATATGGGATAGAGCCAACTCCAACATTTGAAGTCGGCAAAGTGACACCTGTTGGGATAAGTCAAATATGCTGAATTACATTGCATACACGCTCCATTTAACACTTGAAAAAATTTCAAAACAGTTTTACTCACAGACTCATCTGATCCTGAATTTAAGGGCCTAAAGTTCCAGGAAACTGTGGCGGACTGGAGTGACACTGGGTGACTTGATGTGAAGGTGCACTTCAGCTTCACATTGGTCCCGTTGACCGCCTCCACCTCACCTGGAGTGTAAATAACTATTCCACTGACACGTTGCACCCCTGTTATAAAGACAAGAATATACATCAAGATTATTTCAAACACTTTCACCACCAGATCAGAAATAAGGCTTTCATTAAAGTTACATTTCAAACTGCACAGGTGATTGTGTTTTTTACTTTATCTTTCATTTCAAAGCCAGTAATATAACCAATCAGACAAGAGTAGAGCTGTTTTGCCTCTAAAGCACTTATCATGGCTGATCAAACACAGGAACGTCCTTGACAAAAAAGAGCAAATTTGCACGTCCCTCAGATCTCTGGTGATCATGTTTAAAGCCTTGAACAGTCTCCAGCCACAGCATTAGGTTGTAGGACTAACTCACCACTTTTCTTCATGATTTGGTGACATAGTGAACAACACTACAACTGATGAAATGGCAGCTACACCCACAAGGGACTGTTGACTGTATGTGTGCACAAGGGAAGTCTATTAGGTGAAAAACAAGTTTGGATATTTGTTTTTGGTCATGTTATCATTGAGATGCCTCATTAATAACACAAAGATTAACTTCCTGTCATGGTTTACTGAAACCATTTTAAGTATGGCAGTATGTTGAGCTGAATCTGTATCACACAGTCAGCTGCAGTGATGAGGAGACCTGCAGACTCATCCCGAGGATTAAAACATTCCTACAAATAATTAACTTCAGATGAGATGAGAGTTTAAGAATGTTCTGTAATCCTGAACGGGCAGGGATACAATGAAATGCTTGAACTTTTGAACCATGGGCAATGGTAAAAAGGCGAAGTCACTGTCTGAAAAACTACTGAATGGTGATGAAAAGGTCAGAAAAACATTTTAAAAACTACATTTATACCTTTCATATTTGTATTTGATAAACATTTTATGATTGAGCTTTGAGAATTAAAGTTCCTGTGGGGAGATTTTAACGTTTTTAAATTGACTGAAATTCACACTGATGACCATCTATTCATTTCCTTTCATTTATATTTGTTCCACTAGTAGCCATTTTCAAACTTTTCCAAACAAAGAGACGTTCATTAACTGCAACACAGCGCATGACTGGAAAGGAGCAGGTAAAAAAAACAGATCTTACTTTACCCGCCTCTCACTTTTTTAAAGATAAAAGAAAACAAGATCATCAGTGACAAGGTTGACAATATCAATACTGTGGTTTTTACAGGTAAGAAAAGTCTTCTTTGTCCACAGGGGGCGCCAGAATTGACACAAACCAAAAGTTCTCAACTTTTCTGAAATGAGAGCACTCGGCAGCACAGGCAGAACCAATCACTTTCAGCTGCCAGGCTATAAGAAATATTTTTATTCCATACCTTGAAAAACAGTTCTGTACTTGTAGTTTTGATTTTTACACTTTTGTTTAAAGAAGTATGGAGTGATCTGCTTTTTAACCTGTAATAATTCATTTACCCACATCATGGTTAGTAATAGGAACTGAAATCTGCAGCCCTTTCAAAATAAGAACAGATTTCTTTGTTAAATTCCTGAGAACTGGAACAGACTGGCACATTATAGCAGGATGAACTGGAGCAAAATATTTTTTTCACTTTGTTTTTATGTGTACAATCAACCATGGAAGAAAAATTACTTCTAAATTTTCCTGTTGAACAAAACTGTATCATAAAAATAGGTGTTTTCACTTTTTTCACATTCGTTTGCAAACCATTTAGTAAAATCACAGTTTTGTGATTATAATAGTTAGTTCCCTCAGCCAAGTACATCGAAAACCTCATTCATTCTCATGCAAGAGCCGTAGAGGAAATATCTTCTTCCATTTGTCTGATTTCATTTCCTTTTTTTAAAGTCAGACTAAATAGTCAGATGGCATTTATGAATCATATTGAACTGTGTCCTGATTAAGTAATTTCTTGCATTAGTTCAGTGTTTTCCTGTGAAGCAGACAGTATCATAGATGTTTGTTATGGTGAGACAGCTTTGTGTAGCGTTTTCCTCATACAGCTTGAGCAATAAAACTGAATCAGTGCCATAAAACTTGTATGAACTTGTGTGGCTATACAAACTATCTTATCAGGAATGCACTGATTAAGGAATGCTGTGTAATCAGAAGTGGAAGAAGAATTTACACACCACACAATAACCGACTGCTTAAATACAAGTCGAACATTTTTCATACTTTCATTGAATGTTGTGGCCACACACTGGAAACCCACAGTTTTTAATGCTCCACTGAGAGCTAAATTATTCAAAAGCTGTTAACCCTCTGCTAGGCTTTAAAGTTCAATACTGTTTTCACATTATGCAAATATAAACAGTTGGGTAAAACATGAGAAACAGGTTAAAGTGAAGATTCATTTCTTCACACCTGATTGAAAAAGCCTGGGAACTTTGTGACTCATTAAACCCTGCTCCATGTTATCCTTACAATGTGATGCCATTAGACAGCCTATCTGGCTTTCAGCCTTGAGATGTAGCTCTCCAATCTCATACCCACCAGAGCACTTCCCTCCTTCAACCTCAAGATTAAAAGGAAGAAATAAAGGAGCCTAATGTAGCCTGGTGGTAATTTTCCACTATTCCACAATGAAATCAGGCCCCACCAGAGCCCAGCCCACCAGGCCAGGTGTTTCCAGCTTGCCTGTCTGAACAGCTCCTCGATATCCACAACAAGCTGGCTGTTTCATACAACAATATCTGATGTCGACCCAGCACAATGATGGTGCTATCTTTTTGAAAAAGTGTGTCGTGGCTCTTTTCAATATAATAGTTTCTTTGTACAGTGTGTCTTCTTACTATTTGGACCAAAGTTGTTGCAATTGCACTAAAACATGGAGTTAATGGTGAATATCAAACTTTATATTAGCCTACAGCAGTGTAATCACTGGAATCTGTTGGCTAATCTTTATTCTTGTAAATCAGGATTTCTGAGGGAAATGTCATAAATCGTTCTGTTGAACCATTTATTCTTGCCCTCAAGTTAAAAAGCATAAAACTGAATTACTCCTACTTATTGGGTATTATTACACATCACAAATGTCATTGCCTTATTGAGCACTTCAGCTTTAGTTTTACCCTCCAAACCCCTCCCCACCTCCCACCAATCAAACACATGCCATCAGGAGTTGGGTGAGTTTTGCATTGATACCCATATACAGTTCATTGTACTAGTTTAATTGTTGAAGGGTTGGAATTTAATAAAACACCAGACTCAACAAACCTGACCAATATTCTCCCATAAAATACTAACACATTTGTTAAAAAGAAATCTGTGCCTTCAAGGTTTTTGGGACTTCTCCTGTCACTGGTGGCATACCTTTGCAGAGTGTTGAAGTTCAAGCTGTCGCCTTGTCTGAACTCAAATAAGATTAACATATACTACACATTTACCAGCAAACAGAGAATCAATTGTTAACTTAGACAACTAAAACTCGTTTTTCTTTTCCTGACTGATAGAGTTTATTGTCTGAGACAACGTCTTGATAAGAAATATTGGGTTGGCTCCTGATCACTTCCTGCAAGCAATCCTCTCTGCTATGTGAAAAGAGTTTAATTGTCTATTCTGTGCTGCTTTGTTATTCACCTGAGGACCTCAATTTTAGGCCCACACAACTACAGACAGGTGACAAACCTCGTATAAATTGTTAGGTATTATGTTGTAAGAATTAAGTTTGACATTTTAATCTATTTCCTTAACTGCCATGTAGTCAACACTCGTGTCACACGTGGAAGTATCAAGTACACAAATACATAGTAATGTTTTGACGCCGTTGGGTATCTTTATAATCGTGTAGTTTTTAACCTTTGTGTGAGGTCGTTTCATGCTGAGTGAAACTAAATAAACTGTTATCAGACTCTGTCAAAGTTCGCCCTGTTTGTCTGCTAGGCCCTGAGTCTGAAAAACACATCCAACACACACATCCAAGAGTGTTTTTCTCGACATTTTTCAGGTCCCAAGTCCTCCCTCCTTCAGGAAGTCTTGTGAACTCACCTGGCAGCACGAGCCCTCCCAGGAGAAGAAGAAGCCATATCCGAGACATGGGAGGATAAAACATTAAAACAACCTCGAGTCCGACGAGTTAAGTCCTGTGAAATGATCCCCTTCACGTCCGCTCGTTGGACGGACTCATGAAGGCAAGTGTCGCCGTAAATTGAAGGTGGAAAGGAGCTTTTTTTGTGTGTAAATCTACGCTTCCGTGCTGACAGAGTGAGTTAACCTGCTAACACACCTGATGGGCGGCGTTAGCTTTCTCGCTTCTTGCATAACCTGTTAGCTCACCTCCGATACCTGCTGCTCAACACCTCGACTGTTTTCATTCAGCTCTTACAAGCATACAGGTCTGGCTTTTAGCTCGAGAGTCAAGTGAAACTTTGGTCTAAGGTTTTCTGCTGAATGGTTCCACCTTGTGGCGTCTGTACTGAATCACATACCGCTAAGTCACCATCCCCTGAATGGCAATAACAGATAAGATAAAATAGTCTTTACTGTCCCAATGAGTGTTGTAGGTATTCACGTGCATCAACAAAACTAAAACAAACCATCGGTGTCCTCTGGGATGCCCCTGCCATTATCACTGTCCCTGACAGTCGATTTAACCCTGAACACTATCGGTTAAATTAGTAACACCATCACTATTGCCAAGTGATATTTACCCAAAATAATATACCCAAGAAAAAGTACTTTTCATCAAAATGAGACAAAACGTGACAAATTAAAGTAGTTTTCTCTAATTTTTAACTGTGCAATGTCCAAAGGAAGGAAAAGTGTCATGAGGGGACCATATAAAAGTGCAACAAAATAACTGAAAATATGCATTCATTAACAAAATATTCCTTAAATAAATAAATAAAAATAACTGTAAACTTTGTTTCTCTTCCACCCATTTTCAGGGGCACGTTAAGTCTTCCCTGGTGAAGCCTCAGGGTCCTTGGCACAATAACAGCTGCAGGAGAGAGAACTTGGTTTAACTGCAGAGTTAAACCAAGTTCTGAGAGTACACTGTCTTTCTTGTCTGTTTTTCCGTCTCTCTATTACAGAGTCTGCATGTCCCAAAATCAATTGTGATCTTCATTGGCTCCCCAACACTGGCCTTGGAAGGTTGTTATGTCTCCACTCCTGGATATTATGCAGACAGATGCTCGGCCCGATCCCTCACTCCCCTCCCCCCTCCTCCTGTGAACTATGTTTCTGGATCAGAACTCTCCAAGGTCATCTCCAGTTATCAGACGGCAGGGACAAACAGGTGGGACTGAAGTCATGGGCTTACACATACACATACATGAAGAACACACATAACACACACACCTCCTCCAACTCAACGCCTTCTTGTCATCCTGATTTTGTTCGTTTAAAAGTTATTCATTTATGCAGTTTACAAAATTAGTCCCTCAGAGCTAACAGTAGGTAGTGCTTCACACTAATCTCAGCATTTTCATTTATGTTAAAGTCCAAATACCAGTGTTTTCTATTCACTCTATTATTACTAAGACAGTGCTTTGACCTGGATACCTGGGTAACTTTATACACTTTAACAAATACTTTTCAAACAAAGCCATGCATAAAGGACAGACCCTGCATAAGAAGACAGAGCAGAGCTGAAAAATGATGTACACCTAAAGTTAGTGACAATAACACGTGTTCCTTAGAGTCCTTTACTGTGAGGATACAATATACTATGTAAATAGTACTCAGTTACTATTCCAAATATCATATTAAACCTTTATACTCTTAAAACCTAATATTTTTAACCAACTCATAAAATAATTGTAATGTGTGGTATGAGTAAACTGCAAAATCCTCACTGCCCTTGAAAGACTAATTGTCTGAAACAGGAGACTTTGTGTTTCAGAAATTGAATGCCACCCTCTAAATAAGAAATCTCTGTGAAAAAGCAGATGTGTTGTTTCATAGCGTCACTGCAGAAAAGTTTCCAAGCTTAAAACAGAAGAAAAAGGCCAAATAAAAAATAGATTGCACCACATAATTCAAGCAATTAAGTTTTTTTCTGTGTTACTTATTTTAATTGTATTTTGAAGCATTGCTCCCAAAAATACATCAACCAATAGCTGTTTACAAAAGTATTTTTTACTAAACAAATGATATTATCAGAGTAGGAGGAGGAGGACTTGAACCCGTGTTTCCTGCAGTACTAAGGCAGCTTCTGACCTAACCCGACCATGATGCATTGCGTTTGGGTGATTTAGCGGGCCGGGATCAGAGATGAGTGAAGATCATTGAAGATGGGCCACGATTGAAAGTCAGTGGTGAGTTTACTGTACGCAAGGCTGAAGATATGCCAGCGGCTCTGTATGATGTTTAATAACATTTCTACCCTTAAGATATTTTTTTCTCCACGACTGTCAACAAGTCAAACTTTTCATGATTAAAAAAAGCTCTATATTTGGCAATCTAAAGGTAAACAATCTTAACTATGACTGTTTACTGTAACCGCTTTCCCACCCATAAAGCATTGCGGGACACTACAAAGGTAGTACTGTGCCCTGCGCGTGGGCTGTAAGGTATGAGTCAGTGTTAGTGAACAAACGCTGTAATTTAAACACTATGGCAGCAATAATGCTTACAGTACGCGTGTATATTTTAGCTCTTTCAGGTCTGACGTTGGTTAGATTCATGGGACATACTCGTACCTGCCAACACTCCCGCTTTTTCCGGGACTCTCTCGTATTTCAGACCTATTTCTCGCCTACATCCCGTATTTTTCTCCTGGGAATCTCCCGTAGTTAGCATGGTCCACGTTCATTCAGGAATGGGATGACTATATTTGTCCAGAGTTGCATGGTTTCCAGACAACCGGAGATTGTTCTGTGTTTCTGCTGAGCCTCACAGACACTGGATTGATACTTTTCCTTTACAATTTGGGATGATTCAGGTCGGTTTTAGCTGTAAACTATATTTAAGCAGTGTTTGTTGCAAAATGAACTCTTTAATGAAAGGGAAACAAACCTAAGATATAATATTTACGTTGATGGTCTTGCAGTGATGCGTTCAGGGCAGCCTCAGATAAAAGAGTACTGTATTGCATGCACACATGTTCAGAGAGCCTCATATGGGAGATCATGTGAAACATATGAGGACTTTAACACTAATATTAGTGGACTAAATAAGTTCAAGGCATATCAATCAATCAATCAAACAAACTTTACTTTCAAAGGACTTTTCATATATTGAATGTAGCACAAAGTGCTGTCCATTCGAGCAGGATATAAAAGAAAAAACAATGAAATAAGATAGATAAAAATACAAATTCAAAACCCCACCCACCGTCCCAAACCCCACACAACACATACAGCACCCACACACACAGATGCATACACAAAAGACCAGGACTCTTCAACTTGCCACAGATGACTGAGGAAACGCTATCTTGAGTAAAAAAAAAAAAAAAAGATGAGGAAACACTGGATCTAGGACTAAAATGATAAGACCATGATAAAATATAATAAAGGTGATAAAATGTTAAAAGTTAATTAGATAAAAGTCTGAAATCAAACAATAAAGGAGAGAGGATGAAAAAAGGTAATAAAACACAAAATAATTACTCTAGGACTAAAACAGCATAAAATAAAATAAAAAAAATACATAATGTAATCAAAAGATTAAAACAAAATTCAGCGAAAATCCATACAAAAAAGGTCGGTCTTTAGTTTTTGAAATATGAACATCGTAGCTATTATTTATTTTTATTTTTTTACAATTTTTTATTGTTAAAACAATACAAAGTCTGCAGCTCTACTTATGCCCATTTTAATGAGCAATTTAATTACAAATACTCTCATAATTCGCTCATATCCACCATACAAGGTAACCCCAAAATTGCCCGGTGCGAGCCGCAAAACTCTCCCGGATTTGATAACCCAAATGTCGGCAGGTATGGACATATTTGCTGGCGGACGACATGGGATTGCCACCCTGCAGTCAAATACCAGGGTACATTAAACCCCATGCGCCCTCGCTCGCTGCAGTGCCCTCTATGTGGTTTCAGTTCATGGTAATATTTGTTCACTCTTCTCTTGTTACCGTCTCTACAGTTTGCCTTTTTGACACACCTTTTGTTGTCTCGTTTAGCTACAGTCAGCTAACAGTCGCTAGCGAGCATCACCCCGCTTCGACTCCCCGCCTGCAAGTTAAGTGAAGTGAAGTTAGAGCAAAAGTGTTATTCTGTAGTCGAGTGAACCGAGAGGTGACGGCCGACACCCTGCCAGGTAGTTTTTCCAATTATATTCAGAGCAAAGTAATTTTTGGAAATATCTGTATTGACGTTGGGCGTGTCAAACGTGAAGTATCCAAGATGCAGCTCTGACAGCCTCCAGACATTTGCAGGTTAGCTTGCTACCCAACTAGCAAACATGCTAAGGTGACATAAACAGAGAGTCAGTGGGTTTAATGTTATCTGCTCTGTGATCCATATGCACCCTCCTATAAAAGCGAAAGTAGCCTACATCCGTATTAGGCCAGCCCGCCTGCTGCTGCTGCTGAAACCATAAGCTGCTGCATCAGAGAAGTGGTTTCTGCTAGCTGATGCTGATGCTTTCCTCCATTTTTGTAGCATCATTCTGAAACCACACTATGGTCTGATGTTATTGAGAGGCATCATCTCTTTGCGTTTTGCATGATTTTGTCTCCACATGCAAATAATCGGGGATGTTTCCTGCAGGATGAGTGGTGATGAATTGAACCCAGCTGCTGTGGCTAAGGCTGTGGAGGATGTCCAAGGGGATGGACGGTGGATGTCACAGGTTTGTTTCATTTACTGTGAAATGGGAGACAATAACTGTGATGGCTGAAGGCAGTCTCCTTCAAGCATCTGGAGGGTATTTTTTCAGTGCTTTTCTTACTTTTGGGCTTATCTATGATTTTCCACAATACTTGATACTAGATATGGACTTTTATTTCACTCCCATAATTTGACACCTTTATGCATGAGTACCTTCACTTTTTTAGTAATTTTTTTTTAACATTACTTTAACTTATCTTTTTACAAAACTTTCTCGATGAGTACCATGAAATAGATATACACCATGGTTGAAGAAACTTATAAAGAATTTATTTTTGGCGTATAATAAGTCTCTGCAGCAGTTTTATCCCGTTTTGTGATTTTGTCTTCTTTAAAATCTTTATTTGTGTTTGTATTTATTTATTTATTTATTTAGCACAGATTAAAAACAGTGGAAGGAGGGAATGAAGCCGATAGGCTTATACAAAGTTCAACCCCCGTCAGGGCAGTGAAAGCATAGGGTGCAAACGACAAAGTAACAAGAGCATAGAAAGGTTATAAATATACAATTATTAGGGCAAGGTCAAACAGATACAAATTGCCATAAATAGAACACAGACTAATCATCAAACAGTGATGGAGACAATATAAGTATTCATAAAAACAAAAGAAACATGATCATAACAAATAATGATGTGTTTAAGACATGATCAGATAAGATTTTAATTGTATTTTAAAGGAGTTGAGGAATGATATGAATATTAGAGATGCTAGATTATTCCATAGTTTCGGTCCTCCAAAAGTGATGTTCGACAGAATGGTAATTGAGGATGGCCATTTTGTCTTGTTGAGTACAGGTGAAGGTTTTACGCTTCTTATTCATGTTTTATAATAGTCCTCTTGGTCTCAGCTTTTTGTGATTGTGTTCCTGTGTTTGCTGGGTATCATGGGCTCTTATTATGTCTTTATTTTAATGATGTCTCAGCTCATGTGACATTCATCAAAGCTTTAATGTCTTCCACCAGTTTTTATTTTATTTCTTTATTGCCAGTAATGTGTCATTTCCCCCGAGTGTTCTCTTGTTGTTGTTGTTGTTATGTTGTTCTTATCTTCTTTGTTTTGCTTCATGTTAAAGCGCTTTGTAAGCTCTTGTTTTTAACAGTGCTATATAAAATCAGTTATTATTATTACTTGTGCACAGCAGTCATCTGCAATAAAAAATACAACACTGACAAAAGGCACTGTTAATATTATCATTAACTCCACCTTGAATCAGTGCAGAGTCAGAAACACTTAATGCTGTTGGTTATATTGAAACAACTGATTTGGGGAAAATAAGATCTTATGTGATTTTTGGGCATATATCTCAGTCATTGCATTTAAATGACCTCACTTAAAAACAGCAGCCAATGAATGTTTTGAATTATACAAAAATATCAATACATCACCTAAGCTGCCTTTATGCTAGGCTTTAATGCTCATATAGTTTTCAGAGGCCAACATCCTCTGACTATATTTGTATCACCTCTAACCGCGTTCATAACAGAGACTTAATGTGTTTTCAGCTACTATGTCTGTTTACCTCCAATTTGATAAAAAAACATGACCTTGTTCTTTAATCTGCAATGGGCTGTTAACTATGCATCAGCTAGGTCAGCAAATACACACTGAAATTGCATGTGTTTGCAGCTTTTATTTCACTTTGGTAATGGTTGATAAATTCCAATTTCATAGACCTCAGCCACTGATCCATAAGGGCCATGTTTCGTTCAGAGCACCTCTCTATCCAGCTTGTGCGGTGGCGTATCCTCGTAGGTCTATGAAAGGTTAATCCTGCAGGGCTAATAGGACTGTGACAGTCTGCTTTACTCCAGGCTCTCTATCAGATGGGGCACCAGACATGTCACGTCCTCCGATGAGCTTGGAGGATTTTTGCTACTTGAAAGGCTAATGAGTGTAATCCCACAGTTGAAAATCTCACACACACAAAGGTGTTAACACAGGTTAAAATAGCTTACAAGAAGCTGATTAGTTGTATTGTTTTCTGTGAATGAAATGTGACTTTCTTCTTTTAAGCTGTATTTCTAATCTTAAATCATTGTATCTTGTACCCGCTTTGATGTGATAAGGTTCTGTCTTTTTACAGCACACACGATTTGTGCAGGAGTGTAAAGATGCTGAACCGGATGTGCTTTTTGTGGGGGACTCAATGGTTCAACTAATGCACCAGTATGAGGTGAGAGAAAACACTCACACCACTTCACCTGGACAATTTACTGCTTAAATCTAAGTTGCTTTCATGTATTGGCATGCTTTTCTTGCAGCATCAATAAGTTATTTGATTTAAGACATCAAAGTCATCTGTAATCTGAGATGCAGACCAATCCTCTCTCTTCAGGTTTGGAGGGAGTTATTCTCTCCTCTTCACGCGCTTAACTTTGGTATCGGAGGGGACACCACCTGTAACGTACTGTGGAGGCTGCAGAATGGAGAGCTGGAGAACATCCGCCCAAAGGTAACACAGACAGACAAATGTAGTCACATCTCATGAGACAGCGTGTGGGAAACTCATTCATTTGATTTATCTCAGGTGCAAAAGAAATCTCTGCTGGAGCATGTTGATTCTATAGTCCATATAATTACTATTGTCACAGTAGAGTTGCCATGATACGATTATCCTGAACTTTGGTAAGGTATTAAAAAAAAGCAAATGACATTTACACCTGTTTTGATTTACTATTGTATCTGCACACTGTGCCAATTACAGGAAAAATCAACAAACACAAACCAAAATTTGACACACTGTCAACTGGAATGGAGAGCAAAAACACAATACCTGGTTGCAAAAATGCAGCTGTAGTGTAAATCGATAGCTTAAGTGGTTGGTTTGCAAATAAATGAATATTACCAGGTCATTTTCAGGGATAAACTCACTGTAAGAGTAAGGCAGTATGTTTTGTGCACTAACAGTGAATTTGTCTTTGAGGATTTAGGATACGTGTGTTTCAGTGCATCAGTGTGCCCTATCGAATAATGCTCCTGGTACAGAATGGCACCTTATATCACAACACTGCTCTCTCCATTTGTTCTGTCACAGATGTAATGTGTTCTGATACTATATTACAAGATCTGTTATTAAGATCTCATGAAAAGCTTACTATAATAGACTGATGGCACATGGGTGACAAGCTTGACACAGAGCTGCTGAGTAGAAAATCCTGATGGGAAATGTGATTCTATATGACTGGGATTTGAACCCATAAGAGCGGCACAAAACTGGATAAAAATAATGTAAAAGGTGGTGAGATGGCTTTTATTCACCTCTCCTCTCCAGTATTTTCATTTCACTGATCTGTTGATGTTGTGTATGTGTTCGATTACTCGTCTCACCTATCTGTCTCTGCTTCCAGACTTATTTAAAAAGGTCAGCTGACTCTCACACGGTGGTGGATTTAAAAAGACAAATATTTCAGAGGCTGAGAGGGAAACAAAAAGAGAGAATTAGAAAGTTAATAAAAACTTATAGAGGAACAACGTAAAAGGATCAGTGGTTTTAATCTTGGATATGATAGTAAAACATTTCATCATGGCGTGATCAGCAACATTAAACACTCCTAACCCCCCATCAGACACAGGAGACTTTACGCAGTAAGGGTACAGTCAGGTAAATTCCCAGTTCCTGCCTGAAAAGAGCTGAGGTGGGTCAGGAGTCATTAACATCTTAAACAGACCAGGTGATATCACTGTCTCTCCCCTCAGCGTTCAGTCTGTGTGCGACAGACAGAGATGTAATATGTGCATTTTTTTGAGACCATGAAGGGACATAATAAAACATCATCATTTACCAACCTGTAAATAAGAACAATTGGCAGTGTAGAGGCTGTGATTGAGAAAAATCCAGCACATCCTTGTGAAGGTGTGCACATGTTTAAAGGAGTATAACAAGGAGAAAACTACACCCTAATATTTTCTTTGACCATTCAATCTCCTTTCCCTGTGCTCTCTTTCTTACCTGTATCTTTATGTCAACAGCTCTGTCCCATTTAGACACAGGATACAGAGCTGTTGTTACTGGGCCTGTCTGTGCTCTTTTCCAGGTGGTGGTGCTATGGATAGGCACCAACAATTATGAACACACAGCAGAACAAGTCGCAGGAGGAATCCTTGCTGTTGCTCAGCTGATCACGTCCCGACTCCCTAAGGCAAAGATCATAGTCCTGGTGAGTGAGTGAGTGAGGTGTTGTGTCTTTGAAGTTTGACGTGTAATCCTCTAGGTCAGTGGTTCTCAAGTCCAGTCCTCGAGGCCCACTGTCCTGCATTCAACACACCTGATTCAAATGATCAGCTCGTTATCAAGCCATTACAGAGCTTGATAACGAGCTGATCATTTGAATCAGGTGTGTTGGAGCAGGGAAACATCCAAAATATGCAAGACAATGGGCCTCGAGGACTGGACTTGAGAACCACTGCTTTAGGTGATATTAATTTCACCAAATTTTTCAGTGATATTTTTTATTTGAAACTTAGTTGATGATTTATAAATATTGACCATTGCTGTTCTATCTATTAAGATAAAAAAAACAACATCAATTTGTACAAATGGATTCAGTTGAAGCCCTGAAGTTTTTTACAACAACCAACAAACTTTCCAAAATTTGACTAAACTCTCAGCACATGTGACCTGAGTCATGAAATCTGTGTGGTTCTCAGGGTTTGTTACCTCGAGGGGAGCGTCCCAACTCACTGAGGGAGAAGAACGCCGTAGTAAATGGGTACCTGTGCTCCTGGCTGCCTCGTCTGGGCCAGGCTCAATTTTTGGATGTGGGCGGAGACTTTATCCATTCTGATGGGACCATCAGCCCACAGGACATGTTTGACTTCCTCCACCTGACGTCCACGGGCTACCGCGCCATTGCCAAGCCCCTCAGTGACCTGCTGCTTCAGATACTGGAGGAGACGCCGGAGGAGAGACGGGCATCGCTGGTGTGAGGGCTCGGGCTGAACGGCACAGTTCACCCAGAGGCGTGTCTCACCTGCCTCAGGGGGAGACATGCTCCTGGTTTCTGGAGGAGGAAAGGCTCACTCATGGGGTGGGGGGTGGGGGAGTCTCAATATGAGTGGGCCTATGAGGGGCATTGGATCAAAATCATGAGCTGAGGGTTGGTTTTAGAGAGGTGCTAAAGAGGGAGAGAGACCTCACTACGGATCTAGACACTGTGATGGCTTTGTTGCTAAAGCATTTATTAAGGTCAAGCTACTCAGATTCATAGACAGATACACTGAGATCATGTTGGACTGAAGTAACTGGCATACAAACAGAATAATCCAAGCCTTTACATGAAAAGTTAGCTTTTGTCTTTTTTATTTTGTTGTCTCAATGCCCTGCAGTGGTCGGCCTCTCTGGTAACACACGAGGCACAACATTACCTAACATTGTACAATGTTATTTTTGAAGCTGGTAAGCAGTGGTTCCCAACACATTGGAGGTCATGAGATTATGTAAAGGTCAAAAGGGAAAAATCATGTTACCCCAAATTATTGTTTTCTAATCTAATCTTTATCTTGTGGAACTCTGCACACTTCTACCTCGTCAGGCTTCTAAAATCTTCAAATTGAAACCGTTTACGGAGCAAAAACCTTGTTTGATGTGTTACTGCCTGCTTGAAATTGTCTACAAGCCACAAAGGTTGTTGGGAAACACTACTGCTGCAGAGAGGCTCCTGCAGAGATGAGCACCATAATTTGCAACACTTAAAGATGTCTCTCCCTCTTCAACAGATTTACTTCAAGCGTAATCATGTGATGCAAATAGTTTACACAAAATACTCCGATGTGTTATATTTCATGTACTTAGATAAACAAAAAGCACTTATTCTGCTAAATTTGTACTCTTGATCACCACATGCAAATGTTTAGATATATACTGTAGTCATTGATATGAAATAGCGCTGCATCTCTTGAGTGACATACACGACTACAAACAGCAAATCACTAAAAGCTCAGATCTGATGTTGTTCGCTGCATGCATGTTTGAAGCATCAGCTTTAGCATAGAAAGTGTATTCAGCTTCTATCTGTCAAAACCATATACTCAAACATCTTAGTGACGATAACTTGATGAATCTTTTTCTTGTCTGGTAGTCTGTGTAGTTCTTCTGAACACATTCAACACTGGTGCTTATGTTACAGCATCTTACACATCCAGTAAATGTATTTATATGATAACGACAGAATTAAGGTCCTGGTGGATCAGCTGTGACTTAGAGATAAGCTCACATTTCAAATGTTTTGTAACGCTAAACTGCCAGCTTTCTAAACTAGCTGTTAGAGGAGTTCTTGACTGTGTCTTTCACATATTTTTATAGAGAAAAAAAAGAAACACACTCGTCTTAGGCAGTATTACTCCACTGTCTAAATGAAATGATGTATTATAAACAGTGGCTGTCGCATGAGAACCAGCTTTAATTTTTGGTTTACACAACGTTTTCTCTTCATGTCTTATCTCACACTAATACATCCAAAAAAATTTCAAGTCCGACACTAAAAGGAGCACAGGCTCTCTCTCCCTCTCCCTTCTGTTGCTTTTAATATTTTCTCCTAGAAGCACCTCTGTAGTCTGTTTCTCACCTCCTCTTTATTTCGCTCCTTGTTGTTTTTGTTGTCGATTCTCACATTTGGACCAGGCATTTCAACTTGCAGAAGTCACTGAGTATTTTTAGAACTAAACAGTAGCCACATGTTGAAGCTACAGCACACAGCTTTACCTGATATTGTCACGCTAAATGCTCAACAACAACAATCCCAGGTCATGCAAAGGAAACCATTTGTCTGTGAGCTTATACTGTAGCTGTTTCTTCTTGACTTGGCTTTGATGAGTCTCTCGTTACTGCTGTCTTAAGCTCTGCACATTGGCGTGCTGTGTTATGAATATAAATAGTGTATGTATGTGTGCGTGCCTTAAATGTTCATGGGGACAGTTGTGTACAGTTAAGTATGTGTGGTACTGGGTTGGGTAAGTAAGTTGGACGTATGAGTGTCTAGAAGTGACCCCAGCTGTAAATATAAGACGTGAAGCTTGAGGAAATGATGTTTGAAGGAGTCTGTGTTTGGTGCGGTTATGCGTTTGCACTGTTTTGGCTCGTTGTCACATTATTGAGGTAAAGCATTCCAGTAATAAAAAAAAACAAAGCAAGGAAATAATAGTGTTGGAGTTTGTTTCTATGTGGCGGATACTGGGAGTCTGTTTGGCTTTATGGCTTTATTCATGTTGTCTTTTTTCCAACAACATTAACCGCCCAGGTTGCATTAATGCAGTGGTTCTCAAGTCCAATCCTCGATTCCACTGCCCTGCATGTTTTGGATGTTTCCCTGCTCCAACACACCTGATTCAAATGATCAGCTCGTTATCAAGCCATTTCAGAGCTTGATAACGAGCTGATCATTTGAATCAGGTGTGTTGGAGCAGGGAAACATCCAAAACATGCAGGGCAGTGGAATCGAGGATTGGACTTGAGAACCACTGCATTAATGTCAGACATGGTTGGAACTATTGAAATTCCAGTCTGCCATTTCATACAATCACCAGCAGAGGGAGCCATCCTTTCACTGAATTTGAAGACAGGAAAACAGATTGCTGTGCACCTCCTGTGTGACATTTATAATTCTTAATTTCCTTCCCACATTCACTTTGACCATGTTTATCTCACATTGTAATAATTCACCACCAGCAGTCGGAGCCAATTTAGACTCATGTTAGATCATAATTACTAAACACTCAGCCTTGCGTGCTACAGTGATAACTCTCGCTTGTTAAATATGTATTTAATAAACCATTAGCAGACTCTCAATGTTGCTTTCATTGAATTGAACTGATCCAAACTATCCAAGAGACTAAACACTCTATCAGTATGAAGACCTTTAAATGCAAAGCAGTGTCCCAGTCAGGCTTAAGATCAAATAACCTAAAGCTACAGCATAAATTCAGGTGTGCAGGATTTAAATAGTGAGCTCATGTTGCTGATGCAGGAAAGCGAGTTAAAAATAAAGCTGGTGTTTTTTTTACAACTTCTCTTTGATTGAGCAACAGCCCCTGAGTTTGGCGTATTATATAAATCAGTGTTACCTGATAAAAGAAAATGTTTCGAGGCACATTGAACAGGTGGGAAAATAAAACATGTAGAAACTTTGTCCTCACTGAGTAAATTTCCATCTATGATGTACATGTATTGATTTCCACTGATCCAGATCTAAGTATCCCTCCAGTGTTTATTAAGCTGTCTCTCTGTCTCTTTTGATAAATGTTTAACTGTTTTGTCTGAAAACACAAAAACAACCCTCCTATTCCAGCAAGCTTTAACAGATCTAAACACGTCACCTGCAAATTAGCCACACCCGGACAGAGTCTACATACGGCTTTGTGTTTTTCATCGCTCCTCTGACCTGTTTGAATTTGGATTTAGTTTGGCTTTAATAGGCTGGGCGGTGTATGTGAACATCCTAGATGAGCAGAGAGTGGGGTAGAACACTAAACCATGACAAGACATATGTTTGCACCTATCAGTGGGTTATTTAATGTGTGAAGAGGTCAGGGTCTATTATACGCTGCCATATATGACAAATGTTGCCATGGTTCCAACATGCATCTGAGTATTAGACCTTTATGTCATGTACAGCAAAGTTAAGTTTCAATTCAATACTTGAAAATATGATCAGTATCCACACAAATTACATAACCACAGTTTATGACTTGATGTCCTCTGTTGTAACAAAAATTCAATTTACATCCTCAAAAACAAGTGTCTTTGTTTCCCTTTTAGACGAGTCCAATTTTACTCATGGGGTTCAGTTTATTTGATCAGGATGTCGCGTGACTTGTCTTCTGTTTTAAAGGCTTTTACAAAATTTTATTGACATAAATCATGAGCCCATGTGAGAACATATTGTTCCTGGGCCATGTGCTCTGTAAAATGAGCTCATCACATGATGTTTCGACATAAGATTGAACCATATCACAGGAAACGAAATGCAGAAGTTGCCATGATAGAAGCAGAACTAAATGCAAACCAGAATCCTCCTGACGAACATCTGCCCGTTTTGTTATGTTTATTAGGGCACTTATTTGGCATCACATATCGGGAATTTCACCAACTTTATTTTGGATGTTACAGGTGTCAGCCAGAGAAGGGTAAAATGTATTGATAGTTGCGAGGTTAGAAGGATGTATGGAGCTTGTATTCTATATTATATTGAAAATAAGACTTCAAGTGAAATCTACACTTATCATGAAGCACATGAGTCATGACTTTTTTGAAACTACACACTTTCCAATGAAATAAGGCACAACTATTTCTCTGAAATTCAATTTTACAGGTTTGTGATACAAATACCTGAATAAATATCTGATGCATGATCTCACATGTCTGCCTCTTGGTGATCACAGACAGAGTAGAAAATCTTTTTTACTGTTTAAACCTCTTCGCAGCTCCACTGCAGCATCTATTCTTAGACAAAGAGGTGCAAGACGGCCACAGCTATGTGATAAACAAAAGCACAAAGTGTCAAACCAAAAACAAACATTTCAGCAAATTAAAATCTTTGAACGAGGTTTAAATCGAGGCTGCATGACCCTGGAGCGAGCTTTGAGGATTGAAGGTGATATCTATGTGTGAAATCGGAGCTTTAAACTCGTCACCCTGCCTGGACAGCTTTGTCCTCCTTGTATGGTATTTGAATAGAGGGTTTCACTTTTCAGGAATCTCAATATTTGGGCTTTAACTTGCGGTCAAAAGAGGGAAACACCTGCATCCTGCCTCAGATTACCTCACATTTACACTTGATATGCCTGTGACCTAGCTTTTTTCCGCCTATCACTTAATGCTGCAGTCACAGAGGTAATGACACATACTGCTGCAGCCTGTTCTGGGGTCCAGAATCAGCTGTATTTGTACCAGTGAGTCATGTTGAACTCTGCTTGGAGTAAAAGTTGATCACATCTATATCCATATTTGTGAGTATATCTGCAAAAAGCATCCTTTTATCTGCATAAAGGCTCAGGTTAAACAATCTGCTCCACTCCAGCTGTGCAGCAGAATTCCTGAGGGTCTTTCTCCTCCTCCTCCTCCACCAGGTCATCGAGATTCATTAATACTCATTGATTTCTACTCTGCACCTCTTGATAATTGTCTATGTCGTAGAGCTAATTCAGCAGATCTCAGGTCAGGGTCAGACTGCTGTTTACCTCCCTTGTCTTTCTTCCACAGGGGGTGTTCATTTCTTCTCTGCAGCCTTTTGTGGCGTCACTTAAAGACCTTGAACCGACCTTATCTGCAGCATATGAACAAAGGGAGCATTAACAAAGCTTTTGTTGACATCTTATGCCTTCAAATTGATGGTAAAAAGAAGAGATACAGAGTGTACAGAGCACAAAAAAAGAAAAATACAGCATGAGATTATTGGTCTGTGGCTTATTTGTTATTTTCGACCAATCATTAAACCTGTTTTATCAGAAGGGTTGCCACAAAACTATTTTCAGCTTTTCTCTCTTTCTCTCTGTACATTTTAACAAATCATTCACAAGTATTGTTTCTTTAGAAAAAAAAATCTGTCACTCCTAACCTCAGGCCTGACATCTCTTCATGACATTTCCTACAAACCATTCACATCTACAAACCAAATAAAAAATGGATTCACTCTTTATATCTGGGAAGACATTCACTTCAAGAGATTATTAGTTTCATACAAAAAGAGTATAAAAGAGCATTTAGATACTGGACAACTGTTTGGGTCACTACAATGTTACTATGTCATTTAGCAGATGCTTTATCCAAAGCGACGTACATTCAAGAACAACACAAGCAAAGATTGAGACAAAAGGAAGCAAGATCAGTAAGAACAAGTGCTTTAAGTCACTGAAGGATTCAGTGGAAAATGTTCCTTTTTAGAGTGTGGAAGCTTGTATTTGTGATCTTAAAATATTTCTAAATACTAGTTTTGACTTTTTGTCAATTATCAATCCTATTCATACACTTGATACTTAGTGGCTGTGAAGTTATAAGCACCATGAGAAATTTTGAAGTGGCTGATAGACAGACTCAAACTGATACTGATGCCTCTTTAAGACCCTCAGAATCAAACAACACCATCAGCAACAAGACAGGTTGGATAATCAGTGTGTTTTGATTTAACTTTCTCAGACAGCAGACTGAGGAAAACCTCCTTGCATCTAGGGTCGGGTACGAGAGTCGATGGGGACCGGGACTAACGTTCCGATTCTCCCGGAACTGTTCAAATTTTAAATTTTCTGCCGGCGTCCGCCGACCGGAAGAAATAGCCGCCGAACACCAACGAGGAAGACGCGCTTAACACCAACGAAGAAGAAGCCGCCGAAGTGAGTGAGATGAAGCTAGAAGAGAGAAGACAGACAGAGCATCGCGACCCGCAGCGGCTACGGTCAAAAGTTTGGCTAACTTCAGCAGGAAGAATGAACTCTTATCTCAGTGCAACATTAGCAACACAGTAATATCATGCAAAAGAGGGTGAACGACCAACATGATTAAACACCTCAGGATTCACGGAGGAGAAACACCTGAGTGCTCGTCTTTGACGCGCTTGGCAGGACTTCTGTGAACCAGCCAGAATCAGATAAGTGAAACAATCAATTACTTCTGTCTTCCGCTAACTTTGAAGCGGCAAACAAATTGTACTGTGTGTCAACTTAAATATCCAAGTAACATTAGCCCTTGTACTTTTTCATAGACAAACGACCTGACAACAAATATTAATATTTATACACTGGTTGAAAAAATCCCTGTGAGAAATTCAAAGTAAAGTTTTTAAAAAGTTAATATAATTTAAAAATTCATGGAGAAGTTCACAGATTTCATCCAAAAAAAAGAACTCTGGTTAGCAATTTAATTTAAACCATGTTGTTGTTGTTTTTTTTAAATATCCTGCCTTTTAAAAGAATCAAAATAGAGAATCATCATCAATATTTTTTTTCAAACCCGTAGCCTGTCAATACAAGTGTTCACATCAGCAACGTTTTCCCGTCCTGTGATATTGCAGCATTTATTTTTTCATATCTCAGTCGATTTTTCTAAAGTTTCGCATACTGTGTGTCCACTTCTGACCAATCAGATTTCGTGTTGTTGCAACATCAGATTCACCGGTATATACAACATGGCCGACCGGCTGATTGTTTACTTGTCGGAGAACAGAGTGCTTTTTGATAAAGACACAAATATTACAAAGATAACGACCTGAAGGACAACTTGTGGAGAGTCATAGTGTCGGATTTCTCATAAGACGATGGTTTGTGTGCTTTAACAGTTTGCTAAACATCTTTGTTTTAACAACTGGTGTTGTGTCAGTCTTCTCGCTTCCACCCGGGATGTGTCTTTTTTCCCCATGGGAAGTGGCAAAATCACATCGCGCTTGATGTGTATAGTCAGGCGCGTCAAAATAAGCCTCTGAATATTTTGTAATTTTGTGTCGTATATCTGCGTTGTTCCCGGTGTGTAAGGATCTTTAGTGATACCTGTTATTGATAAAAACAACAGGATGAGGTTTTGTCTGAAAAGACCACTCTCATGTGTACAAGCCTCAAAAGGTATCACTTTGTCCATGGGAGGCACCAAAACCAACACAAACTAAAAGGTACTCACAACAGCTCTAAAGCATGTATCCTCTCAGGTGGCTTAAAATATTTCTTGTCGATTTTTTTTTCTTTTTTTTTTGTTGTCTATTTTTAAAACAGACACAAAAAAGCTATTTAATGACCAGTTAAGCTATAAGGTCCCCCATGTCTACATGAGGCTGGCTCTAAATACCATTACAAAGCATAGTTAAATGTCCACATTTATACTGCTGGTATGAATAAACTGTATTAGTCTGGGGCTTTTTAAAATGGCTACAACTGTGCCAGAGTTTATTTTTCTTATAACTCACAAATTTTGTCATATTGAGGCTAGGAGTTGTGCGTACTGTGGAGTAATTAAGGGATTGGTTGATTTGACTGACGGATGGGCGTTTTGTTGCTGTTTGTTACACAGCAAGGCCATGGCCCCAACATCTCCTCTTTACTAATTTTTGGAAGGGTTGCACCTGTTTTAGCTGAGTAAATATTTAAACATTCTCTCTCTTCCAAGTAGGTGTTAGAATTACTCGTTGATTAAAAGAATGGTTGTTATCCGGGCCTAAATAGCCACTCACATGTTGTGTTTAAGCTGTAGTACAACCATCTCCATTTTTTAATGCTCTGCTACCAAGCGCAGATGAAAGATGGCATCTTATGTCACTGTATAATTGGTCAGTATTGTCATCTAAAAATGAAGATAGTCTTGTCTGTTTGCTGTGTCGTCCAGAAATATGTATAAGCAAAGGCATGGACTTAGACATCAACCAGGGAGGAGTACAGAAAGCTGGTGGTGCTATCTCTGTAAACTTGAGCCACACTGAGCTAACCAATCTTACACAGTTTACCCACAGACTCTGTAGTCTGTGTTTGGCAGTGTGAAGTCACTTGTACTAAATTTTGGCTTTTTTTCCTGAATGTTTTCTTACTTTTATGGTGAGAAAAGTCTGTTTATCTTTTCTAGTAAGTAGGAAATTAGTCATTTAAAAAAATCCCTAGTTTCTAGATTAGTAGTAACATAGTCTGAGTCAACACTTCCAGTATGAAGAACATCATATATGGGTGTCTTAGCTCTCCTTAGAAACCAGTAAGTTATGTGTTTAAGACTATGCCCATATACAGTCTATTGTGAAAGGTTAGCATGCTGCAGATTGTCAAATACCTTTGGGATTAGCAACCAGCATCTCAGCTACTTTGTATGAAACCAAAGAAAAATGGCTGCCATAAGAATGTGTTGAATGCCATAAAAATTTTCATTTTCTAACTGAACAAAATTATTATCTGTATTGTCTGCAGATGTACGACACTTTGGATAAAAGCATCTGCTAAATGACATTATAACATTGTACCGTATCATCTTGTAGCAGGTGGAAAGTTGCACCGAAAAGAGAGAAAGCTTGTGTATTTAGGTGAACATGAGAGAGCTTAAAATTCATCATGTTTACAGACATAATCATGTGGTTAGTTGAACAATATTGACTGTTCATTGTTGACTCATTAATTCTCCCCCAACTCCTCTCGATCCAGCTGTTTGACTTCTTGTGTTTTCTGTCATAATAACGACAGTTGCTTGAGGGCTTTGTAAAAATGTCGTGAAGATGAACTTGCTAAAAATATTCATGCTGATTTCTTCAAGGAAGGATTTTCTCACCAGTCATATCTCTGCTGCTTTTTCCACTACCTCACTCAGACGCCTTAACCAGTGTCCTACCTGACTGACTGCACTGAGTGTAGTATTAGTTCTAACCTGATAATCACACTGAAAGGACGTTTCACTTACTGGACTTGTGAGGCTCTTGTAGTTTAGCCGAACAGATTATAATTTAGGCCTAAAGCTATGACATTTCTTGATCCAAAATGTTGCACATCCTGCCCATTGTAAGTCTGTTGTGTTGCAGCCTTTAGTAGAAAAATTCACTTCTCCTGTACCAATATATTTTTCCATTATACAGCTCTCCTCTGAAGACACAATGAAAGCTCATTTTACTGAATTCTTTAATTTTTAGATAGCTTTTAAAGGACTTTAAATGGAGCCATCTCTTCAGTGTAGTCACTGGAGCGGTTAGGGCTCTGTCCATGGCCTTGCCCAACAGCAGGGTGGTAACTATTTCTGTAGTAGGAGGCATTACATCAGCTTCCTCATTCACATTTTCAGGGTCAAGCTTAGCATGCAGTCAGACATAAGGTCACTTCTTTTATCCTCGAGGCGAATACTTGCCCCTGTTTTGCCCCTGTATGGCAGTAGGGTTCATTCCTCTGCAGTAAGACCAGAGATGGGTCAGAGTTTCCACACTTTTAATCTAAGCCCTGACAAGATTTGTAAAAATAGCCTCTCAACTGTAGGTGACTAATAATCAGCAGTAGAAACATTTGAACAGTCAAAGTTTTGGGATTGAGATAAAAAAAAAAAAAGGTGTAAACAGGGATCTGTATATTTTAGGACCTGTGTCCACTTATGACATTTAATGCATCAGTATCATCCATGATCTCCGTTTCAGGGCGCCTCTCTGATGTTTTGTTACTAGGTTACAAGAATTTTCCCGCAGCACTTCCACTTCTCTGTGGACTTGTTAAGTCTGGTTGTGTATGCAATGTAATTTCATCATAAAAAATGTTCAAGAAATAAACAGTAACTATGTCATAATATTAGCTGGAAACTGCACCCTTTAAGAAACAAGTTAAAGCTTCCTCTGCAATTTTTGTTTACAAAGTTGATATCAGAAATGTCACCTTCAGTTTCACTGGTTGGTGATGGAGCAGCGACAGAGAAGTGAGACTGAAAAGCATGAGGTTGATTGAAAAGTTGGACTTTTTTTTGACTGATAGTATTGTGACCGAAACAACAAAAACAGCCAGTTAAAAAGAAAAAAAAAACTTTATAGTAATTTCCCAGCCCCGTCCCAAGGTTGTTTTTGTTTTGTAGTGTAATGGGGGCTGAAAACAGGAGTTGCATTGGTTTGTATTGGAAAGAGGTGCTTCAAGGTCAACAAGATGCCACATGTGGACACAGGCCCTTAAAATCATTATTGGGAGATGTTTAGAGCAAATACAGAGTGGTCATAGTGTATTGTTTGCTCACATTAGTTCACATCTGTCCCCCACATTTGCAGATTGATTTTGAGTGATCAGCTCCAACTAAGAGCTCAACCTCTACAAGTCTGGTTTTGTCCAGTTCCCCTTTACACTCAAGTAGTAATCTTTGTCCTCAGAGTAACAGTGTTTACTTCCCTACAGTGCTGAACTGAATTTCCTTGCTTTGAGTTAGTTCGCCACAAATAATATTTTCCTTTCATTTAAACCAGTCTCAACCATCATGTCATTTATGGTCAACAGTCCTTCACTTTTTCCCCTCTTTTTCAAAATAGATTTTTTGAGTCAGTTGATAAACACATCCATTGATTATTGATCTGTCCTCTGTGGTGACATTAATCAGTCATACAGCACTTTACCACAGTATAATAAACAATAGCTGACAAGATCTCAAAGTTAGAGAGTAAATTATAAATCCTAAAAGTTGTTTACTCAGTCAGTAAACAAAAGAAGCAGCGCAGCAGAGCTCCTGACATGATTAATGATAAACGAACCACATCTGTCACCTCACCAACTTTTATCTTTTCAGGAATGAGAGGTGATGAAATAAGAGAGTAATACATCTTTGAAACAGGGTCATGTTTATTTTTTTAGACCCACTCTCTCAGTGAAGGCACCAAATATTCCTGTATCAGAGCTACTCACGCAAAACATTTGAGTTGACAGGATTGTGGTCAAGTTTGCTGTAGACTCTGGTGACAAACAGTAAAACCTCACAGTTCCAGAGTAAAAATATCTTTCAGTACCACAAAAGCAAACATGTTATGAGAATGGGCCCTCTGAATAAACATGGGTATGTACTGAGCTCGGTTAGAAGTTTATCTCAGCACTCTGTCTGTTTGTGTCAGAATAACTTTAGTATTGAAGAAATAAAACCTTTTCGCATTATTAAAACCTCAGTTTGGATAGCACAGCTGATTCATTAACAGCAATGTAAGATGTGATATCAAGGACATCACCAACATGAAGCTATCTCCAAGAGTGCCTTTAATGTAATTTTGATGGGCAGTTATCAGGTATGTAATGCTGCATTCCAGTTGTACTCGGAAGTCAGAATTTCTTAGCTCCTAGACAGAAATTTATCTGGAACGCCCCCCTGAAGTTGGATTCCGACTCGGAAAGTCGGACGATCTTTGCCAACCCCGACTTGACAACGTCATTATCTAAGATGGCAGCGCAATGCACCAACAGTAAAGGGTAACAGTGAAAGTTCTCGTAACATATTATTTATTAGCACTTCTGTTTTATTTTTGTGAAATTAAATAAGTGGGATACGTTTTACTGCCCAACGTCTAACTGTGAACACGGTGCTATGGTGTTTGTAAGAGTAAAATAATGTGTTATGCGTTGTTTACAACCGGTATCGCTAACAACAACTGATAATGGCTAACAGCAGCTGACAATTGTAAACAACAGCTAACAACGGGTAACTGTATGAGCTGTACATCTGCATATTACTCAGCACCAAGGAACACATTGAAAACCTTTTTTTTCCAGGGCCCCAGTGAAGGAATGGGGCCCTCCATAGACTTAAATAGAATTTTTTTTTCTTTCATTTTTATTGGTTAAGACTTTCACAGCAAAGAATATTTGACTCAATAAATACTATCATAGCATAAAACATTACATCCAGCACAAGAACTTTCAATGTTAAACAATAAAGAGGTGTGTTGCCCTTTTTGATAGCCATAACTAAACGTGAAATGAAAAGGTCAACAGAAGCACCCTCTGCCAAGCAATCCCTTGCGTGTAGTGATGAAGACTGCTGCCTCTCAATGCAAAGTTTCTGGGTTTTTAATTCAAGTGTTTTCTATAATGAGCCAGCAAAGAAATGCTATCCTTACACTGTAGTTTAACGTTGCTTTTGAACTATCATTATTAAATGGGGACATCAAAAGACCTTCAAAAGCAAACACCGTCAAGCAGTCCTGTGGGATTATGGACAACTTCTGTTTCTGGCTTTAAGTTATCATGTTCAAATCCAGGCAGGCAGGCCTGTGGTAGGGTGGTTAGAGTTGCTGCCTTTGAGTGAAATGGTCTTGGGTTCAAATCTAGTGCAAGGAAGGTACAAAGGTCAGGTAGGGCAAAGAAAAGTCTGTTTTCTTGATCTCTGGGAAATTTTCCAGCTATCCCAGGAGAACAATCTCTGTCTTCAATATAATCAAGTCAAGGAAATCAGAGCAGAGGTATCAAGGCTCTATTGAAAATAATCATTTGATTTAAACCCTGTGAAACAATGCATTTCATAATTGCTTTACAGTTCTTCAAGGACACACCATCTGCCTCTGTGCGATAAATAGAACATTAGGCAAAAAATTGAGAACACAAACATGCTACCACTTGGAAAGATTATGTGTTTTCACTTGTTTGGAATTCAGCTTTTGTTACTCTCTCTCATACTAGTTCATCCCTTTCTGTAAAAATCTTCTAACACAGTTTCCTGAAAGCAGTCCAAGAATAAAAAGGAAGTCTTTTGTCTATGCTGCCTTTATAATGATCTCTCCTTTTTAGGAGAAACTCCCTGATGTGTTTAGTCCTCTAGTCTGTATTAACCTCTACCCCTTTGACCTCAGCCACCTTTATCTGCTGTGTCTGACTCTATCTGGACATTTTTCTGAGTACCACTTCTTTCTGTTGTTTCATTTTAACCTCTTTCTGTAATCTCTTTGACCAAAGTTTTTTTGTTTTCTTTCTCTTTTCCTTCTCATGCTTTTTTTTTCTTCTATTTGTGGCCTTTTTCTGATTCAGTTCATGCTGAACAGATTAGTCAGTACTTGAGCAAAAACAGAGAACAAACAAAAGTTTGGCAGGAGACAGTAATAGCCCTCCTCTGAGTCCCCCCTTTTTCTCTCCCTTTCTATCCAAACAGGCTAAACGCGGCCAGGAAAAATCCAGGCTTTCTCTCCACCCATCATCACTGCCTCTTATTGCTCTCCCTCCTCCTACCTTTACTTTTTTTACGGACTATAAAACATCCGCTTATCTGTGTATGATGGCTTAGTGCACACATGATCTATAGTTACCTACACAAAATCCTACGTTGCTATGTACATTAGTAGACGTCTTTTGCTGAATGACTGGTGCTACTGGTTATGAAAAATGACTGAGTATGATTGTTGGTGTTCGACATAGACAAAGACTGCTGTATCTTTGTTTATCTATTTATCACACGAGAGGCTTCTTCACAGGAAAATCAAATTTTATTTCACAATTATTCTCATTCTGGGCGACATATTAAACTCTGAAAACAAGGTCCAACAACTGATTAAAGATCAGATAACTAAGAGCAAATAAAACCCAAATATCTTTTTCCGTTCTTATAAAGTGGGCTAATCTAATAAAGAAAAACATTACACTCAGCTGTACTCATTTGCTATTAACATCAAAGTTTGTGCTTATTTTTACTGGTTGCCACAAAAAAAGATAAAAATAATTAATCAGATTGAACAAAACATCAATTTTCTCTGTTTTATTCCATTTTGGTGAAGTGTAAACAAACAGTTTTGGTAATGCATTCAAGGACACTCTGATTTCATGGGATGTTAAAAGCTAGTTATGAGACAAATATTCCCAGATAAACAGAAAGATTACTGTAAAAAATTAAATAATGAATGGGTTTGTTGCACATATTTTCACAGCTCTAAAATCCCAGGCATAGAGTGGTCCTTGAATGCACCAAAAGCAGAGTTTTGAACAGCTCCTGATTGAATAACATGCTGCAGTTCTGTCACCGCTGAACTTGAGCGCAAAGCTACACAATGGGCTGCTTCTCCTTAGTGAGTAACAAGTCTCTGCAAGTTGATACTTATATAAAGTGGAATCTCCGGATGTGTGGCAAACATGAAATCTATCTGGAGTTATTACAGATGGCAGACATGGAAAGCAAATATGCAAAACAACTGGAATGATTTTTAAAAAAAGAAAAAACTGTATTTACAGTTTCCATTGTGTAAATGTCACAGGTATCTATTTATATAAGTGTGTGTTGTATATGTGCACATTTGTTGGTCCCTGTTTTGGTCCAGTTCTATCTCAGAAAAAACAGTCAGGCGGCAAAAGTTTCTCTGTCCCGTCAGCCTCACAAAAAGAGAGCGAAAGAGAGACAGAGGGAGAGAGAGAGAGAGAAGGGTTTAAGCCCTGCTCATGCTCAGGGGTTCAGGATCTGCCGCTGTTGTCCGTATCCTGTCATTCCAGCTTGAGATGCTCCTTTGTTTGTGCCCATTTGCAGACCAATGACACTCTGGCCTTCCTTCAGCTGCTCCTCTGTAAACTCTCTTCTGTTCTCCTGGGCTTTTCTGCACAAACACATGTATCCGTCAGCGTACTGAAACATCCTGTAGTCGGACTGACTTGTCATAGAGACACTATTGTACATTAAAAGGATAAAAAAGAATAATAATAATGATAATAATAATAATAATAACTTACTTGTGGAACCAGTTGGGGTCCCCTTTGTAAGTGCCATCCAGTTTTGTGACAGCCAAGCTACCCAAAGCTGACAGGGTCCTCTGGACAGCAGCCAGGTCTTTAGCTGAAAACATGCAACAACTTGAGATGTGCTCTGAAGTTTACTAGGAACAGAGATTTGCGCCCTGACTTGCCCGAAAAGCGCCCTTTTTCTTTATATGTGATCAAATTTGCAGACAATCATCCCATTTGTTTAGGTGCAAAGTATGATTTTGTAGAGATAGTTTTTAACATGCCTTCTTCTTATAAAGTTTTTTCTTTCTTTAATTTTTTTTAACTGACACCTTCAGAACAACAGATAAGATATTTCAGGTCTGGACTCTTAAAGTAAAAATTCAAGATAATTTAGGATAGCGTTTTGTTGTTTCTCAACACAGAATTTTCCAGATCTATGAGATACTTTTCATGTATTTTCTGTCCTTTTTTTTGATGATGCGTTTCTTTCAAGTCTTTCAGTATGAACAAACTAGATCTCAGATTTTCTTAACATAAACAGTCTCTCTTACTCTACCCTGTTCAAATTATTACTGCCATTGTCTCCTATTATTTCATATTTTTGTCTACAATATGAGACAGTATGTTGGCACATGAGTTTAAAATTTTTGACACAATATAAGTAAAAGTCAACCTTTCCCAAATACTAATCAAACTAAATACATACATTTAGTGGACAGTCAGCCACTGCTAACAAAGACTCTGTCCTATTAACACAATGAGCTCTGGTTGTCCTACCTTCAAACAGGTCCACAGTCTGAAACATGTCTGTTTTGACGACTCCGTACTGTTCTGCAGCTTTCAAAAACAGGGATATCTGCTCCATCTGCTTAAACGCCATGCCTGAGCGCTTGATGGTTACTGGCTTAGTGCTGCTATTTAGGCTGTTGATGAGCTCACACAGCACCTACTCAGACACAGAGGAGAAGCACTAAATATGGGGTTCATTTTGAAAGAGCAGTGCTGTGGTCATGCTAAGCCGAAACTTACACATCCATCCTTGAGCCAGGTTTGGAAACCAGTCTTGCCGGGCTCAGGCTCGCCAATATTAGGGCCACACTGAGCCTTGATCCATTGTACCAGCGTTTCTTCCAGCTCCGGGTCGTATTTCTTATCAATCTTATTCTGCACCTCGCGGCTGAAACCGTAGGATGGACCTTTGTTTGCCATTCTGATCCTGCTGGGAGGGAGAGTTAGTGTTAAAGAGAGAGAATACTGTGTCCAAAAATGTTACAAAATTTACTTTCATATCTTTTCCTGTTCTTATCACTACTCTTAGCAAATACCATTTCAGCCACTCTCTATCTGACTGCTGTGAGTGTGTTGTGTATTCATGTATATTAGTCATTCTTGGGCTTGATATCATTTCTCTGGAAACCAAAGAGAGAGGTCACCGGCAGGGTGTCCTTGCATTACTCAGCCTGTGGTTGGTATACTTAAGAGATGATTTTGTCTGGCTTAACTTTTTTAGTTCAAATCATGAGATTGGGAAAAGAAAAAACGTATTTTAAAGTACCTGCTGTGGTTTGAAATCCTTATTAAAAAAAATATATATATATACATATATATCTGAATTTATATGCATATATATCTGTTAGAGAGCTTAAGTGTTGTTGTAACCATCTGCTGACTAGAGCAAATGTGGAGTTAGCTTAGGCTGTACAGACAAGAAAGAGGGGAAACAGTAAGCCCTTTTTCATTTAAAATAATAATAATTAAATCAAAACACATATGCCAACATGATTTCAGAGTTATTATTATGATTGCCAGACCATCGCTTAGAAGGTAGCAGTAACCTTCAGGAGCTGAGGTGTAATTTTACATTTTTCTTTCTATTTATTAGTCAAACACAGATGCTATAATGTGTTTATGAGATTTGGTAGTGCTAGCAAGCAAACGTTGGTTCCTTGAAAGACAAAAACAGGAAAGCTGCTGATGGGCAGTCGTCTTGCCAAAGAAAAGCTAACAGGCTGTTGGCTGCAATCTTATATCCAACATATATGCCATGCACCTGCCTGGATGTAAAAATGATCTTTTTTATTTCAATGGAAATAAATAAAAAAGTAATTAAAAATAAAGAGCAGAGCACATCTAACTTGAGCATAATCTGCCAATTTTATATACCTTTTACATGACTTTAAACAAAAGCCTCTGCTAACTTAAATTGCAGATTTAGATTTACTAACCATTACCACTATTACAAACTGGAAATCTTTGTTTCCACTGACAAGACAGTAATGTTATCATTTTTGATTGAGAATTTGCTCTGTCATTCCCTGTGGGTCTTTATAGTGAATCTCAATTATTAATGCTGTTTGAGCTTCCTGTTGACTTCAGCAGAACTGCCCCGCTCCCTGCATCCTGTTTGCACATTGAACTGTCATTTCCTTCCTCCCTCCCTGACAAAGGTAGTTATGTGGACTCTAAACAAAAAAACACGCAGCTGCTCACTATGGGAACGACCTTTATGCAAAAAATAAAAAGAACACAAACAGCTTGTTAAATCATGAAAGCCCGGGATGTTATGCTAACTGCCACGCTGCAGTTATTGCTTTACCAGATCTGAATAATGGAGTTACATAAGAAAGTTTTAATCCAAGAAGGCAGATAACATATGGAGATGTTTAGAGCTGATAGGAAAATCCTCCTTCTCTTACGTCTCATGCCATGTGCACCACTGTGTGGTATGCACATGTCTTGCCAACTTTGGGAAACTGTACATAGTCATCATAATTTTAAAGAGTCTGGCAATACCATGTGTGAAACCTACATCTGTGTAACAACCCCTGTTACATTTTTCTAAGCATTGAAGTCGAAAGACAGAAAGTATTTCTGATTCTCCAGGGCAGAGAGGCACACCTTTTCCACCCTTCACAAAAACTGAGGATTGACAGTCTTACGCAATGTATGTTGATGGTTTGACAAATTGTGTTTGTGTTGACTGGCTCACACATTGGAGCCCTCGCTGCCATAGATCACACTGTTCATTGTCTGAGGTTGCAGTGGTTATGTGGGAATGTGGAAGAGAAATGGCTTCCTGTTAGCTCAGTATTTCCAAAACGAGTGACGAGGGTGAAGTAAGGATCTAAACATCCAAACACTGTAAGTCTCTTTCTTAATCGTACGATAATCCATCTGTGCTGTCCTGGCACGCCCAGAGAACATCCAACAGCTGCAAACATCTGGACTTTTCTCTCTGCATGTAGTGAACAAAGAGGGATGATGAAGCCAGAGCTGAATCTCTGATCTGCACATGTCAAACACTGATCGGGTTGGATGTGGTTCATCCACATTGGTGTGTTCAGTTTAATCATGTCTGCCATGTGTCTGTCAACCGGGATAGCCACTTTAAAGTATGCTGCAGTGGCATGAGCTCGTAAACTGGAGTTTGTGCAGGTATGTAGGAAGATTACATAAAACTTCACACTTGAGAAATCAACCGGGTGTGGCTCAGATGTTGCTGGGGAACTTCTTGTAATCATAGAGTCACAGCTACAAACTCCCACGAAAAACAAGATGTAGATAAACATCAGTTTGTGTGCAGCTGGGGTCGCTGAGGTTATTTCTAATTATGATGTAGAAGAATAAGTCATAACCCATTGATTAGCCAACAAGATCATTCTATGTTGTTTCTTTGGCTAATCTGTCAAAGAGGTTCATCAATAATCAATAACCCGAATCTTCACTGCAGTGACACAAAATTGATGTTGTTCGTCCTCTGTTATCTGTGTCACAACTCCGAATCTTATTGAATGTGTCTGTAATGTAAGGTGACCAAATTTCTGAAATGAAACCCGGGGACGTCCGGAGCGGGGGGTTTGGGGGTTGGGGGCTGGGGGCTGGAGGGCCATGGGCTGCGTGATCATAGACAACATAGTAGCAGCGCATGCCCCTGTAATAACCCCCCATAAAACTGTTGTTCAGGACTGCGCACAACATGGTTACTTGTGCTTCCTTCCTACTTGCGGCTACTGTAATAACCATTATTCTAGTCTACACACAACATTTTTGTTCTCATTCATGAAACGCTTAAATCAGGGACATTTCCGAGGACAGCTTTAGTCGGGGACAAGTCATCCAGTATGGGGACTGTCTGACATCTGGTCACCTTACTGTAAGGTGAATCAGTGCTTGGTTTAAATTGGAGCTCTTAGTCTGAATCCCAATGCGACTAAGGTACAAAATTAGCTTCTCATTATGAACACAAGCAATTTTGTCCCTTTCAGCACACAGTAGTTCAGCTGCTGCAGCATCTTCCTATTTCCTGCTTCATGCTATGAATGGAACCATCACTGTGTTTCTGAACACCACATTTCATGTGCCAAAAAATTCCCACAGAACTCGATTGACAAGTCAAAAGTAATATGCACTTTTGACAAACAAAATTAAAATATCCCCAAAGTAGTTTCAGTTTAAGCTCCCACCTCCAAGCTTAGCATACAAGAGCAGCTGATTAGACTGATGTCAGCAGGCAACCATTTCACAAACGCCACCAGAGCTTTTGTTTGGAGTACTCTCATTTTCACTGAAACTGAATCAAGAGGGTTGACTCAAGTGCTAACTGATAGGGGTGGCAACATTGCAGAAGAAAAGAGTCTCAGGGATGCATTGATTTACATCTGTAATATGGACATGCATCAAAACATGTGATTAATTTCTTTTGTTTTTTAAATTCAGCAACTAAATCTCAATCTAAAATTCTTTATTTGACGGCCATGATTTAAATTTGTTGCAATAAGCGAACCTTCATGAGTGAACTTGTCACCTATGGACCAAATTAGCTTTCAAGGGTCTCTAATGTGGTTTTGCATGCCGTTTGTCATTTCCTGCTTTACTGAGCACTCCTGCTATTGACTACATTTGTATTTGTACATTTGTATTTGTATCATTTGTTGGAGTCATAGCAAATTATCTCAACCAAAGTACAAAAAACCCTTTGCTTTGTGACCCAACTTTTCAAAATTGAAATAGTAATAGACTACCTTCTTTTTAAATGATGAAGTTTTATCCCTCAGTACCCAATAAGCCTCCATGCATCTGTGTTCTACCTGTAGCCTCTCCTTAATACCTGAGCAAACTCTTCCCTTTGTCCAGCCCACTGGCCTGCTCCTGTAAACCATTTCAGGGTTAAGGGAATTACTCAACTGCAGCTCCGTTTATTGGTTTAATGTTCGTCACTCTCACCTCCCACCCAAATTCTTCAACTTATGTATCATAGTTACATGCAGTCATCCAGTTAGAGATGTTTCACAACTTTTTTGGCGTGGCACCAGCGCTGTATGAGACATATATCAGTCAACTTGATACAAACGTGACTTATGGGGTTATCTGTAATTCATTTAGTCAGCATAAGCCTGAGTGGTTATTCTGTGATCTGAATGTGTAATTCAAATGACTTAGTACGGTGTTCATACCTGATACACAGTCCGAGCTGCTGCTAAATCAGCACTTTGTTATTCCACTTTATCACTGAGAACAGCCTGCACATCGCCTCACAGTCCTTACAGCTATCTCTCTCTTGCACAAACTAAAGTGCCATGGTCCATAAACATGACACCATATGTGATAAACACATGCTGAGTTTAACAACCGTATCTTCAACCAGCAGTTAAAGAAAACATCAAACCAGTGAAAGACATTTGATTATGAACTGCAGACAGTACGGGTCCCTGATGACAGATTTGTAAGAGGCTGAGCCTCTAAATCTGAAAGGCCTCACATTGTGCAGAGAGCACCAAGAGGAAAAGGTAGATTAGAAACAGGATTTCATAACAAAAGAATGTACAGACGGGCGGGTCATTCAGGAGCCATCTAATCCACGTGGAAAAAGACTGAACATTAACTCTGTGTTAAACCCTGTACTGATCAAACATAAGTATAGAGGAGGAAAACTGCAAGGAAGCGAGGGTGGGGTGCACAGGGTGGTACATTACACTTTGCTTCTCATGCTTCCTGCTGAGAGTTAGCCACAAAATCAAGTAAACGCTGCCAATACAAAATCAGAGAATTCAAGAAGAGATTTAAGACCGAAAACAACATGAGAGGGAGGAGAGTTTACTCACTTTGTTAAGTAGCTTTCAGGTGAATACAGGTGAGTCTGGGTTTGAGGTGTATCTTCCCTTTTCTTCCTCTTCTTCTTTCTTACAACGCAGTGCAAAGTACACTGTACAAAACTGCCAACATAAATAGAGCAAACACCCTTGTCTGAGATATATGACTTCACCACATTCAACAGAAACAGGGAGCAAGTGAGAGAGAGAGATACGCCTTCAGGTCCTCTTATTTCACTCTAC